CTAGCCAATTATATGGCTAGCAGTTTCACAGTTTTGCCACGGATGGCGCCACCGGTCGAAAAAATAGTGGTACCCCGCGATTAAAAGCGATTTTAACAATGTTCTGGTCGTTTATTATTATTTTCAATGACAGGAGATTCATCTACGTTCTTTCAGCTTCAATCTGAATGCTTGATGAAGACGTAACTTGTCCATAGAACGCTGGAAGAGCTATTTAAAGTGAACTAAACGGGGTACGCATGACGAGATACAGTGTCAACCGTTGCAAACAAATGCGATTTTAACAATGTTCTCGCGATTACTGGTTTCCAGCCGTTAGAGAATAGTAATGTACGTTCTTTAAACGGTATATCTATGCAAAACGAAGAAGAACCATGCCCGTTTAGCGGTGTAAATGCGTTCGAAATCATTTGCAATTAGGGTTGCCGCCTTATAAGGGGCTACGGTAATACAGGCATAACTAATTTTATTAATTCAGGGGTTCTACACTATTGGGTCCATGCATTAAGTCCTGAAGCACAATTTGAGACTAATGACGTTCATTTTAAGTGCTTAATTACTGAGATATTTGCATTTTTCTATCACTAGAAATTTTCACTCACCTGTCGATATAATTTGGCTAGCAGTTTCAGCGATTCGCCACGGGTAGCGCCACCGTTCAAAAAAATAGTGGTATGCCGCAATTAAATGCGATTTTAACAGTGTTCTGGTCGCTTATTGTTATTTTCAATGACAGGAGATTAATCTACGTTCTTTAAGCTTCCAAGTGAATGTTTGATCAAGACGTAACCTGTCCATATAACGTTGGAGGAGCTATTCAAAATGAACTAACCGGGGTACACATGACGAGATACACTGTCAATCGTAGCAAACAGTTGTGAATTTAACAATATTCTTGTAATTACTGGTTCCGAGCTGATAGAGAGTACTAATCTAAGTTCTTTAAACTTCAAATGTAATGCGTGACGAAGAAAAATGATGCCCGTTCAGCCGTGTAAATGCGATCCAAACCTGTTGTGTTGTTAGGGTTGCCACTCCATAAGGGGTCAGTTAATAATCTGTTTTTATTTAATGTCAATTACTACTTTAATGCAGAAAAAAACTTCAACGTTTCAAAGGCTATTTAAATTTATAATTTCTCAGCTGGTAAAAAAAATATAATTGTAAATTTTCAAAAGAATACATATGATGTTTTTAAACAACGTAGGTAGTTAATCATCCTTAAATTATATCTCGTTATCACGTACTCTCATTTCTTATCAGATGAATATTTATGGTGATTTTATATGTTCAAATTTTTATACAGCTATGCGACATATAGCGATATAAAAAGAAGGATTTTTGCGGTTGACTGATTATGTGTTAAATGTGTCTGTCCTTCATTGTCAAATGGGTGTGTACAGCATGGCATTGTCAGCTGCCCAGCTGTCGTCTTTAAATGGCAAGGGATAAGCTTGTCTTTTCTTGGTTATTGCGTAGGATACGAAAAAAATGGGTAACATAACTTGATAAAACACACCCTTAACAGCAATATTAGTAACAACTAAATACAGAACAAATATATCATTCTATTTATACACATCGCAAAGATTATTTGAATTTATTTGATCCTCCATTAATTGCAAACTTTTACTTCAACATCAGAAAATTCTTTCACTTACTCAGAATTAATTTTATTATACAAGTTTATGCTGCGAAATCTTTGCGAAACTGAAAAAGTGCAAAAGTGTAAACAGGTCAGAAACTACGGTAAGGTGAGATCGCAGAATCAAGAGTAGAGAATGGATACGGTTTGTGCTCATGAGCAGGAAGTAGATCAGCTTCAATTCATCGTATAATTAATAATCTACCGATGATGATGAGCCGATCTTAAAAGTATTCCCCGTATAAATTTTATCTCACATCACGTTAACAGTTTCTTGCATTCTTCAGAATCTACCTAAATTGTGGTTGTGGCTGACAAATTAATTAGTGTATTATTTAATCGATTATATCTACAATTATATTTTCCTACAGTGTATAAAATTTGAAATTAAGATCAAAATCGGAATAAAGTAGACATTCAAATCGGAACTATTGAAGTATTTATTGTAAAAAAATTTATGAATTACTATCTTTATGGAGTTTTTGTTGCAACAACGGGTTCTTGGAACACCCGGTATACGCAGACAAGATCAATACCCATGATGGGTGTGTATAAACCAAATATTGCAAACTCCATACAATATATTGAACCGAACACCCTCAACTTCTATCTATAGATTCATTAATTAAACGTTGATATTAACGAACAAAAAATATATAGCTGTATAATTTAAATACATTCGTTTTTACATCATTAAAGTCCTAAAAGAGAATTTACGAATTCAAAACATACTTTGTGTTTAAATATATACGACACTATAAATATGTTCTTATAAGAAATTAAATATTATGTATATACGTTATATGTATATTCAAGTAGCCCTTTTTATTCTCACAGTCTTGTTGTATGAATATTTTTGTCCTTTACTGACATGAATATACTTTGAAATTAACAGTCATTTCGGGTATTTTCATTTCAACTCTACGTGAACGCATAAACCACGCTATTTTTAACGAAAACCCGAAATGTCTGTGATGTCTATATATAGCAGTAAGTGACAGATGCAAGTATATGTATATACAGTATACATATATAGCATGTATGCGAGCACCCGGTGGAAAATAAAGATAAAAAACAGGAAGAAACAAATCAACTATCTTAAAGTTTTTATTTCTTCGACAGCATGTAATAAAATTTATACATGTAATAATATTTTTTCTTTTAACTATAATATTGCTATAACACATCATCTGTTACAAAACGGCAACAGGAATTACATGAGTCACCAATCAAAATGCACAATCCAAATATGGAAGAAACGATCGACTATGGCGATGCATCTTATTCCACAAACATCTAATTTTGTTATAGATCGTTGTTCTTATCAAAATCAAAAATTAGTTCAGTTTACTTAAACCTGACTTAAAATGGTGAATGATTATATTGCCGTTAATGTCAATGAAACGAACATTACATTGTCGTTATTGGGACTATATTTCCCGTATAAGGTCCGTGTGTTCAGTCGTTCGTGGGTACTGCGGTCGAAAAAACACCAATCACGTAAGGGAATGAGGCCATCGAGGACCAATCAGCGTGCGCTGACGAACCATTCACCGAGGATATAAATAGCAGTTCCAGCGGCCGGCAACGCATTCGTTCACGACTGTTCACGACGCTGGACGGAGTTGTTTGCGAAAGCTCCATTACTTGCTTTAGCCAACTATCGACGTCTTACGTCTTTTTATACTCTTTTCTTGAGGAATTTGGAAACTTCACTCATTACAAAATGGTAAGTTGTTCATCCTTCATTGTTCTTTTAAGTAGAAGTGTAAATTGTAAGAAGGCGTTGGTCAAGTTGCCTAGGGGCGTGGTGGCCATTTTGTAACGGTCAACTGCCGGCCGGCTTCCGGCTTCAAATTTTGCAATATTTGATCTTCGATCACTTTCATTGTCTATTAACATTATGAGTAGGCGCATTATTCAGTGTTCTGCGTTTACCAGTTACATACTTTCAGGGATTTTTATTTATACTTATTTGTTAAGCATTTACTACCAGACAGTCAACGTACTTCTCAAGAGTTCATTGAACTTCATGCTTGCAAATTAACTTATTGTTTCATTAATTGAGTGTCAAGTATATTCTACAAATGAACGTGATATTTATTACGAGAAATTCGTATAAATTGTAGACTTAAAATCAGTATTATCTTGGTTTTGATTCCTGATGATTAAGTCGTATCAAAATGAATGTATTTGTGAATAATTTCAGTACCTTTTCGGGATTATCTGCTCAATATGGCCCCACTAAAACTTCATAACTTACGATATATATTAATTATACAGAATGTACATGAAATTTATTTTTAGAAGTATTATATATATTAATGTATTGTAATTTTTAGCGTGAGTGCATCTCAGTTCATGTTGGACAAGCTGGTGTACAAATTGGTAATGCCTGTTGGGAATTGTATTGCTTGGAACATGGCATTCAACCTGATGGTCAGATGCCATCCGACAAAACTGTTGGAGGAGGTGATGATAGTTTCAACACCTTCTTTAGCGAGACTGGTGCAGGAAAACATGTACCCAGGGCAGTTTTCATTGACTTGGAACCCACTGTAGTTGGTAAGTATCTTTAGATACTGTTAGCAATACCCGTTTTTCTTCTAACAATTCAAACATTGTTGTTTAAAACCTTTTCTAATAATTAATTTCTATTTTTTAGATGAAGTACGTACGGGTACATATCGTCAGCTGTTCCACCCCGAACAGTTAATCACTGGCAAGGAAGATGCAGCTAACAATTATGCTCGTGGGCACTACACAATTGGAAAGGAAATTGTTGATCTTGTGCTTGATCGGATTCGTAAATTGGCCGATCAATGTACTGGTCTGCAAGGTTTTCTCATCTTCCACTCATTCGGTGGTGGTACTGGTTCTGGATTCACATCTCTCTTAATGGAACGTCTCTCTGTTGATTACGGAAAGAAATCGAAGCTAGAATTTGCCATTTATCCTGCTCCACAAGTCTCCACAGCGGTTGTTGAACCATACAATTCAATTCTCACAACGCATACCACTCTTGAACATTCCGACTGCGCATTTATGGTCGACAATGAAGCGATTTACGATATCTGTCGTCGTAATTTGGACATTGAAAGACCTACTTACACGAACCTGAATAGACTGATTGGCCAAATCGTTTCTTCCATTACCGCTTCTCTGCGATTTGATGGCGCCCTGAACGTTGATCTAACAGAATTCCAAACGAATTTGGTACCTTATCCCAGGATTCACTTCCCATTGGTGACATACGCGCCTGTCATCTCAGCAGAGAAGGCTTATCACGAACAGCTCTCTGTATCAGAGATTACAAACGCATGTTTCGAACCAGCGAATCAGATGGTGAAATGCGATCCACGTCACGGCAAATACATGGCCTGCTGTATGTTGTACAGAGGTGATGTTGTACCCAAGGACGTGAACGCGGCTATCGCCACCATTAAAACGAAGCGTACCATTCAGTTTGTTGATTGGTGCCCCACTGGATTCAAAGTTGGCATTAATTACCAGCCCCCGACAGTGGTACCTGGTGGCGATCTTGCCAAGGTGCAGCGTGCCGTCTGTATGTTATCCAACACTACAGCTATCGCGGAAGCCTGGGCTCGTCTTGATCACAAATTCGACTTGATGTATGCCAAGCGAGCATTCGTTCACTGGTACGTCGGTGAAGGTATGGAAGAAGGTGAATTCTCCGAAGCTCGGGAAGACCTTGCAGCTCTCGAGAAAGATTACGAGGAGGTCGGAATGGACTCCGCAGAAGGCGAAGGAGAAGGCGCTGAAGAATACTAAATGATGGAGTTTTGATAGTTTTTTTTTTTGAATAAAGAATCTGATTTCCGTCAGTAACAATGTGTCCTTGATTGCAAAGAATACCAATCCTTTATTTAAAATCTTCGTTAACATTCTGCCATAAATTATTGGTTACAGTATTGTTTTGTTCTCACTAAAACAGTATATCGCAGAGAATTTTTACAAAACATCAAACGTTGAGATAGTTCATAAAATAATGTTCTATAGTTCATCTGGTATTTACACAATAAATTTAAGGGAAATACATATGTAGGTGGTTGTTTCATGAATATACAAAAGTTACTATGGGTCTTAAAAGACAAATTGATTGAAGTAACTTGTGGTACCTAATTTTTTGCACAGCAAAAATTTGTATAAGCATATTTGCACGAAAGCTAACAATGGCTACTAATTTTTCGAGTGTATCGTTTCATTTATTTCAACGTTATATCATAACACCATCCACAAAGTCCTCCCACTCGTAATTTGGATTATATGGGAAATCGAAGAAATCATTGTCATCCTCTTCTTCCTCTTCTATCAATCCGTGATACAAGAGATTAAAGCACTTTGAATCTGAATTTTGGTAATGCTCATACGGTGCACCTCGATTAAGTATAGCGCCACACAACCAGCAAAAGAATGTATCGCAACGCCAACATACCATCTTATTGCATCCGTCCGATTTCTACAAAAAATGTTAACGTTAAATACACAGTAAATAAGGTAATTTAACGCCGCAAGTGTAAACATATTACTTTACCTCAATAGCAGCATTACATTTAGGACATTTCTGACTGTTAGTCTTGATCCAATCCTCAGACATAATGTTTTCTACTAAAGTCTGAAGCTGCTTCTTACCATAACGTTGCTCCATCTGAAGCTTCCTATCGTTAGAAGCTTCTTGATACTCGATAACTAAGTCATGCGTTTCAGCTGTAATAATACATATTATGTACAATGTACATATAACAAGGAACTATGTTTTAAAATGTCTACTATCATACGTCACGTATTCGTCACAATCACGTATATATATATAGTAAAATATTATGTGCTAAATTATTAAACTTTAAGTATTTTGTAATTTGTAGAAACACACCTGAGTAAACCTTACATGGTTCTATACCATGGTATACCATTTTACAGTAAATACAAAACGCGTATTGACATACTGGGCAATTTGCCATTTGTTCATTTGGTTCACGACTAACTGGGTACTGACAGTTACGCCTAGGACAGTACACTATGTCCATCATAGTATCTAATGTAGCATTTAGTAGTATAGAATCATACTTCGCAAATAACTCTGAACTTACTAGGTCTTTTATCTAAAAAATTTGAATGAAATAGTAAATATAGAATATTTGTTGAATTAATTTTATTTGTAGGTAATGAAGAAAAGAAATTACCTGAGCAGGAGTTGCTTCAGAAGAACACTTTTCTTCAGGGCAACAAATATTTTGCACATTTCCATCTTTAATCCTCACTTCTAGATAGCCACTTATGCAATCGTTACAGAACACATGTGTACATGGCAGAAATTGTGTACAATGTTCCCCTATTTTATCCACAAAGCATATCTTACAAGTGTAAAAATTTTTCTTGAATTCAATTTGATTGCGTTTTTCATTATAATCCATTAAAGCTTGAATAGGATTCCTACCAATAGGACAATCCAAAATGGCTCTCTTATCATAGTATTTATGCAAAAAATTCTTTTTACTCAAATATTGAGTATTTACTTCTGTCTTTCCTTTACTTTTTGCACCTTCAACAGCACGCTCTTTCTCTATATTGTCTATCACTTTATTCTTTTGAACACTTTGTGCTTTTTCCAAAGCTTCTTTGTAATATGTATAAGCACTGCTCATGTTGACATTCTCTTGTATACTCAAGAACTCTAAAGTTTCATCTTGTAAAAAGCCTACCCATGTAAACAGAATTTCTTGCCCCTTATTTTCTTCCCACAGTTGGTCTAATTTTTTACATAATTGTGCTAGTAATGAAAGACGTAACCATGATGAGTACAAAGTAAATTTTGGAGCCGACACGGAAGGATAATCCTCTGGTAAAATAATATGTAGTGTCAAAGGTGGTAAATGAGATATCTTAGTCTTCTGTAGTGGCTCTTCTGCATGTCTGCAATCTTTGTAATTTATATAGTAGTCTACAGGAAGATTTATAAATATCTTAAAACTGCATTGATAACGACCATTCTCTTCGTGATAAGAAAATTCTTCTGCATTGTAAATACTTTCCAGTGCAATGATCTCATCCTTTTGCTTTTCACTATCCATCAGTTCGAATTAAGCAACTGACAGTAGAAAAAATGTAGAATGGGCTACAATGTATGAACACTGAAAAATGGAAAATTCAATGGAAACTTTAGATGAATATCCAGTATACATTTCACAGTTGGACTGGTAATACAACTTCTCACGATTACTTGCGATATTGAAATTATCCTCAATTATAAATAAAAAAATACAGTATCTATTTGACAGTTCTAGGTTATGTATCCACAAAAATAAATATTTTCGATCTTTCGGGTACAATAAAACGGTCGATTCATAAAGTAAACAAGTTTTGAAATACAGTTATCAAAATACAGAAATACAAACTAACATATGGCATACAATTAATAATTATTTCACAATGATAAAGCTATATTACCTCATTCCTTTTTTAAAGAGAAATCCACGTTCGCTTTGTCAACAAATCTGCAGACTGTTTCAGTGAAAGTAATTTGAAAAGAAGCTATAGAACTGAAATAAAGTAGTTACAAATTTTTGACCATCTTTGAAGCTTATTTAAAGATCAACTGTGTACGCGATATAACCGAAACGATCACCTCCAACATAAAATACTGTAAAATAGTAATGAATGCAGAAACGTTTCAACAAAATGACACAAACAGAAATGTTTATATTATACTTTTGTTGTCTTCTATTGAGATTTTACTAGTCAAAGAATCGGATAATTTTGGAGCTGACTGATGCAGTGCCTATGTGCTATAGCCGTCTCTAGCGCGTGCGATGTGTTCAGATTTTCGAAAAAGATGCGTCAGTTAAGGGATGATTTTTTCTCACGCGAATTTGAAAAACAAATTGTCACAATTGCGTTATCTAAGTCCATGAACAACATATAAATGGTAAGACATCTGTGACCGGCCACGTCAATCGGCTGCTTTGTATGTACATACATACGTTTTGTTCTTGTATTTTTTAAGTCGGCTTTTCCAAAATTGTCAAACATGAAGTACAACGACGACACTTGGAAATTTCTTTTCCCGTTGTTAACAAATTTCGCGATGTCAGTTACCGTGTACTTTTTAACCATACGCTTAATACCGCGAATAAAAGACATGTTTATTAAAGCTAACCTGTACGGAATTGATATGAATAAGAGTAGTGGTGAAAAAGTGTAAGTGAGAATTTAATTCTGCATGATAATTAGTTGTTCCATCTATCTCTACAATGAACACTGCACAGGTAACTATTGTTCAATATTCTTTTACAGACCAGAGGCATTGGGTGTAGTGAGCGGATGTCTCTTCCTTATAACACTCTTTTTGTTTATTCCTATACCGTTTACAAATTATATATTTAATGATGTTAACTTTCCTCATAACGAGGTATGCCATCAACAGTTCATAGCTCACATAATAATCTCAATATGTAATTCTCTGGTGGATCTGCTTATCTATTAAATGCTCCAAAATTGGATACATTCTTATTTTACAATTAGATGTTAACTTTCTTAAAATTAGATTGCTATGTTAGAAATGAAAGTACATTAATTGGAAGCACAGAGTATTGTAGCATACTCATCAGAGGGTTAAGAAATAGTTTATGAATATTTTTATACACAAATTTCGATTACAGTTCATGGAATTTTTGGCTGCTCTACTTTCAATTTGTTGTATGCTACTTTTGGGTTTTGCTGATGATGTTTTGGATCTTCGTTGGAGGCACAAACTCTTACTACCAACCATTGCTTCATTGCCACTTTTAATGGTGTACTACATTAATTTTAATTCCACATTAATTATTGTGCCCAAACCTTTAAGGCCATGGTTTGGTATGTCAGTGGATCTGTGGATACTTTATTACTTATACATGGGAATGCTGGCAGTGTTCTGCACAAATGCTATAAACATACTAGCTGGCATAAATGGTTTAGAAGTTGGGCAAAGTTTAGTAATTTCGATGAGCATAGTTATTTTTAATATTATAGAGTTATCAGGAGATCTTTGGAAAGCACACCAGTTTTCATTATATTTCATGCTTCCATATTTAGCTACATCATTGGGCTTACTAAAATTTAATTGGTAAGTTATGTATAAAGTTGAATTAAATTAATGCATCGATTTCAGTGATGTTTGGAAACATGCAGATGAAAGACTGAAAAGATGATTGACTTGTAGTCTTTCACTTAATGATTTGCTAGCTGAAAATGTTTATTCTAAATTAAAGTAAATGCAAAGGTACCTCTACTACTGTGTTGTTATTACAAATAGTTAAAATATACATTAAAATGTGTATAATTGTATTAAATCCATGCAACTAAAAAATAAGGACTAACTTGAATAAGAACAACTCAAGATTTCTTCTGGTTTCTTTATAACTTATATGTATAAATCATTTAATATTCATAATTCATAATCAACATATTATTTTGGTATATAAATTCAATACAATATCATATAGTTTACATTGAGTATCGAATATGAGTTAATATCACAGTCGGGTGCGACCAGTATGTCAATAATAGTCTAATTTAGCATAAAAATTCTCTACTAGCCAGTCATATTTCCATGTATTATTAAGTATTGTTTCAGGCGCAAAATAGAGGTCCCGAGATTTAGAGACTCTTAGGAGATTAGTTTTTCCATCTAACCACAATCCGCTTCCTATTAGGTCCTCGATGAATGGTACATCAATAGCGTTTTCTATTTGAATTTCCTTGGATTTAACTTTATTGTGTAGGCTAGTTATAATATTTGCTGGTGCCTGGCAAAGATAACAGTACCATCCCCCGTAATGATTTAAGTCTCCTATAACTAGGCCTAGACTATCTCTTTCACTCAAGTCTCCTTCGAGTTGTTGCAACATGATGGAATTTGATTGATAAGCTTCACGCATCAGTCCAACTGTACACGCACCAACCGTTATCGTTGTTTTCAGTGGATGTTGCCAGAAGAAACCATAGACAGACCATCTTAATCTAAAACCGATAGGCTGTGGCCATCCGTTGTATACTTTGAGGAACATTAATGCCCTAGAGTTTAGTATTTGTTCTGATTCAGTCGTTACATAAATATCATCGTCTCTTAAATTCCGTACTACAGTCTTTATTTTCTCCCAAATGTATTTGGACACTACCCTCAACGGCTTGTGCACCTTCGTCGCTATATTAATATATAAAATTTTCCTCTGTTCCTGTTGTAACAAACCTTTAAGTAGCTTATGATGAAAATTATCCTCTGCATTACTCAAATCACAGATTACAAAAAGATCGACTACATTGTGTAACTCTTCTACTATCACCTCCGCGATTGCTGAATTGTATTCGTTCAGAAAAAACGTATGAATAATACGTCTCGCTGTTTTACGATGTTTCAGTTTAACGTTTTGCTTCGATGCCATAATTGCCCTCCAGACTACTTCCGGCTGACCGCAGTCCGAGCCATGCCATCCTTGAGTGCAAATACATTTTTGAAAGTCTTCGCTAGTTTTCATCTTCTGATTATCCACTCCATATTTCCAACAAACGGTATGATTGTATACATCGAATAAAGTGAAAGTCTTGACATCTTTTAGGACTATCTCCCCATTGATTGTCTGGTAGATGGGAAACTTTTTACGATTGGTCTGTTGCACTGGAGGTTCCTGTAATATCATATATGCCTAAATCTATTGACACAGAGACATAGACATAGAATCTTACCTGCGCTTCTTCAAATTTTACAAATGTAACAGAGGTATGAGTTGTAGGCACAGTTAATTCAGAAGGTGGAGTAGTAGCAACATAAATCATAACAATAAGAACTTGCAGGACTAATAGTGTATAAAGCAAGGCCAATTTCCCATCTAGGCGGGACTGCATTGCACTACCTTCTTTCTTTTAATTTGTCAATTGTGCATTTTATGTCCTGTGAAACTTTTATTTCAAACAGAACATTATTGTTACCAGAGACACATAGCCAAAAGCATCTGTGTAGTCGATGTATGGATCTATAAAAAGATACTAATGTGTTATGCATTTATACATAGTTATCTAAAGTTCAATATAATAAGTAGTTTAATAACATTTAGTAAGATTTTTATTTTACTTGGAATCTGATAGAACTTTGACTGTCATGTTACTCATCTTTGAGTGATACACTTTTTTAAAGTAAAAACTAATATTTCTAGTAAAATGTTAAATGAAATAAATTCTTTTGAAATTCGTTTGAGAAAATTTAAAAAAAAAAAACAAGAACCATGACAAATATTGGCTTATACAAGTTTCATTCTGATAAAAAAAAACATTCTAATTCTGAAAAAGTTATATTGTTGTTAATCTGGTGGTCAAAGTGTTATAGTAAATAAATATTTATTTGAATATAATTTTAGTAAATTGGTACCTAGGTATCAATCTTTGCATAATCATCCGCAATCTAATCGTAAGATTTAGTTAGCCGGCACATAATCACCGGCAATAATTCATATAATTTTCGTGCAAACTCATAATATAGTGTAGGGCTAACGACGTTTTGTGAATACCTTTGTGTCGTGACGTTTAAACCGTGACGTCACCGCTTTCCAACGTGCCATTTAATTCTTAAATGGCCCCAGTCGTGCGTTAAGAATCTCCTCAATGAACGGAACAGTGTCTTCTAGCCAACATTCGATGTTCTTTCAATTGCAGGATTAAGTGTTTCATAACGCCACATACTTTCAAGTCTGAGCGGGGCGAGTCGTTCGTTCGAAGAGGTCCCGCCGTTCTACCGAATTCTACTTCCTCGGGCCGCCTCCTCCCCAACGGTCGGCCGTAATGAGTTGAAAAACCACGCCCGAATGCTCTCCCACGCAACCTCTTTCGTCGAATCCGTCGGCAAGCGCGATCGCGACGTCTCCCAAGGCGCACGCGTCTCAAACCTCCCTTATTTATTTATGTATTATGAGCACTCGATTCTCATGAAATTTGAACTGAATCCGCCCGCGTGAGTCGACCGCATGAGTCATCGAATCACGAAATATGCTAACAGAAAAATGTATTCGTACACCAAAGTTGGGAAAAATTGTAATCTAATTAATGATTAATGATTATAATTACCGTGTAATGACATCACTAATGGAACGATTATGATTACATCCAAAGGAATCGATAATTGTGATCAATGAATGTTAATTTTCCGATTGAAAATATTTTTGACTATAACATGCCTGATATTCAGAAGTTATTATGAAAATCGCGTTTTAAAATTATATTTTTCAATATTAAATAAAAGAAAAATTCAGTTTCCGTTTTTCTTTGTTCAAGGTATCCAGCACGGGTATTTGTAGGTGATACATTTTGTTATTTATCTGGAATGACGTTCGCTGTTGTTGGTATTATTGGGCACTTCAGCAAAACTACTCTGTTATTTTTCATTCCACAAGTCATTAACTTCCTTTATAGTGTACCGCAATTGTTTCACTTTATACCGTGCCCTAGGCATAGATTACCAAAGTAGGTTCTTTAATTGAGAATTTTTATTTCGGTTTACAATGATATAATTATGCTTCCATTTATTTGCAGGTATAATAAAGAGATAGACAAGCTAGAAATCAGCTGCACTTTATTTAACAAAAACGATATTAATACTATTGGTATGAAGATACAACTTTAGTTATTTTATTAATTTCGTATTCCCTTAATTTTTTAACTAAATAGATTGTTTTCTTTAGGTAAACTCATAATGTGGACATTTAAGAAACTACGCTTAATAAAGTGGCAAGAGGATACAAAGGGTGTTGTTACATGCAACAATTTTACTTTAATTAATTTTGTTCTCATTATAACTGGACCAATCAAAGAATCCACACTTACGCTAATTTTGTTACTAATTCAGGTAAGAGTTTTATTAATGCCCAAGTAATATTTACATTTTTGTCTTCAAATTATACAAAATAATGATTATGATTAAATAAATTTATAGACAGTATCTTAATGTATTAAAAGGCTGTTGATGTTCTAGGTTTTTTGCAGTTTATTAGCATTCGTTATAAGATACCCTCTTGCTTCAATCTTCTATGATGTTTGAAAAGGCACATATTAAAGATCAGGATATATACAGCATATTGAAAAATTACGTTATTATTTCATAATGAAATAATATACTGTTTCTGGAGACACTTGAATATGTACATGTATGTAAACACATGTATTTTCAAGATTTTATACTTATCATTAGTACAATTATACATTTTATAATTGTTAAAGCTATGTAAATATTAATGTAATTTTCCAAGGGAAAAAGAAATACGTTCCTTTCCAGTTTTTAAGCAATGCTGGCCAAAGTCATAGACATTACAATGTAGTGGGAGTCAAGTTGTAATGTAACAAAATAAAATTTATAATATTTTTAAAATAATACAACATCAATATTTATAGGTATATGAATTTTAGATGAATCTATTAATAATATTTTATATGCATTATGTACAAAGTAATATAAAATACAATGTCAGAGTCACAGTTAAAATTATTAATAAACTACTATAAAGTATAATTTAATTACTAAAATTATTTCAAAAATTCTTTTATGATGAGCAATATTTATGCATCAAATGTATATATATATTTTCCCAAATATGATAAATAATTGTGAGCATCCTTAGATCAGCTAAATATATTTGACACGACATTTCACAACACAGGACAAATAAAGAATGTAGTAAATAGGAATTTCATAATTGTGATCTTTTCGAAGTACATGATAATAAAAAAGATATATAATAGGCAACAATCAAACTGACGTAATATCATTACACAAATCTTATGTCTGGCATCAACAAAATCAATCTTTTATAAATGCAATATTCAAAAACTGCATCCAATAATATTTATCAAATGAAATGCTAATGCAGTTGAAAAAATGCAAATGAAATGTCTCCACCAGAAGAAGCGAACCTACTAACTCAATTAAACGATAGATATCTACACATTTCTCCGTAACTGTGAGAACAATTTTCACGTTATTACGAAATTTCTTTCGAACCTTAAATAAAATTATACATTAGTGGGTCATACCATACCTAAATCTGAGGCCAAGATTTAGTAAATCTGTGTTACAGTTCAGAGTTATATACAGATACCTAAATCAGGCCAAAATTTAGTAAATCTGTGTTAGTCATACCATGCACATGAAACGTCATTCTTTAGTTCCGGTGACCATTTGTATTTATTTTATTTGAATTTTCGCGTTTGATCGGGGCAGAAGTTTGTAAAAGCTTATGAAACACTTGATATATTCATCATTATGTTTGCACCCAATTTATCTTTCAGCGCGAGCTGCGCTTTCACGGCATCTCTTAGACCGAAAATATGTGTAAGCTCTGTGGCCGTACGACCTAATGCCAAAGCCTTATCGAACAATGATATTGCTTCTTCTAGGTTTCCCCTATTAAAAGACAAAATTCACAATTAACAGACGTATACAGAGCATGTCAAAGTATACTTAGAGGTAATTATATAGTGAGGTAGTAACCACAGTGAGGAACTCCCCATAAACCTGTCCTTATGGTTTAGCTGGACTTACTACCTCACTATATTCGTACTTCGAAATATATGTGTTATATAAAATAGGGCTTCAATTATGAATATTATAAATGATTGGAAAAAAAATAAAAATTTTTTTTACTACATCCTATATATCGTAATGTTTACCCACCTTTGAACTTCGATTGTTGCTAATGTCTCGTACCCAAACTCACATTTATCATCTAATTCCAATCCTTTCTTAATATACCCAATAGCCTTCTCAACGTTACCATTCCATTTTAATTGCAATAAACCTCTATGTACATAGAACGAAGCATTATATGGATGTTTCTCGATTGCTTTAGCAAAGTAACTATCTGCTTTCTGATACTCTTGCGTTTCTGATAATACCTACATGAATTAATAATACATTATATTTGTAACCATTACAATATGAATTACTAGAAATGTGAATTGTTTTCATACCTGAGCATACAAAATGTAACAGTCAGGGCAGTCGGGGTATTTTTCAAAAGCCATCTCAAAACCTTTCATGGCTTCATTTGATAGTTCTATGTCCCTGTTAATCAGAGCATAGTGATAGTCTGTATAACATTTTTGTACATATGCCACGCCGAACTTGGGATTAAGATCCACAGCTTTCTTAAAGTCTTCTTTAGCCTCTTGTATTTTGTCCATAAGTAAATTTGCCTGTAATTGCACTATTATTCATAAATATCTTCGAATTTAAAAGATAAATTTATCATAGGTATATCAAATGTCATTAATACCTGTCCCTTATAAAAATAAATATCACTACAATCAGGATCGAGTTCTATAGCCATTTCATAGTCACAGAAACTTTTCTCGGGATTTTCTAGATTTATATACAATGTAGCTCGTTTTACCAGCGCATTTACTTTGGTAGCGTTTGAAGCAGTATCACTATTTATAATAGTAGCAAACTCGTCTATGGCGGTTTCATGCTGTCCCAGCAAAAAATAAAACGTAGCCCGTAAAAGATGCACTTCCATTTTGTGCTGCAGTGTATCTACTTCAGAACTATTGAGCTCTTGTGTACAAAGTGGTATCACATCATCATATTTTTCTTCTTTCACGCATTCCAAAATCTTCGCGAAACTCCTAAATAGTAGTACATACCGATTATACGCGAGATAATAGTAAACAAAAAATAAAAATAGTAATTTAGTAATCGAAACACATACGGAGATACGTTACTATAGTCGTTATTTTTAATTATTGTAAAAATAGGATCACTATGGAAACTATTAATATAGTCCTTAATGACCTGTTTGCTGGGCATAATAAACTTTTTGTTTGCCAAATGTTCCATGGCATGTTGTTTACCTAAAAAAAGTTTTCAATTTATATTGATTGGTTCATATAGGATGATAAAAAAAAGGTCTGATACAGCATTATGCAAAAGAACCAAATATACATAAACGTTGGTGAAGCTGTTTAAACAATTTAGGAGATGGAATACAACTATTAGGATATTTTTCATATATATTGGTAAAGCCATACACAAAATGCATATTTGCCATTTCCAAATTAAAACAATGAATGGACATTGTTACATAATAAAACTTCATTTTACAGAGAAAGGATTGCTTTTAGGAGTAATGTTGGTTAGACACTTTTTTCTCCTCTCGTGAGTACTATAAGACCTATAAGTATCAGATTTTTTTTTCTTTATCACCCTGTATATGTTGTAAGAATTAATAAGAATTAGATAGCGAGATATACCTACCTAATTGTTTTAAAACCCTGTCTGCTATTATCAAAGCTGTTTGATTCCCAAAGTTTTCCAGGATACAAGCTGCTGTGACATCCTCTAAGGCTGATTCTAAGTTATTGCAATGTTCCATTGCCCGTGCTCTACGTAATAAGGCTTTTGCATATCTTGGTTTCAGTTCTAAGGCTTTTGTACAATCTGCTTTTACAGCACTAAATTTTTTCTGTAATGTATGTTAATGGTATTGCTAATTGCTTTGCTGGTTAATAATACATCACACTCTTTTCAATCTCTGGGATGCCAACATATTTTAAGGAAGAACAATGCTGCATAAACTTTGCTTGCAATATAATAATAATGAAGAAAGTCAAGACATTAAGCATGAACCTAACATACAATCCTTTTCATACAAATCATACTTTTTTTCATTTACTTGTTCAATGTTATTCCTTTTATTAAACAATACGTTTTCAATTTGGATGAGGGTAAATCATTGGATAGCATTGTCTTTACAAATGAATTATTAATAATAAAACTGATTACCAGTTGTTCATAGGCAGCTGCTCTATTTTGATAAAAAGTAGCAAGAGCTTCAGTATTTTCCATTGGACAAGCTTCAATCGCATTATTATACTGAGTTATCGCCTCATCGTACTTTCCTATCTTGAAGTGTTCATTTCCCTTGTTCTTAAATCTTTGAGCTTTATCCAATGGAGTCTATAATGTAATATCCACATTCGGTGTACAGAATAGTTTCCATTATGTACAATCAAATAATATAATAGTCATATTTTGGAATTACACAAGACTCCGGCCATGTGCGTTAGTAAGGTATTTATGTAAATCTAAATGGTGCGCGAAACTAACCTCGGTCCCAGCAGTACTTTTCGGTGGACAGTCAGCGTCGATAGAGATTTGTTTGTCAGCGGCTGGTGTGCCATTTTCTTTCGAGCCGGTTTTTGATTTACCACGGTTCGATTTGGGTGACGGTTTAATGTTGTTCTTAAAATACATGTAACCGAGACCTAGAGCAACCGGCGCTCCAACAACTAGAGCAAGTTGCCATTTTGGTAGCGCACTGCCGGTCACGCTGCCTGCGCCACTTGCACCTGTCATTTTTCACAAATTCTACACTATCCTTCCGTGTCACGGTCTACTTTCCTTTCACGTTTTGTTCTTGATTCTCACCGACACAAAAACGGACAGTGAGAACTACACAACACGAATTCTAACGATCATGCGGAAATACTGCCACAAGGCACAACCGTCTGCAGACGAACCTCTGATCAAGTGAATATAACGTTTAGTACGTGTTTTCACCGTCGTGTGAATTTAGCGCTTGTTATATCTACAGGTTATGTATATCTATTGACGGCCACGAGTTGGGCGTTATTCAAACGAGAATTTATTTGACTAACGTTTTGAATTCGAAATAAAATTTGCTGAACTCTAGCTGTGACTGTCTATAAAGAAAACAGTTGTCCATCTGAATCGGATAACTTATGAATCTGATAACTTATCAAACGGTGTCAAACTGATTCAGGGATTCCCTGAATTGATATTGTGTACTGATAATATTTACGTTTCTTAGAAAGCCTGATAATCTGTCTATTAGTCTCAGACGTACGACAAAAAGATAAAAAAATTGGTTGAAACGAAACCCAAAATGGATTATTATATGATAATAAAATCTCTGCTTTTTACGTTTCTTAATTAATATTGAATTATTTAACGTGTCCCTGATGGGTACTGTAACACCATCTAGGATCAAGAAAATAGAATTAATTGGCTAATAGCTTGAAAGTTTTACCGTAAAGAGCGCTACAAGTAGTTTAAACAATTTTGTTTTAATGCATATTCATAAAAAAAGAATATTAATTCAAAATATAATGTACAGCGTCAATTCAGGAAGTTTCATAAAATAATTTCACACCATGGAACAAAATACCAAGGACATTATATATTATCGAACAATTAGTATCAAATAATTTCATTTGATGTTAAACGTTTAGTGTGAATATGTTTACTACATTCATTGACATGGAAGTGTAATTTATTGTAGACTGGACGTCTTATATTCGCGCGTTAATCTCGCGCATGCACGAAACTTTCCCAGAAAACATGGCAACTGTCCGTCAGCAGGAGGGAAGTTTTGGCTCGGGCAATATCTATAGGACATCGAATTTCAAAGTGAACGCAAACTACGAGAAATGTCATAAAAACTACGACATTTATCGAAGAATGTTAAATAATTTGGAATATTTGGTCTGCTGCAGAGGACTGTAACGTGCATGTAACGTTCGATTATTTAACTGACAGGCCTGTCCAACATGTGGCCCGCGGGTCATTTCGCCAGACGACGCGGTCCCCACCATCACTCAGTCCATACCCCACACTCGCTTGCGCTGCGATGCGATCGTGTGGCAAGAGGTACGTACGGGTAGGAATTTCTGGAGCGCCAGAAGTGGGGACAGTCAGAGCATGTACACACGCTTTCTTACCTCTATATTGTCCGTCGGGCTTCTTGTGGATATGGAGGGGGGTCATTCCCCTCGGCTGAAAGAGCAAGCCGGTAGGGGCAATTATCGATTTTGACCCGCGCCGCCTCGCGGGCCACAAGTTGGACAGGCCTGAATTTAACACATCTCGATAAGAGTGTGACGTTTACCAAAATGGCACTACAAGAAGATGAAAACACCTGGTGAGCTGATTTCAAAAGATTCGTTATGTTTTTAAAACTCTGTTATCTATTTTTCTTTTATGATTGTGCTGAATTTTAATGAATTATTATAGTACTACGATACTTTGACTAACTTTTGTGCAGTACAAATTTAGCTTTTCGTAACACTGTTTCACTGTCATGTTCCCTGCATATTCGAAAATATTTGAATACTAAAAATAATCGAATATACATATTACTATTTATACGCGAATTCTACGCATCATTTGAAAAATGTATTCCTTCATTAAAATGAGCATGGAACTGCAGATGCTTTATTAATTAGCTTATGCAAATGTTGTACTAAAGAAAAGTTAGTATCAAAGAACAATGTTGTATAAGTCACATTAAGTAAATATACCACTATGAAATTAAAATCCAGTTATAAGTAGACTACTGATCTTTACGCATACTTACATATTCTCTGTGAATAATTTAATTAGGAAAAAAGAAATATAAAACGTACATGTACTTTATTCGAATGCTTCTACTTTACTCTTATTTACGTAGTTGTATTTCATATAAAAGTGTAATTTAAAGAATAGATTAAGTGTTCAATATACAAGATTATAATAATTCAGGGTATTGGAGCTGGAAGCAGCTTTATATGATACAGAGGTACCATCTGCATCTGATATATATGCAATTTGTAAGGGAAAGGCAATTCCTGTGTATCTAAGGCCAGAAGCATGGGAGGCTTGCCTAGATGTTACTGATCGGGGTAATCAATTAAGTCACTTCAATGAAGTCTTTGATTTACTTGAACAAAATATTATTCGTGATGATTGCCAACAATTTGTTGGTAAGTTGAAATGTTAGATTTCTTCAAAGTGGAACACATACATATACACATATAATTCTTATCTTTACAAGGTGGAACTGGTTAAGGCTTATCTTATTCACATATATTGTGTTTCAAACTTGAACACTAGATTTCACTTTAAAGTTTAATATAAATCAATGTTCCATATTATTTATCTATATTATTCTTAATAATTATGAAATACAAAATGTAATAATTGTAGTATTTTTATTGCAGCAAAGCTAGGAAATAATGATGAGGTTAAAGTATGCGTTCTATCTGATTTAGAGTCTATTTTAACATTTTATTGCAAGAGCAAAGAGAAACAATATAAGAGAGGGAACGGATGGATAGAGTTATTAGGTCCTTTAATAGATTTGAAACTGCTTCGTAGAGTAACTTACAATTTATTTGAGGCAATAATAGATATTTATATTCCTAGGTACAGTATTTCGTAAGATTATTACATCTCAAAAAGTCCTTTATCTTCTAAGTCAGTTTGACACAACTACACAATGTATGAATTTTCAGAGGTGAAGCCTATAGTTCTGTATTAAGATTGTTGTTACTTTACCATGAACCAGAGTTATGTTCTTTTCTGGACACAAAAAGAATATCTCCGGATCAGTATGCAAGAGGATGGGTGACTACCCTTTTCTCTGGTGTGTGTTCACTACCAGCTGTTTGTACAATGTGGGATTTGTACTTTATGCAAGCTGATCCGTTTTTCATGTTATTTCTTTCGCTTATTATGGTGATAAATGCTAGGTAAGATATATAAAACAGTAATATACACATTGTATTTCCATTGAAACGCTATCGTTAAAATATTTACTTTACTGTTTTACACAGGGAGCAAATATTAAGTATGAAAGACAATGATAAGCAGAGCATAATAGATGCAATAGCTGCTATGCCTTGTGCTCTGGAAGCAGAGGATGTAACAGACTTTTGCTCTCTGGCACAATATTATGCGATGAAAACACCGTCCTCTTTTAAACAGGATCTGTATCCGATTATGTTCGGAGAAGGTTACGATGAAAAATATATATCACATGCGCTATGCTTGCCTGTATCGGCCCAAGAATTAGTTGAAAATTCTATCGAAAGTCCGTCCACACCTAACACCACTGTTGAATCAGTTAGATTTTTTTTAGTAGACTGTAGACCTGCCGAGCAGTACAATGCAGGACATCTGCCAACTGCGTTTCACTTAGATTGTAATTTGGTATGTCTCCTTTTTCGTACCATCTTTGCGCGATATTATTTTATTAAAATTTGAGGATCTTGTTTCAGATGCTCCAAGAACCAGCTGCGTTCGCCACAGCGGTGCAAGGATTGTTGCAGGCACAACGACAAGCACTAGCTGTAGGATCGCAAGCTGGCGGTGAACATCTTTGCTTCTTGGGAAGCGGTAGGCAAGAAGAAGATCGTTATACACACATGGTAGTCGCATCTTTTTTACAGAAGCATACACAGTATGTCAGTATGGTTACATCAGGATATCAAGGTAAGAAAAATTGAATCGAAACAAGAAAATTCATCATCTCATTCGTAATTGCTTATACCATTTCAGCTATACACGAATACTTTGGCGATGAAGTCGTTTCTAGTCTCGTTGATCATAATTCACAACATTGTTTAGTATGTAACGCGAATATATCCGAAACAAATTCTAATGAATCGAGTCCTGCCAGAGTCAAGAATAATAATTCTGATTTGCTTGGAAAGATAAAGAAAGTGAAGGAAAAGTTGTTCGACTATATCGTTAATCCATCAGCAAGTGTTCATAATAACGTGGAAAATAGAAATGGCAAGGATCCAGAGTATACTAAACGGCAAAAGAAAACTGCTCCTGTGTTTAGCATAGACGATGATCAAGAATTAGGTGAGTTTCACTGTCTATACAGAATCTAAAGCCAAATATGTTATTGGTAGATATTTGTATAAATAACGAATAAGCAATTGCATATTGTAGATATGACAATGACAAACCATGAAAGCGAAGAACCCATTGAAGTAGTGTCGATTCAACAATGGATGAAGGATCCAAAATTACTACATTCCTTTAAATGCCAAGAAGTGAAAGTGAATAGAGATCTCTGTGATAGGTGAATGTTTTAACAAACTAGAAACCGAGACTAGCAGTAAAGTTACAATTTTTTTTGTTAACGTTTTATGCATATGTTTTATTTTCAGTATACTTTTGGTTACTGACACTCATCTTATTGTACTCCGGGAAATACCAGAACGAAAAGGCGCAGCACACGTAATTGTCAAGCGTCCGTTGACGAGTATTGTTAAAATAACGTCTAGAAAACGACATTCGGATCTGATCACATTTAAATACGGTACAACACAGTACAATGATACGGTCATCTCAGACATGGATAAATTTTTAATTCCTAACGCGACTGAGGCTACCAAATTGATAACACAACAAATTCTGAAACAATTGAAACAAACCAATTAACATCTTAAGTGTTTTATTAATATCGAGCCCGCTGATTGGACTACAATATGTACAGACAAGATTCAATTTATTTTAAAGGAGTTTTCACGGACAAATATGAGAATGGACATTTTTTTATTCGTTTAACCGAATACAATGTTCTTTATTAAATGGTACTACGATCGCAACATTGTAATATTAGTGTAATTAAAGATGAAAGTCTCTGTAGTGGAAGATTTTAACACAAGCGTGTCATATATAGAACTGATTAACACGATGTCATCAAATGATTATACGACCAAACATGATTTACAACTGGATTGTGAGGTTTTGGTGATTTTACTAAGTCATTTCTTTCATGGACATGCACATGCACTTTTTAAAGTTTTTAAAAACGTACAATTTCCACGGAAAAAGCATTTTTCGCATTTCTTTATTATAGTAAAGCTCACGATGAGCGTTAATAATTTTGAGCTTAATTATTATTTCACATGTGGCTAAGCGGTGGTTTTACTATAAACAGAATAGGAGAGGTAATGGACTCTACAAATTATTCATTGATGTGAATATATAGGGTGGAATGTAATGTGCCATGAACTAAGGATATTGTTGATTCTCTTATACACGGTGAGTTGTGTGAAGTAGAACGCTTGGTTGTCGTTAGTAGATTTGAAAATATAAAAAAATGTGTAAGATAGATGTTTTACTGTTTACATAAGGATGAATTCTACTACAAACCATAGTAGTACATTAAACTCATCTTGAATTTACCGTACAGCCTATTTCGTTTATTGTAATGTTCGATCCATTAGAGATATTCAAGTGATCTGTTTCTTGTAATTCAACGTGTATAAATACAATTCGTGAAGCAGTGTCGATATGTATATGAACATTAATAATTTTTTCTTTCTTTAAACACGTGAACACTCTGAATTATATACTAACACATTTTCAACATACATTGAGATATATCTATACGTTATAACGAACTGATAATTGGTCCTAATCTAATGTAATTCAAGGAATATTACATACAAAATGGTTATAATAATTGCATTTTATAGAATATAGTCTTGCAATGCGTGTCTTTATAAAATATTTACAAAAGGTACAAATTCCGTGAAAAGTTTAACAATATCATCTATTCACAGGCATACCTATTACACTGCCTGATTATATTTCGAGAAATTTTTAAAGTTTACGATTTACTATCTTTCAAAATATATCTGTAATTCGAAAGGAATCATTCGTGAGAAAATATCTGAGTCTCTTAGTGAGATGTATGTTCAAAAAATTACGAGGTACAATTCTTTTTTAAATTAATCAATAGAAACTTACTAAAAATTATTCTCTTTGTGCATATAGCTGCACTGCCTTTTTGTAATTTGAGACAATACCATTTGTAACAATAGCTAACTTGTGTATAAACGATTAATAGACTTTTTTACATGGTTGTAACTTCGTTATTGTATTATGGGTGGGCTTATTTATAAGGTACACTTTGGCTATCCTGTGTTTCAGATTATTTAAGAATAGTTTGAACTCTGTTTAGTAACTTATCAGAACCTTGAATCATGTATATACCAGCAACATTGTTAATACTTACAACAATAGTGATCTGTAACATACTTAATAATATGTATAACTAATTCAGTGTAAAAATAGAAAATTTTCTATTTATGTGCTTCCACAATAATTGATGAGTGTAAATAGCGGCGTAGTTATTAACTATAGGAACTTATTAGAATTTTAAAAGCAATGATAGCATATTGTAAAGCACTTAAATACAAGTTTTTGGTTGTAAATGTAAATAAATTTTATGTAATGCATTGCGGATGCGTTTAAATAATACATGTATTTTTAAGAAATTGTAAAAATAAAATATGTATAATTATCTCCTGTGGTTCATGTTATGAAGAACATGATACTGGTTGAAGATACTTATTAATACGTAATTTGCAAATTTCTATATTTAATTTGATCCATTTATTTATGCTCTATAAAGTCTAGATGTGAAACTTCAAAAGTTCTTCGTATTTGCAATTTTAATAATTTCAATTTGAATAATAAGTTCCGCGAAAGTATTAAAAAATTTATGTCTTTTTTTATTACATAAAAAAATATAACTTTTTACAACAAAAACGTCATCCTAATACCCATATTCTTCTTAAAATTTATTAGCCAGTTGGTCTCCCATTGTTTATCGGGGTTCATGATATCAGTTCGTATCAGGCTTTCCGTGAGAGAAGTACCTACCAGTACTTATTTACATATAGCTGTCATGATATATACTTTACGAATATACACATTTTAAACATAATAGCAAATAAAAGAGTTTATAATGGGAACTATCAATTGGGGAGAATTATTTCCAGGAAGATGGAGCCTTGTCATTTTTATTTCTTATATGGCCCTTTTTGTGAACCAAGGTATCAGTTATGTGGTTAAGTTCTTTGCTTCGGTCTTATTCCCATTAACTTAAGTGATTAGTGGTTGTCATACATATGTAAGTGATAGAAAATGATAAACAGTGACAACAATAGACAAAGAAATAACGAATATGAAATTCAATGTTATCGATGCGTGTCACTTTACCGGTTTCAAACCTGTGCGATAATGTAAATGCTATTTACATATTGTTATGACTTTACACACATATTCTCTTGTACTTTATATATTTTTGTATTCGTAATTAACGTTGAGTAATTTTTTTCAAACTTATATACTATGTTGCTACATAATTCTCGTTTTAGGCATTATTGTAACCTGGTCACAGAGAAATGGGCACTATGAATACAATATTGTTATGGTAGTATTGATGACAGAGGTGTTAAAATTGATTGCTTCAGTAATATTGTACTGCAAAGAGTAAGTTAAACAATCGAATTATGTAATTTAATTAAATTCAGAATTCAGGTGATTTAATCAGTGTTTTATTTTTAGCAATAGCATTATTAGCCTTTGGAAAGAAGTTACACGTAACAAAAGAGGTAAATAAATATTTTCTAAAGACCTAACATCTGTTAAATACTTGAATTAATTATGTTACGTTTGTCTTTAAGTGAAAGTTTTAGTCTATCTATAGGCATTGATGTTCACTCAAGGTTTTGAAAATTATCATGTTTATGGATTAACTAAAGCAAATGTATAAGATAAGATAAAACAGTAGTTTGAAAGTTGAGTCCTAAAAATGTAATGATTAAGCACCAATTCAGTAAGTCTAGTATTAAATTATAACTGTATGAGTTAAGTTTTCATTAATAAATCTTTTTTAATAATAGTTCACTATTACAGAGACTATAAATGTTAACAAGGTATAATACAAATGAAATATTATTGAAACCAGCATTTTTTCTATTTTAGTGCTACTACTATATACAATACCTTCGTTTTTATATTGTCTATACAACAATCTGGCGTTTATCAACTTGGCTGTATTTGACCCAACAACTTATTATGTACTCTTACAATTTCGTGTTGTTATGACTGGAATTATTTTCCAGGTACATATCAGAGAATTTTCTTGTGGTTTGCAATGGAGTAAAACTATTTTTTAAATGTTCTTTTTTTAGGTTGTTTTCAATAAAAAGCTATCATTAAAACAATGGTTTTCACTGATAATACTAACCATTGGATGTATGGTGAAGCATGTAGACTTGGATTTCAGTGCCAACATGTTTAGTACTAAACTTAATTTAAACAGCAATATAATGCTCATATTTGTACAGGTAAATTCAATTTTCAATTATATTGATCATATTATACTACATTGAATAAAATTAAGAATTGAACATTTGAATGTTTTCAGACAATTTGCTCCTGTCTGGCTGGAGTGTATAATGAATACCTGCTGAAAGAGCAAGGAGCAAATATCAATATGTTTGTACAGAATGTATTTATGTACATTGATAGTATTTTTTGTAATCTTATAGTGTTTGCAGTATTATATATCTCAGACAATAGTACATCGGACATGTTTAATAACGTTGATCCTAGTATACTATTACAACCAAAAGTCATCATAATTATGCTCAATAATACAGCAATTGGAATAATCACAAGTTTCTTCCTGAAGAACTTGAACTCTATATTAAAGACTTTTGCTAGTGCACTAGAATTGGTATTCACTGCAGTCTTATGTTGGTTGATATTCAGTATTCCTATCCTTGTAAACACAGTAATTTCTATTACTATGGTGAGTTATGCAGTCATATTGTATTCACAAAATCCAGTACAAAACACTAGAACCAAAGATCGCCCTCTCTTAAAGGTTGATAGCATAGTTTAACGAAAAATGAATAAGGTCAACTTTTTCACTATTTTGTACATAACTCTTAAAGTATTCTACTTGATGAGAAACCTATACTTTATGTGTTCATTTTATGTTTGACTATTGTACACATATTACGTTACCAATTTATGTATGTGGCAATGTCGAAATAAGTATGCTGACACAACGTTATAATTTATTAGACACATGCAATTTAATAAGCAATTCAATCGATTTGGTTTGTTATTAAATATTTATAGTTTAGAGAACTATTTATGCATAGTTCAAATATTGTTACTTATTTCAATTGTATCTCATTGATTTAAATGATCGTTCTATATCGTCTGTAAAATACAAAAACATATTTTGATATGTACAATGAATCGATAGGTAGGTATGAAATGTTATGTGCCATGTATAAAACACTGTAAACAGGCTATACATTCATACTTGCATTGTTCTCTACCAGTATGTTTTTTAACACTTTATCTTTTTGTATGTACATACAAATACATACTAACTGTATACTGAATTATATTAATTTTTGTTTGTCCTCCATTCAACAACATCCTATCTTAATAATTATTCAAAAATACAAAAATTCTCTCGTTGTGTATTTATAATACCGCATTATCTTTCTTTTTGTATTCAAATAAAACGGTATGTTATTCTTAGCAAAAAAATATTGTCGTTCCTACAATACGGGTGGACCGTTAGAATAATCAACTTCCTGAAAATAATATTATATCCTCAGCTCGACTCCAATGTACGTATCTGTATAGATGTTATTAAAGTTAAAGAAATTAATTTCAATTCGAAGCAAACAGCAGTCGGATGTTAACGGTCCTTTTGTCGTTCGAATCGCATATATACTCTACGTTAAATCAGAATTTTAATTGGCGGGAAAATTTTGACTTACCAGTACAAAGAAACGAGCTTGTCCTTTATCACAAAGGCTGGACAGAGAACACTGTACATAATTTGTTTTCTTTACCTTTATCGGGGACCATTGGTCTCGTAACTTTGTCGGTGATTAGAATATAGTGACTATGTTTGACCATTTTTCGAGAAGTGGGGGGAGGGTGGTCGATAGTACCTGCAAAACCACCTTGCTTGGCTTGCTTAGAGAACCGACTGGCGGCAGTCACATGTCGGCTTTCGTCGCGTGAATTTCGTGTTGAGAGCATTGTCCTCCGTTGTTGCGCTACTCGGTATCCAAACTGTATTATTACGAATAAAACAAAAGAATGTTTATGGTGCAATGACCTGTTTGTAAGTGTAAATAACGTGGCACGTGTCTTGCTACAGTGCATAATTTTTACTGGTTGTTTCGTGCACGACGACCGAGTAAGTTAAACATATTTTTGCACATATTGTAGCTTATAGTAAAACAGTAGTACTCTAATTACGTGACTGGAATTATTGTATACTTTATGCACCGGTGGATTATTCGTAGTTCTAAAACATAATTTTCCTGTACTTTCTGAGCTGTTTCGTTGCACGATGATATTGTGACAGTTCCGGGCAAGTAGATCATCTTATCACGATATAAAATTATGTGATACTTGTATGTAAATAATATTGATATACATTAAAGTATACAATTAAATAAATGCACATGTTTAACGGAAAGAAATGAATTCTATCTGATCGGTGCATTATTGCCATTCTCGAATGAATTCAGCCAGTATTGTCAGTGTTGACAGATAAATATAACGGTCTTACGATCACGTGACGCGTAATTTAAACGAAAAAGCGCCAAATTAGTGGAGATTCAAAACGATCAACTTGACACAATTCGGTACTCGATTCTCTGTCTCAATTTGACGCTCAACATTATACTTGACATAGTACAAAATAAAATACTTATTCGATACTCTAAATACTTAACACACCTCAACGTATTTTCTTTTCAAAAATATCATTCGAGCAAACAAAATATTGTCTAAAGGGGAAAAAAAGATATTCGCTCTATACCGACCTCGCAAGAGGACATCCCCTGCTCTATAGACTTTCCAGACGCACGCACGTTTTCTTTGGATTATGCAATCGCCGTTCGTGTGTACTACTTTTATGCGGGGGTTCGTGTCGTGAGATTCGATGATAAACTTCGCGACTTCGCCTCGACTATTTCCCTGCCTTTTTTTTTTCTTTTTTTTCGGTTAATAATATCGGTTGCGAAGCTGGATTGCCGGTCGTTCGCGTAATGTTCAAAACAAAAATTGCACGCCTTTCAACCCCTCAATTAAACGAGCTTTACTATAGTGTCATTCACGAAAGGTGTAAACATGTATGACGCTAAGACCGTGGTGCTGTTTTTCGGTATCTATGATCACGAAGCCCGGGTTCCTTTATAATTAACTGACTAAATCTCCGATTGAATGTGTCGGAGTTACATGATTCACGAAATATGATAAAAAAACATAATTCAACAAATACGTCAAATTTGCAGGGTGGAGTTATTTTATCCTGAAAAAAAGCATAATGTTTTTTTCATGAAATAGCTATTGTACGTGTATGAATTATTGTCCTCTTTAGAACGGAAGATTCTGTGGAGGAGAGGTGATGGGGTGTAAATTAATATTGAAACATGTTTCGTAACCACTGTGATTGATTCCGTAAGAGAAACCGGAAATCGGATGCGTCAGTCGCTGACTGGTCTCACCAATGTCAATCATATCGTACATTTGTAGTTAACATATGCCGGAAGCGGAGGAAATATCGCTGATCGATTATTGCGGAAGTCAGAACCTAAGGCTGGCAATATTGAAACATTCATCCTGCTTATATCGAAGCCACTTGAAATATTAAAATTTCCGACAGATGGACACGATTATTCTGTTCAAAAGTCGTTTCGATAATGAAATAATGGAGTTGATTTGTAGATGTGACATTCAAGGAAAAGTAGCAAGTGAACTTTGGTACCTGAAAAATCCCGATTTTTTTTCAAACTCTGCAGGTTTGTAGGGACTTTAATTCAGTTCAGTTTGCCTCAGATTTTGTCGCTTTCCGGCAGGATGGGTTAAATTAACCTTGGATCACATTTCGATTAGATCACGGATTAGATTCCAGTTATGTCGGTTATTTATAAGTCAGGTGTACTTACGTTACCGTCAGTTACGTAAATTTAACGAAACATCAGGGTCATACATACTTTGTAAGATATGTATGCATGTACGTCCATAGGTCGGATAGAGAAACCACAGGTTTCAGAGCTCTTGCAACCGAGGTAACGCGTAGTTCACTCTACGTTGGTTCATACAACATTCAAAATCTATAACTTCTACTGGTTCTACAATTACATTACGAACCACGATGGTATGAACTGTAACGTAATAGCTCTTACCTTTTACGACTTTTCATTCATACAAAATGTTTAGCTTTTTACAGGTGACTACTATTTAAATTCATATTATATAGGGTGATGTATACAATTCTCTATAAATAGAAAATATATGTATAATACCTACCTTAATTTATTTAAAGCTTAAATTTTCAAAACTGCTCAGTGATCCCTGATCATACAGATCATTTCCAACACAAAGGTCATTGACGGTAAATAATTAAGTCGGAAGACCAGAATAAAATTTTTTGGAAAATAACTTCAATTATCTTGGAATAGTACCTTACTTTGCAAACGTGTCTGTTCACCATTTGCTATTTCTACTTACCATAAGAGAACGTGTACGCGTATCGCGCATATGTATATTGTGTGCCAAATGTTGATTCATTCAAGAAGAAGTATTATTTAGTTATAGAAATTGGAATTTCCACGTTTAAACAATTAAAAATGACGAAATACTGTTTTTTATCTTTTATTATCAGCCATGGTACCAATAATAGATCCGTCCACGTTATTGTAAATACGTAGACTAATCTGTCGATCAGGTCTTTCCTTGCGTGACTCGATGAACGATCAGAAATCGAGAGGGCGATTCTCGAAGAAGATGGCGAAGAAGCCGCGGTTCCCGATGGACGAGACGTAGGGTGGTAATGTCCGAGTGCTTCGAGTTCTCGTCATCTATGACAGGATCGACGAACACGGGGCCTCTGCAGCCCCAGAAGGATTCCTCGCCCCTTCCAGCCCAGCTGTCACCCTTCGATCTCTACACGACACCCGAGAGTCCGTCACGCCGAGGTCATCGTCAGCGACATCCTCGAAAGATGACATTGACCTCGCCGAACGGACAACCTATACAGCTCACCCCGCTCTGGGAACACGTGGTTCGTATACTTACCCCACCTGTTCCACTGAACTACCATTAGTATTTAAGTATTCTCTTAACGGGAGGTTCCATCACTATTCCATAGTATTTACTTAGTTATTCAGCGTTTTCTTGAGGGGTGGTCTAGAGCCCACGCAAATAGGTCATTTTTAGGAATTAAAGATCAATTTTCGTGCCCCAGATTACTTTTTTCCGTTAGAAATTTATATATCTTGGGAACTTGAAACGTGAAATCGGGTACCTGGAAATTTTCACCTGACGCCTCCGAGCGTCAAGCTGAAATCTTAGATCGAAAGGCGTAATCGCATATCTTGACTTCAGAGTGTATTGAGTCACATTTTTCAAACTTTAGGGGAGAAAAAATGGCTGGTTTTTTAACCCGCAAATTTGTAATTTTTAATATATCGAAAAACTCGTGGTACGGGCTAGAATGACACATCTGATGAACAGGTATGCCAAGTTTGAACTAAATCAATTCATTAGTTTTTAAGTTATCATGGCCGCCGATAAAGAAAAAGTAGCTTCGAGAAAAACGCGATCAAAGCTTCAAGTACTGTTTTAGAGCATAAAAAGAGAAATGTTTCATACTTACAGCTAATCACCTATTCCGGGCCATATAAAACACCTTCCTCTTCCTCAAAAAATTGTTGCAAATTGCAAAAAAAAAACCGATTTTCTGAAACCGTCACACTAGCATAGCCCCTTAACATCTTTCGAATTTTGCTCCCGCAGGTACGAACACGAAAGTTCCCAAACGAGGTCGACACCCGTCTGACGTTCCTGGAGATATCGGAGAGACTGCGTGATCCGGAATGGGAGGTGCGTCAGCACGCTCTTCGCGTGCTCATAGACGTGCTGCCGACTTTGAACGCTGACATCGTGGACAAGGTCATGCAACCAGTGGTGCCGGAGCTGGTCAATAATTTGGGCCACCCAGCTCCCGCTGTTCGTAAAGGCGCCCTGGACGCCCTAAGGGTTTTTCTGATTCACAGCCGCGACAGAGAGAATACGATCAAACGAGTAAGAAGGTTTGCTTGATAGACACAGGGTGTTGGGTCTCTTTTAACCCTAGATCACTAAACTATCCTGTGACTTGCGTTATTACTAATCATTTGTGAAAATTACGACTGAAAGAAAGCACGTGATACTTTAGGAAAATATTGTTTTCATTGAAATGGAGATCTACGTTATTGGGATATTCAGACCGAAAAATAATGAAAAATTAAGACTGTAATTATTCAGTAGAATCTGGACACACGTTAACAAAATTGATGGTAATAATGTACTGTAGTATTTCTCAAAATCACGAATTCAAGATCGTAATTTTTACGATGGTTCAGTGATCTAGGGTTAAATTGCATCCAATGGAATATCCTGTAAGGGACTGAAGGTATCAAAAATAAGAAAAATCTAAACGAAAATTCTCTAAAAAGGAATTATTAAGTAGTCCTAAGGAAATTAGTAAGAACATATTTTCGATAACTTCAGTTCCTCACCAGACATCGTTAAAAAGTAAAACAAACACCCTGCATAGAATGATTCGAAATTGGGGTTAATTACATTTACCGGTACATTTTACGAAACATACCTTGACGAGTCAACTCGACTTCCTCTAAAGGAAAAACAATATATGGGTAAGGCCCTCCTACCGCCGTAGGAGGTCTTTCCCTTACACCACTTTTTCCCCTAGCAGAAACCGAGTTCGCTCGCGAGGGTACAAGCAGATAATTTCCATTGAAATTACGTTGTTATACCAGCAATATACACAGACAAAGTGTGTTCGATCAAGAAATTCACGTTCTCAAGGTCAGCGCTAAAATTATTATCACGCATAACCGTTCCGTCAACAAACCGTCGTTCCCAATTTGCAATTATCTCGAACTCAGGTCAGGTAATGCGCGAGCATGCTGTGACCTTGCACCTCACTCTCCCCCACTGTCCGATCCATCGATCGTAAAACGCAATCGCATCGACGGAGGGCTGGCTACGGTACTTTTTTTCCATTTCAGATTCTTCAGGATGGTCTGAACCGATCAGAAGTGCGGGACTCCTTTCAGACGAACGTCACCACAGGTGTGATCCTCAGTGTGCCATCTCTTCTGTTCCCATCTTCGAGCAGCTCCTTACCGAGCACCAAACTGGTGAAAGACGCGACAATCGCGCTGGCCTCGCGACTGGCCCAGGTGCCGCATCAGGAGGCTGTACTGAAATCGTTGATGAAGATCCGCGACGCTGTTGGCGTCGAGGACTTCGAGGGCTACCTCGAGGACTACGACAATAAGCTGAAACGTAACATCGAGATACTGTCGAAGATCTACAATATAAAGTCCGGCAAGAAACCCCAGAAGAAGGCGAACAACGCCGATGACAGGAGTATCGAGAAGACTGGGAAAGATCTGGAACATCGCAAGTGGGAGGAAAGCGACAGCGACACTTCCGGTATCGTTGAGGAAGAGGACGAAGTAAACAACAGCGCCATGCCGGCGGCAAGAGTGGTACTGGAGACGGAGATTAAGTTCAACGAGGAAACTGCAATCACGATGACCATCTTGGAGGAAAAGGAGGACAGTGAGAATGAACAGGACGACGAGAGCGGCACCGACGTGAGGAATGAAGCGGAGAACAAGGATTCGTCGCCTGATCGACGGAAGACACCGAGGAGGGTCCATTTTGGGGGTGAAGTGGTGAAATTGAGGACCCCTGATAGCGATGAGACTGAGTCTATTGAAGCAACGCCTAAAACTAGGATTCCAGTTCCGGTTTCTCCGGCGACTAAGATGCCTAATACATTGAACAGACCGTCTTCTCAGCCTTGTAGTCCTCGCAGGGAGGTTGGTAAACCGAGGAGAGCTGCTAGATCGGTGTCCAGCAGTCCCAAAAGGGAAATTTATACGCACAACGCGGAGCTCAGTCCTAAGAAGAGTATTCTGGCTAGGACCAGCAGTCCTGTAGTGGTTAGATCAGCTGAATCTAGGAGAAGGAGGAACGTGAACCGACTGGAGGATAAGGATGCCTCGGAACTGAATAGGGATAACGAGAATCCTTCGAGGGTATTCGCGATTACCGAAGAGATAGAGGAAGCGAGGAAAGAAGAGGTGAAGTTGGTTCAAAGTGGTCAAAGTATTGGGATGTTGGCTGTGAATAATTGGATAAATTCAGAGAACAGGGACGAGGAACAGAACGAAATTGTGGTATCAGAGATCGCGGGGAATACTTCGAAGATTTCTCGTGAATCGGAGGATTCTTCAGGTAGGAATAAAAAGGAAATGAAGGAAGAGAGGAATTATCGAGAGAGGAAAAACGGTTCTCATAATAAAGTTGTTGAAAACGATCAGAAGAAGATCGTTGATGAGAAAGTTCCATTTGTTGAAAGTGTTCAGAAAATCGATCACTTTTTTGGTTCTCTGGTGGAAGACGATGAGACGGAATATGGTCACGATCAAGTTGGACAATCTACCGCGAATGATTGGTCGTTTAATGAAAATGAGGTTTTAGAGGATAATGGGATGAATGGTGCGACGAAGGAGGACAATGTAAACGGTGAACGAACGACGGAAGGTGATCGCGATAAGACGGTGGCGAGTACGATTGAGAAAAATGGGGGGAATGCTGTTCGTGCTACTGGCGAGTTGGAGAACGTTTCGGAGGAACCCAGCTGGGAAGATTTGGGATTGGTCGACCAGGAGGTACTGGAGGATTTGCACAATAAAGTGAGTTATATTTTAATCTGTTGATCAACTTTATAGTATTTTTTTTTGGGACGGAAAACTTTGCAAGGATCGTCCAGTGGATATTAACCCCTTGCCCTATGATTTTTTTGATGTCTGCAGTCTCCAGACTTACTTTATCATCAATAATTCCCCAGAAATAAAAGGAATTCGTGTACTTATCTCAATTGTACATTTGCTTTACAAGCTAAATATTAATATTAGCAAACTAGTATTTCACCTTGACGCAAAGAAAACGAATAATATTCCTGTTTGTTGAATCCATTTTAACGTATAACGAACCCACGTATAACGAATGTGAAAGCCGATGACCGGGTCACACGTGACCCCATACCAAATACTTATAAACTATATAAAAATACTACATTAATTCAGTAAAAAAATAATACAAAATGTGCATAGCACTGTTTAAACAGGTAGTTGTGAATAGAGCGTTACCATTGAAGGCATCAATTAGATTGCTTTATTTCCCTATTAATTCAATCGGGTATCGATCAGTGCTTAAACAGGAGGAATCGTAAACGGCTGGGGATGTTAGATAGCGATCTGCTTGCTCATAAAATATTTCTCCAGTTAAACGACGACTAGAGGCGTCCTGAAAGCTGGAGTCTGCCGTTCTAAATTTTTCCTGCCGAATACACACATCGAACACTCAGGCACGGAAATGGCCGGAAGGGCCCCCGCCAGGGGCAAAAACAAAGAAACGTGTTGTCGGCCCGATAAGCGTGGTACGTACTCCTAATTGATGGAGTTTAAATCACGTTACGCCACGCGACGAACTTTCGCCCGACGAAATCGATTGACCTAGTTTCCCACCCCCCTGGTTAATGTGTATCAGAACGATCTGTCCTAAAGTCGTCTCTACACCCCTTCCGCGAGTCGCGTTAATCAGGGGAGTCGTGGGAGGAATAGAGTGACAGGGTGTTGGGTGGTCAGTGTCCCTTGTCGATCAGGTTGGACGTCTAAATTCAGACTGGCCTGTGTTCACGCTTTCAAATTGTTATTTTACAGTCTTTACGTTTGCACAGTGCTCGGAGACCAGAGTTGGGCACAATTTTATTCGAATAATATACAGTGAAAAGCAACAGTATCTAAGGGCATCATTCTGAGCTTTAAACTTAGTTAATGAGATTAAATAATTGTTTGCCAAATGTTGATTCATTTAAGAAGAAGTAATATTTTGTTATAAAAATTGGAGTTTTCACGTTTAAACGATTGAAAGTGACGAAGTGCTTTTTTATCTTTTATCCGTTATTCGAAACTCTTTATCTATATAATGAATTTGCCCATCTCTGTCGGAGACCAATTAGAGGTTCGTTACTCGAGGACGTTACCATTGCGATTGAGAAAAAAGGAAATGTTATTGCTGTGGGTTTAACCTTTTCTTTGCCACTGTTGCCATATGACTACGTATTCTAAATTACGAAATAAAATATTAGTATCATATATATATTTTTTTCATATCTGTGAGTGTGTAATAGTTTGTTCTGGTCTTGTATATATATATCTTGGCAGGAATAATACAGGAAGTCATGGTAGTAGTAAGACAATTTTAATTTTTCTAAAATCAATACGAATATTAATTTATTGAAGAATTCCACACGGAACTGTATTGATAATAATCGTCCGGCGAATAATCGAAAAGCTCGAAGTCCAGCTTGAATTTATCATACAGTTTTTCAACCATATCTCGGCTAAGCTGACTGAAATATATCCTCGATGCATTCGAGTAACCCCCGTTGTGTCGCCATCTTGGCTTAATTACCTCTTGCAGGCCTAATTTATGGATCGCGTAAATCTGGTCCCGCCACAACGTTTCGACCTGCGAAACATTACAAATGTGAACGAAGCTGCCCGTGCAAAAAAATCTCCCGGCCAGTATAAGAAGGCACGAAACGTGCCACGTTTGTTTATCTGATCTCGGATGAGCAACTAATTCGAGAAATTCTTATACATCATACATGTAAAACGTTCAGTATGGCATTACTACTACAGGTAATCCACTATTTTTAAACGCTATTAACGTTCTTTTCTAGGGAAGTCAAATTGACTTTCGATAGTTTCAGTTATTCCTCTGGACTTCATCATCAAAGTGAATTCTTCTTGATCATACCTTCGCGACTATATCATAATGAACGATGCATGGTGTACAGAAAAGATAGTAAGGCATCCAATGGTCGTCTCCGTAGCTGCCCAAATCTGTACTGATCAGATACTGGACGAATTCTCGAAAAGTGGGTTCGATCCCAGCCGGCTGGGGAAGATCCTGTTGTCTGATCACTTGATCATCCCGTGGTCTCTTGAAGTTCTTGTCTATACATAATAATATATATATATATATAAGAAAGAAATGATAAATATATAAGAAAAAACTCACTATTAGCCCAGTGCTCGACTTGTAAGGAATATCGCCGGTCGATACATTTGCCGTGACTTACCGCGGTACTTTCGAACGATCTTGCCGCCGTATTTCCGATAAAAGTGCAGTGTCCCGTGTTCCCTTCCAGCCACGGAGTTCTCCAGCTTATCGCGATATGCGCTCAGCAATCTCTCAAATGGGTGCCTTACCACCAGCAGTTTCTTCGTTAACATCAGCGCCTACATCAGGTTTTACCCCCCCCCCCACCGTGTTAGATCTCGTTACACCGAAAGATTCGATCGAGCATCGAGAAATTCTGTTCGTCGAATGGAAACAGGGGTACGTTGACTCGTGGCTTGGGTGGCAATGTTCACACAGAGTGATATAAAAAAATATTTCATAACTTTTAAGGTAGATACAGTAATGTCTCGATGAGTGCGACATACTCGGAAATGCTTCAGAGCATTTGTGGGAAGGTGCAAAAGGTTTTCAGTCCCTCATAAACATTGAAAAAAATGGATATTTTCAAAGTTAAAAACAATGTTTTGTTTAACGGAGGTATTGTAAACAGAGTATAGGATCTGTTAATTGATGTTCGTAAGGTCTTTAGTACAAAGATTAGATATTAGTTTCATTGTCGTTGTTATGAAGAAAATCTAACAGATTCGCGATTTACGAACGAACGATTCATTTATCTTCACCTTGTCGGCTTCTGGATACTCGATTTCCGGTATCACTCTTCTCGCGATGGTCGATATCTGCTCCTTTCCACTGTTCAGCTCCTCCACGGGCACGTTCATTAGAAGACACAAATTGTAAATCCATGTCGTGCTGCCGGCTTTGTAAATCGGACAGTATGATAGATTATGCGATCTATGCGACAAATAATGGCGCGGACACGCAACTAATTAAAGCATTGACCGCTAGTTCACCAAACTGACGTAATTATGCTATCGACTCTTTGTGGTTGAAATAACTTTTTTTTTAACACCATTGATTATTGACACTACCAAGAATTAATATTGAATTAAAATTGAATTAAAATTAAATTAAAAATAATTTCAAATCGAATTGAAATTGTATTGAATTGAAATTGAAATGAAATTGAATTAAAATCGAATTAAAATTCAATTGAAATTGAAGCGAAAAGAGCACAAGGCTTAAATCAATAAAATACAACAGTTACAGGAAAGTACAGTGAGTAAAAAAATATTTACACGCAAGCACTTCTTTGAAACAATTATATAGATTCTTGGATTGTATGAATACATACGTTTCCTAGTATAGTATATTTTTTTATCGCGATCAATATACTTATTTATCATAAGATACTCAAGCGTGCAAATACATTTTTGTACGCAGATTAATTTGATCTCATACGACTAGCGGAGCTTTCAACAAATTTCGTTACAAACCTAGCTATATAAAAAACAGTATATTGAGGCGCAGGTGGATGCTTGAAAGCTGAAGGTTTATCAGGTTCTCTGTGCTTTCCTAGATTGTATTTCCGACAGGTGTCTCTTACCGTCAATAGCCGTTTGAAATTATCAATCTCAGCCTCGATCTAAATTATTCGAGGATAAAAAAAATGATAAAATCATACAAAATTATGATACAGTTGACTTGTCGCAAATTTTCTCGAACATTTTAAATTTAACACTTCGATTTACGTACTTACCATTAATTTCTTCAGTTCTTCGAATTTGGGCGCTGTTTTGTTCTCTTCGCCAACATCGTGAACAGTCAATTTTATAATAACAAAGAATAACAAACAACCAATAATAGATTTCAAAATCTGAACGATTCTTCTCCGATTTCTAAACATCTTCACGCCTGTTTATCCGTAAACCTGACAGAAAACGTTATATCACCGACAAAATAGCATGCGTATTTCTTTCGAGAAACAGCATTCCGCGAGATTTTTTGCGAAACGTGCACTTTGACTTTGTAGTCCGCGAAAAAAAATGTGAATTCGCTGGAAGAACCGGGTAAATATTCGTTCTTCCTTCTGGCCAGACACTGACTGACCGGTTTCCTGTTGTATCTCGACAGTGATGGATCTAGAATGCTCGAAACCCGTGGCAAGAAGCCTCATACGAAAATTTATTGAAATTCAGTTTCTGGAATTTAATTAATTTTTGCTCGTTCGTAGTCGTTTAATCGCAATATGATTTTGCTACAGTGTTCCGAATATAAATGCACTGTACTGTAGATAATGTTCTGGGCACGAGAAGAAGTTGATCCATACGTGATATGGGTCGGATAAATATTTGCGATGGTTCGTTACAACTGTGTTTGCACTAACATGTAGATAAAAGTTATCTGATTCGATTGACTATAGCCGTTCCTGGATACAGTTCAGGAGGTATTTGAGGAAAGAAGCCTAGAGACTCTTGTGCATACTAATTCGCTTCGTTTCAGGCGTGTCAGTGACATCGTTTGCTGAAGAAAAGCAGTTCTCTACTGGCATTTGATAATCTTTGAAAATTTACAAATCTGGAATTTTTAATCTTGAATGTTGCGTGATTTTAATTCTGAAATGTGTTTTTATTGGAATATATAATCTTATGGTACATACTTCAGGTACAAACACTGTTTCATACTCACCTCCGACCAGTTAAATTCACTATTGGGAAGAAAAAGGATAGTGAAGTTACGAAAGGGTTTATTGTTACCACGAAAACACGTCAAACGTCTGTCGGCCGTGAAATCGTGTCTTCCTTTCATTCAGCGGAAGTTCAAGGCCACTCTATGCCACTCCATGAATGTCGCGCGGTGTGCAGGTATATGCAGAATAAAAACTATAAAACTGAATAGCATCACGGATATCGATTCCGTGCACGTCGCATAAGCCGCGCTTTTATAACGTGAAAGAAATCCCGTATCGTGGCACGTTTTCGCACAGGAATACATAAATGTTTCAACGGTGAAAACTTCGGGTTGACTTTTTTTGTCAATTAATTATTATTAGTCAGGTGTTGAATCCACCAACGGGGTGCATAATTCTAGCTTTATTAAGGCGACAAGAGTTATGAAAGAGGATTGTTGTGCAGAGATACGAAGGTATAAAGAGTATAAAAAAAAAGAAAATAACTGAGCTAATTTAGTACTACTGAGTACATACGACTGTACTATACCGTACAGTATAGTATGGTATTAGTAACGAATTACAGTCTACTCTGTACTACTCTACTACTTAGTACTACACAGTACTACTCAGTACCACTCAGTACCACCCAGTGCTATTCAGTACTACTTAGTAGTTAGTACTACTCTACTATTGAGTACTACTTTACTATTCAGTACTTCTCCACTACTCAGTACTACTCCACTATTCAATACTACTCCACTAATTAGTATTACTTCAGTACTCAGTTCTACTCCAGTTCTATTCCACCACTCAATACTACTCTACTACTCAGTACTATAATACTGAATAATACCTTTCTTTTATCCACTAACTCATCACTCATAATCGACAAGCGATCACCAACGATCAGTTACAGCGATCGATTACCATCGACGACTATCATCAATCGTCAGTGTCACTCATTATCGGTCAAGGGTGGTCAAGTTTCACCCGGCTGACTCGAGTACCACCCTAGGGTCGGAAACCTCGGCGAGACTGTTCCCCGGTGAAACGGAATACGCATCGATCCAACCTTTTAATCCGCGTCATCGTCTTTTTCAACGTCCGCGTGAACTTTTCAAAGACATCCACGGCAACACGCGTCGGCTGATTAAAGTAGATTGATCACACTTCCAGAAGATATTTCCCTTCTCCTCCTTCCTCGGGGGTAGTATCCTCGGTGGCAGTGAAACGCAGGGGGCTGAATAATGCATGCTGTGTTTCGTTTTCCACGTGGCAGTGGTGGTAGCGGCGCCGCGGTTGAAATAACAACGGTCACTATGAATATTCCGCGGATGAAAAACGACTGCGAGATTTCTCCGCGGAACATTATGCATATCGAAATAGCCGCGGTGGTGGAAACGCGCGGCGCGCCGCGCCCTGTAACAAGAAAATAATTAGGAGAAGGTGTTGCGTGCCGAGTCGGTCCAGTGAACCTTCCTTGCCGTGTTTATGCTAATCCCCTTGCGATTTCAATCCCCCACCCCTCGTTTTACAACCCCTCCGAGAAATCGACTGGATTCCACCGAGACGTCTTCGAACTCGTGATATCCACGAATCAAAATAATTTCGCTCGATGACGTGGAATGAGATTGATATTACATGTAGCAGTGACTGGTCCCATGTATTTTTTTCTGAATCCGTAAATGTGTTTTTTGGTACTCAGATCGGTGGTTATATTCCACTATAGTTTCGAATTACGAGACGATATAATTCGAGTGAAAAATACTTACTCCGCTTTTCATGGAGTTTCACAACGACACGTGGCGTTGCAGGTTTACCGCAAATTCATTGAAATTATGAAAAGTCAATAATATTGACCATTTCCGTGTAAATAGAATACGATTCCGAAAGTGAATGCAGATGTTACACGGTGCCATTGCATTCCGACTTGCTGCAACGATCGATAATGTTGGCTCGACGACTGGGATTCTTGACTAAACTACAATTACGTTTAAATGATACTTTCTATAAAAAAATTTTCTAAATTTGTATATTCATTAACAACTTCGAAATTATATAAAATTATTCTTACGGGTTCTTTGTTAACTATTTGTACAACAAAAAAGCATAATTTTCGTATTGCGAAACACTACTATAGTGCTCATAAAATTATTTCAATAAGTTGTGAATAATGACTAATAAAATTGTGAACTAAAGTATTAATAAAAAGAGACAACATTTTATATAACAAAGAAAAGTTTTCCACGTACGTTATTCAAGACAATTGTTCAGTCTGATGGATTGTAGGCATGTGTTTCAGTAATTTCCCCTAATCTGTATTTCATTAACTGCAATTTGATCCAATTTCAGGAGGATTGGCGAGCTCGTGTTAGGGGCTTGGAACGAGTGGCATCGGCTTTACGAACGTCTTCTGCGCTGATCGCGATAGAGCCACGATTAGGATCTCTTTTACATGCAGTGCTGGGCTGTGAAAGGAGCTGTCGAGTAGCTGCTGCTGGTCTGGCGGTGGCAAAGGTAAATCTGCGACTCGTAAATTCGCGCCCCTAGATCAATCTAAATACTAACTTGCCGGTACACAATAATTCTATAAGTGTATATTATTTTCTGTACAATCAAGTTCTATTGCTGTTATGTTACTACCTGAGAAACACCGAAGCTAGTTAACATAATATCATGCTTGTACGCATTACGTTATCATTGTGTATCATTATTTGTTTATTAAAAAGTTAATTTTTCAACCTTTCAAACGATCTAAAGAGAATTGAGCATTTCGAAAGGCTGGAAATATTTGGGGAATCTGGAAATATTTTAATGAGCTTGTTCTACCTAGGAATTTTAAGTGTCCCAAGAGTGCTAGAAATCTTATGTGTTCCAAAAGTCCTAGGAATCCGAAATGTTTCAGGAATCCTCAAAATCCTCAGTAAGTAAGACATCCTCGAATTTTCAAGGAATTTCTGAAAAAGAATCCCAAAAATTCCACGAATGAGGATACCAGAAGTCTCTAGAGATTTCGAATCGCCAAGAGATTCTGAACATTACAGACCTTATAACTCCACGAGAACAACTCCAGATCACTTCGTATCACGGAGCTCCCCGGAACACCCAAACCCTCTGCCTCGGAATCCCAGGCATTCCTATGAAATGCTAATAAATTCCGACCCTTATGAACACCTCTCACGCGAATATTTCAAATCGAGGTTTACGACGGTCTCGTGGCGAGGGGAATGAAATTAAAAAAAATCTGGTACACAATTCACGACGAATAAAAAGCAAATTACTTGGGTCCGATTAGGTGGTCATAACCGGCGTCAGCGAAGAGTCTTTGAAGGAACGGTTACCGCAATTGGCCTGGGGTTTGGCGAGGCAAGGTGGACCTTGCGCCGCTCAATTGGCTCGTTTAACGATGCTCCGGCTCAGACCCACCCTTTTGTTGGAGCAGCTTCTGCAGCCGCAGTGTCTGAACGCCAGAAACGCAAAGGTTTGACGATCATTTGAAAAAATTCCTATTACACTTACTTTCGAAATGTATTCCATTAACGGATTTCAATAATTTTTACCGCAGACAAGAGAAAACACTTTGCAACTGTTAATCTTCTCGTTGGTGACGTTCCCAAGCACGGAATTCAAAGTGGACACGGTGGCCAACAAGGTGGCCAAAATGGTCAGGGACAGACGACGCAGGGTACGACAGGCTGCACTGGACACTTTGGCTGTTTTAGCACAGATATATGAATCGGAGGTATCTAATCTTATTTAGTGTTCCATATAGTAATTGTTACCCTTTTTTATTTTTAAAAAACTATTGGTAGTATTATTTGATACTTGCAGGAAGTACTGGCTGCTGGAAAACGAGCGTCGGGGGGACATCACGATGGCGAGGCGATGGTCGCTGCTATTCGGGCTCGCCTCGCCCGGAAGTCGTTGCCGTTGGTCTCCGCGGACGGCCTCGTTATGTACGGTTTGCAAATTTCGCCCACTGTCCAAATAGCTACTGGTAAATCGTCCATTTGTTAATACTCATTAAATATCGATGTATTCGATCGTACAGCTTCAGAAGAATGAATTTTTCTTTGCTTCACTTTCATATCGCAGTTTGAGTTGCAGTAGATGATAATTAGCGTAATTGTGGATGTCTGTATAAATATATGGACATATATTTTATGGTTTAACGGTTCACTGCCACTGCATGCACTGGAAAGTCATTGTCCTTTTCGTGCTTCTGCAAAGTGTTCGTATCAATAAATACATCTTCAACATGGCCAAGCTCACGACGCACAATTTTCTGCTGTCTGACATTGCGAACGTTTTAATTCAGTTTTACACCTAAAATATCTTTAAACTTTCGTTAGTCAGAATGAAAAATTAAAGAAAGTTCACGACACTGTATTAAAATTCAGGTTAAAAGTTTGCAAATATTATGGGTTAAGGGAAAATAAAAAAAAAAATGTGACATATAAAATATGAAGTTGTTGCAATTGCACAGAGAATAATTTGTGTACTCGACACTTAATTATAACTGCTATCGATGTGTATCTAGCGTGGAATCCTTTATTTAGCTACTTATAAATAGAAATTCAAATCGATTAACGATCTTTATTTAATTCCCGGCAGTGTTAGTCGTTTATTCGATGATCGATTAAATTTTCTTAGGTCCTGATGTCGATTGGATCGTGGCCGGAAGTGGTTCTGTTTCACCTGGTATCGGTCGTACCAAAGGTCAAGTTATAGCAACTAGGACGGAAAAGGAAAAACTTGCAAGGTAATATCCTGAATACCGCGAGCTCGTTCATTTATCGTCTTACTGAAAGCAAAAACATTCTATTTTAATGTACATACTAAATCATGTTCGTGGAATCTTTTCAGAAGCGAGAATGCAAAGAGTTCCGAGAATCCATGGATCGACAGGCCGAATTTCGTGGCCCTTGGAGTCGGTATGCGATCCAGAACGGATCATCCGGTGGTTTGGCAAATGGTGCCAACACCCAATCAGGTACAGATGCATTAAAATGCAACAGAATTAACGAAATACAAATATTCCTACTTGTAATGGTATCACAGTGCCTAAAAAGCTGAAGAAAAGCAATAATACAATAGTATTCGGGTACTTTGGACCTGAAAAATTTGCACGGAACATGACGTAAAATTTAGGGACCATTGTACCTAACTATTCTGGAAATTTTAATGTACAGTTTTCTTCAACGATATTCCGGTAATTCTTGGATTACCTCGACGCAACCGAAAGTTACTCTTAACGTTTCATTCGTTCAACACTCTACCAAGTTGTGGCCTTCCCTTATCAGTTCATTTTACCCAGCCGATGTCAATGAACGGAATTTGGTGCGCGGTCTAAATCGATAGCAATCGTACACTACTGTCGAATTGAAATACTAATTAACAATTATGATGAGACCGCTATCGAAATGCAAGCTTAACGAACCGAGCAAGCTTATGCTACTCGGCTGGACGTTCTCTCGCGTGTTCCGAGGTCGGTCGACGTTGCTCGCAAAGTGCGATCTCGTTATACGAAAGCCAGTTTTAAGCTGCAAATCACGATTGTACAATGAGCCTACTTCCACTCGGTTCCTTAGACGATTTGAATAAGCGGCTGCATGTTGCATAAGTAGCAATGCCTTAAAGTTTATCGTTCACGATCCGTAAACGTGTATACACACAAATGATTATACGACGAAACAATAACAAGGCCCTATTGTATTTTGTATTATTACATTTTCGAACCACACGATCAATCGTGTCGCCTAACTCGATGACGAGGTTCATGGCAGTGCGGCGGGACACGTTCCGTTTGTGTTTTTTTTTTCGTATTCTTTGTAGAGTCGCTTTATTGGATAAATGTTGTGTGAGAAAATTCGTTCGATGTGTCGTGAGTTATTTTTATCACGTGGTGCAACAGTTCTCGTACCGATGGCAATTGTCACTCCCGGTGACATTCGGTCGAAGTCATGTCCCATTTAAATTTACAACACTTACTCAACTTGATTAAGGTTAGTAATGCTCACGGAACAGCAACGTTAAGTAATTGACATTACGATATTATTGGAGAGTTAAGATTAGTATAATATCAAGCAAGATTATACGCATAATGGAGAACAAAAATATTGTTTTAGAACCTTCAGAACGAAGAGAGTCTTGAGTCAACCCGAGAAGTTAATACTAATTATTGTAATGGTAATCATTTACGATTTTGTTATACTTTGTCATGAACCGATGATAGACGATGTACGGTGATTTTGTTACGTTTTAGGTGAAGGCTCCAGTTACGACTTGAACTCAAGGAATCGTTCGAGACTTCCGGCCGCGTCGAGGGAATCGAAGAATTACCGGAATATCGTCGAAGAAAATTTTGACCAACAGGTGATTATCATTCGAAATGTTATCTTTTTGATGGTATTTTCGTAGAGTATAATGAATTGTTTTAACGTAGCCTGTATTTTAGGAACTTGACGATAAAACAGAATCCAGAATCCCGGTGTTGTTCCCTCGTGATCGGGCAGCAAAAGTCGGATACGCTTTAGATAAATCTATCAGTTTGGAATCGATTAATTCGAAAAAGAGATTGAAAGAGGCGGTAGAGCACGCTAAAAACATGAATTCTCGAGAAGCTAACGTTAGGTAATGTCAATCTTTATTAAATAGAATTACTAGATTGTGGATGGTCATGAACTGAAGGATCCACCAGGTTCTAAATGAAATAAAATGCATTAAATGTTACCAAAACTATTAACTACATAGAATCCTAGACAATAGTACATACCGTAAGTGCATAAAAACAGCGACACGTGTTTACAGATCTTGCGGAACTATGTTCAGAAGAAAGAAGAATCAACAGGAGAACAGTACGAACACTAGTCACGATACGTTCTCGCCGATAAAGCCTGTAAGCAGTGTAAATAGAGATAACAGTGTAAGTTCCGAATTATCGAACATGTTTCCAATACACTTATTCCATAATCACTGAATCAAGAATGGTTAATATTATAATTAATATTGCAGAACCTTTCGGACAACTCGAGCCAGGATTACCTGGATGTTACTGCAAGAATATATCGCAAATATCTGGCGAAAGGCAGAGGCTCGAAGAGGTCTGACAACACGTCGAATTTCACTCGATCGAATTCCACCGAAAGTCACCAATCATCGTTACCGAAGGGTGTTCAACAACAAACGTTCATTATGCACGATATGTACATATTACTTTCACATAGATATATATTTAATTATTTAATCAAGATTCAATAATCGATTTACACTATTTTTTAAATGTCTAGGTACAATACAGTTAACAGGAGACAGGGTCGATTCGCGGACGAGAATTCCTTTCGACCGTTGCAAACGGCTCCGGCACCACCGACACAGCCTTACAATAAGTTTTTAGATTCTAATCAGAGGGACGGGGAGATCGACGATAGCAATACGTTGTCCCGAGTAGGTATCAAGTGGCAATTCTCGAATATACATTTAACGCATTACGTACTTATGTACATGTCGATTCTGAACTACCGAATCCAAGAAGCGTTCATTGTTGGATTATTATTACAGGCGACACATGCATGTCAGTATTATAAGCAGAAGAAATGTAAATCGAAGTCATTTTATGTTCGTAGGATATTCTACGAAATACAAAGCGTTTGATTTCATACGTATTGTCATTTATATTTCTCGATCCTTCGAAAATACTCAAATGCATGGAGACTGCATTAAATGCTGTTATAAAGTTATGACTACAAGTTTGATGGAAGATTTAACATAGGCAGCAAATTGGCAGCAACATATGTAACAAAGTGGCTTGCGCAAATCTTGTTCCGGTTTTGCCCTTAATTTGACATAGGTCATGTTGCAAGACTTTCTGCCAATTTGCAAACGGATGGCTATGGTTTTTTTTAGATAACTTTTGTCATTTATCGTTGGTAATTTGCTCGAAATTTGTACACCACTGGTTTTCAGGGTATATCCCCCATTTATCGAATTTTTACGTGTCCTGGAGAAACGAACAAAAAAATCTGTATTGCCGTTACAGCCGAGGTTCTACAGCAGGACGAAGGACGCCGCCGCGCAGAAAATGAACGATGTCGAGTTAATTTCATCGGACACCCAGACAGGCGACCTTTTCCCAGCGATACGCGTGAACGCGTCTTACAGAAGACGGTTGCGCTCGTTGTCACCGTCCCAGTTGTACCGTCGACAACAGTTTCCAAGAATGGCTTCCAACGAAGTGCACACGATGTCCATGCACGATATGTAAGTAACATTCATTTTCATTGTACTTCAAGGCCTCTTCGATTCAATTTTAAAATTATTAAATCGGTTAGGATTGGACTGGAAAGGGTTGACACTCGAAAACCGCAAAAAGGTGGGAAAATATTTAAATTTAAAATTGAGATATACCCTGGTTCAATGTAAATGCACCGTTTGAATTTGTATATTTTGGAATTATTGGACGTACAAATTGTACTTCGGTGCGTTTACATTGAACCAGTGTATACCTCAATTTTAAATTTAAATATTCTTCCGTATTTTTGTTGTTCTCAACTGTCGATCTTAACGGTTTTGCAACACCACACAGCGATCAGTGATGGCGTCCTAAATCAAAAGAGACATTCTGATGGAGTATAAATCTCAGACAAATAAAAAAAATTGGTATAAAACGTCGACGAACGAGGCTTAATTTTATCTAAGTGTTAGCTAATGCAACAACATAACAATGGAATAGATAATCGAAGGATGTAATTTGGTATTCCTACGGGTCCTCGTTATCTGCAGCAGGTGACGCAACGTGTGTTGTATGGGGGCATTATCATCCTCGCTATTGCACTTTTCCTGACTCCCGACAAGCAATATTGTACCGCTTTACTAGTTTATTTCTGGAAAATTAGTAACCGTTCCCGTACAACCAATAGTCCGTCGTCACGATGGAGAGGGTGGAGGCATGAATTTTTTACGACTTCATAACTATGGGTCTGTAAGGGTGACAAGAGGCAAGATTTTCCCGTAATTTCACCTTCGAAGCTCGCTGCTCAACGAAAATTACTTTTAGCAACATTTCCAAGAACCAGACGACTGACCCCTGTCTGATTGTTATCTTATTGGAATTATTACACTCTGTGTATTCACCTGATCGATTTCTTCGATGGCGCGAATCGAAAGGTGACTCATTAGTTCCTCCTTTGAGCCGTCCTTAAATACGAGTACTCTCAAACCTTGAAACAGTTTACCTTATCTTCGATGAATTGTTGTTTTTTTTCGAAATAGGGTCGATGAAATTCAACGTGGAAAGCTGATCTTAATAATGTTGATTATTTACGGACGTACGTTTAAAAAGCCATTCTATGGAACGGTTAAACGAGCCGCGATACGCCGAGAACATTCTTGGTCCCGTTTCTGTTCTCCTTGATTTACGAACGTCGCGTGCGTAGTGATACAACATGGCTATAATTACATTTTGTGGACTCTTGAATAATTGTCAACGAGTATCTAGCGCAGAATAATTTATGCAATAATTGAATACTACAATAATAATAACTGAATGCAGTAATAATAATGAATGTTCATGACGTGATAGAAAAAGTATTTGCACGCTCGAGTTCGTTATTATGACAAATATACTGCTAGTGATTGTATTATTATTATTATTCTTGAATTTCATTATTCTAAAATTTGAAGTATTATTATTTTACAAAGGGGGAGGGAACTATTGTTCAACAAAAATTCTGGTACACCTAATAATCTATATTCCCCAAGAATCTACAAAATACAGAAAAGTGGTTCCATTTCAAATACATTTCTTTCACCCCCCATACAATTCTTGTTGTCAGTTCATACGAAACTAAAGCCTAGAAATACAATCTCTAGAATAAAAAACCCAGAGGGGCAATAAAATTACTTTTTATGTCGATCGCACGAGATTCCTCCGTGGAATACAAACCCAGAGACAGTCGATAGCACCTGGTCATTTTCACCTGGGACGTGTCTGTATACATACGCCTACGTTCATTTCCACCCTCGGATGTCCAAGAAGGGGTCGGCCGAGCTACGGTCAGTGTATAGCCATTCGATATGGTATCGCGTGGTTACAGGTGGAAACACGGATAGAAGGGAAAAGACAGAGAGAGGAAAAGTTAGAGGAGGGTGATGGGGAAGGGGGTGAATTACCTGGAAGGAAGGGGCAGCGGTCAGCGTCGGGACGCCTGACGTCTACGTGGGGGCACAGTCGTGCGTGCGTCGTCATTTGTCGCGCGGTTGCAATCACGCTCTCACCCCCTTGTACCCCCTTTCGTTATTTACCTGTACCCCCGTCGAAAGAAACGTGAGTACCATTAAGAACGTGAAAAGTGATCGTCGAAAAAGCTTTGAGAATTCTGTTCGAACAGAAAAAAACACCAATTTACCGATGAATGCTTGTGCGACGACAGTTTCACAGGATGATGGAATGTTTTCAAGCATCCGAATAAAAAACCACCAGGAATGTTCGGTCTCTAGTTCGAGCACAACGGCTCTGCTTAGTTGCATTTAAGTTTTGCAGGCGTGTTTACCTAAGACTGACCTGCGAGCGACTTGAAACGCCTCTGAGTGATCGGAATTAGTCTTCGATCTGTTGGTTTTCGCGAGTGGTGTGGTTTGTGCAAACAAAATGTACCTAGAACATTAATGATCGTTTTGAAATATTACTGAAAGGGTTTTACTCTTGTGAACTAGAAATATCAGACCACATTTTAACATGGTATTATATTCTTACACGATTATTCGACTCGGGTTTTCGATTCTGAAGATGAAACAGAGTGTGTAGTTACAGATAATTTTCTCGGTGTTGTATTTGTAGGAATGTATGAAATCACAAGGTTGCTTTGAACGATTCTAAGGGTATGTGGAATCAAATAGCAATATTGTGACCGAACATTATGTACTTCCTCTTTATCTATCCATACAGTTGTCTATTATTGAAGGCACGGAAGTCTGCGTTGTTCTCAGAAAGAATATTCTTCGTTCAGGATTTAGAGTTTGAATAAATTTTCACGAAGCATCTACCTAATTACCCAAAATAATAATCTTTAGAGGATGGAAAGAGCCTATTTTTAGGCTCCAGAGGGGAAGTTTATTCTTTAGTATTATAACACTATCACAAATATATAAAAGTTCTAACTTGAAAATATAAAAAGCCCTGAAAATGTCCTCTAAAGGTAATATCTGATTTAAAACCATTCAAGTACACCGTGGCAATGACTCGTTAGCGAAGTTCAGGAACACTAACCGTCCAAATTACAGTCCGTCAGCTATAGTCGGTCTCATAACAGGTTGTTAATCGATCATCTCGTTAACCTTAGATGATCCAGAAACGCACAGTAACCCCTGGAAGTTCGGGGTAGAAATTTCTCATTTCCATACACGTCTAGACACGGAAAATTTATTGCTGCCCCCGCTCGTTTCCCGCCATTTCTCGTCAGCCATCGTAAAGATTATCAAGGCCCATAAAGATACACACATACACTCACGATACACTTTTAATTCTCTTATTTTCATTCTGTTATTCGAAACTTCAGTCGAATAATCGTTACTTTTGTTTCGTCCTATCAGTTCGTTCCGTTTAGTCGGGCGACCATACGGTTGCATAATTCAAGAGGCTAACGATTTTCCAATAAGCAATCATTCCGATAAGATGCACCAATAAGCAATCCGCTATTTGTCGACGAAATCAGTATTCGTTTCTATGAAGATCCAAGATATGTATTGTTTCATTTTCTACTCCGAATTTCATTTTTATTTTTTTAATTCTACGCCGTTTTTCGCAGCGAAAGTGAAATCTAAATTCTCTCTCCCTCGCGAGAGAACAATACGGTGAACTGTTGAAAAGAGTGACCTAAACCTGGCGCGAATTAATCGTCAACCTTCAGGAAGAAAAAAGAGCGACACAAAGGTGTCTAAACGCGACGAGTACCAAGGACTTCAGGCCATAGATCATTCGACAATGGAAGACCGTTCGATCAGCCGCGATAAAAATGAACCAAGGAGAACGAAAGAGGTCGACAGCTCGGAAATAATGTTCACCGTAAACGGTGCCATTCGCCGGAAATCGGGTACCTTCGATCACGATCGATGAAACACAGCCAGGATGATCTTCAGGTGTTGCGCCTGGCCGGACGAGGCCAAGGATGCCGCGATCGTTTCGAAAGACGTCGATCATAACGGTACCAGGATCGATCGGAATTACAACGTGCGATCGGCGAACTCGAGGAGGAAGGAGCACAAGATCGCGGACGCTGTTCTACGGTATTGTCCCTGCGCGTTTCGATGCCGACGCGCCGTGGACGTCGCGACGGATGAGGATGACACGATCTCGACGATCGTCACCACCGCCAACACTACGCCTGTGATCCCGTTGACGTTGAACACGAGCAACGACACGATGTATGTTCTCTGGTTCGCGGAGAAATTTACGTGTAATTTTTAGTATTCGTTTAGAATTCAACGGCAAAGACCAATACAATGAATAATTACAATACATGCAATTCTAGTTTTTGTAAAAATAATAAGGTTGTAACTTGAATTTTTATATGGTTTATTGCATTATAGTTTGCATAACTATTTTTTTTATGGTAAAATCCTAATGATGAATCTTGGAAATTGGTGGTTTTAGACTACATATAAAAAATAAAGTAAGTACCTACCTACAAAGACTCATATATGGAGAAAGTGAGCTAAGATGTTTATCTGAAATTCTTTAAGAATCCAGTAATTTGAGGGGCGGTTCTTTAAGTAATTTGAATAATACATTTTAAATTTTTTTACTAAAAAATAAAGGATTAAAGTTCAACAAAGCCGTGGAAAGTAATGGCGGACGTACACGACACTCTCCCAGACTATATTTTATGCACGAAATATAGTTCTATAAGAGTGATGACTGAATGTCACGGTGAAAAGTATGGGTATATAGCGTGGATACAATTTCATGCGTGATTCTGGCGACGTTTACGTGACATTAGCGAGTCGGTTATGTTTAATTGTTTTATTGTTCGTTTCAGAGATAAAGCGGTGAACGAGGAAGAATACAACGAGAAGAACAAGCACCACTTTCTGTTGGAGGAAAGATACCAAGTGCAGGCGTTGAACACATGTGAAACACAGTTTGAAGGTATCTTTAATCAAATATTGCCAGTATTATTATTATTAATTGTATATTTAAGTTTATTCCTCGAGACACTAGGATTATCAAAGTTCAATTCTACAAGCCATAAAAACATACTTCTTTAACACAAATGAATTCTAGCAACCTCATTCTAAAGGATTTTAATTTAATAATTAATTGTATAAAAAGGCACAATCGAATCTAAATAACACAATGGAATAAAAAACCTTATTTAAGCGTTACAAAAGATTTGACATTATTTCCACTATAGTGATATTGTCGATTAAAAAGAAATAAATTTTTACTCAATTTTTTTGAATTATTAATTCACAAAGGTATAAATTTACATAAATATCACCAGTCTACTTATAGGCTCGTGATCCAAGTAGAACGGGGAGTTTATGGTCAGACCAATTCGTTTCACCGGGATTATTGATATTTTTCGACACTTGTGCCTACGAGAAAGTTATTCTAAACAGATAATCGGACGCTTGGAATATTCTACTAGAACTATTCAAAGTGCCGATGCAACCTCGACAGTGATTACCCAAGGACGAGCAATTGTCTTGTGTGGTCGGTGTTACGTTAAACTTTGCACTATCCCGTGTCAGCTGTTAGCCTATAGACCAGAATCGATTCTGGACAGAATGAATTTAGACGATCGTTGTCGGATCATTCATCCAATTTTTGATCGTTGACGCGATAGAAAATGAACTGTGGGACTGGCTGTGGCGCGATCGAAAGCACCACGAAGTGGAGCGCGAGGTTCTTAACCTCGGGCGCGCGAACGTGCAAAGCTTACGACCAAATGCAATCAATATTTCGCCCGGAACGTTTAAGCCTAGGCTCGTACGGGCTGCGTTTAAAAACAATTCGATCTGGATCTTTAGGCTTAAATCTTCAGATTTAATGTAAATTTTAATCAGCCTCCTACAATCTAGCTGAACTTCCACCTCGTATATTATTCGTAATTCTTGGTCCTCTTCTTGTAACTTTTTTTTTCTGGTTTAATATAATACATACTTAAACTTACCTGTTTTCATATAATATGACTTTAAATCTATGCGGTAGAGTTGAATCGATATTGTTATTGTTAATTTTAACAAGACAGACCCGACAAGGAAGTATCAGGTGTATCAATAAGTGATAGTATATTAATCCATCTTGTAATCCATTCGTAGTCGATAGGATTCTTAAAGAACTTTAATTTATCTTTTAGCGGATGATCAGGAACTGTCGTCGTCGGATGCGTTGGAGAATAATGAACAAAACAGTGGGCAAGATGTTCGCGACACCAGAGAAGACAGCGAGAGCAGATCTTCTAGCCCCGAACGGCCAAACATGGACTTGGCTTTCGACGTCATCACTGGTCAGTCGAGTCCTCCTGGCGTGGACACGGTCGACTTTATCGTAAGTTCTTCTCTATAGAACTCGTAGATATACAAAGTAGTAGTCCTATATTTTTTGTGAAACTCTGTATTCGTTTCGAAATAATTCAAATACCCATCCCATTTTAACAATATTCCTTATGTGTTCCTATCATCCTCCGCCATTTTAACTAACCAGACGGTTGAAAAGACATTCTGAATCTGAAGTCCATTGCCGCCATATTGGAATTATAGTGGATTACCTATTAATGCACCTAATAATTTCAACTCCTCGAATGGTGTGTTTCTGTAAATTCCATCGATCTTTTAGATTGCGTTGGACAAGAAAATCGAGTCCGCGATCGGTCCAACGATCACTCCTGTCGACGACGAAGGTTCGAAAGGCTGGAGCAGCGAGGAGGAATCGAAGTCCAGGCGTCAGAGTCGTTCGTGCTCGAGAAATTCAGAGCATTACACTGAGTTTCATGAAGAAAATCGAGACGAGAGCGAGTGCAGCGGTTCCGACGAGGCCCCGAAGACGGAAGATGGGACGATGAGCGCTGGACTAAGATCGATCGTTTCCGTTCTATCCGGCGAACGGATCTTGACCAGCGAAAGTCTGCAAACCACAGAGTTTCAAGAAATCTCGATAACACAAACTTCGCCATTGAGACGATCGAGCAGTCCAAAAAAACAAAGTCGACCGCCCAGTAGGAATTCGGTCGAGTTCGAGGCGTTGAAGTCACCGAGACGGAATTCTCGGAGCAGTTCGCGTAAATTGGTTAGTTGACAGAAAAAATCGACAATATATCAGAAATATGTAATAATATTTTTCTATGGGTTTTCATTTCGATGAAATTCATGGTTGACGATTACTCACGTTCGCGTGTATATTTGAATATCATTTGTATCGTGTGTTTGTCTATTACTGGTTATTTCTACTACCCCTGTTTTCCAGTCCAAAACTTTTGGAAATATGCAAATTTATTTTACCAATTTCTTCACTTTTATACTGCAATAAAAGTTGTAGAAGCCGTAATGATTACAATCACTGTCTATGATATAAAATTATTTATTTCTTAATTTTCTGAAAGCAGATATCACTAGACAAATATCTTCTCGTTACAGAGCTTCAATTTAGACGATAAGGAACTCCCGGATTCGGAAGAGAGGCTGATTTCTTCCATAGTACAGTGCGACGATGAATCTTTCGAAACGGTGGAGACGATTCGGTCCGGCAGGGAGTCGAAAACGTTGGATTCGCCGACAATCATCATCGCCTCCAAGCCCCATTCCAGTGAAGTTACCAATTTCGTTGAGAATCGTATAGAAATCGCTATTCAAATGGACGAGAATGATGACGACGAGAATGGTCGTAGAGTTAGTATCTAAATTTTTCAGAGAATTTATCCTCCCTCCGTAAACATTGCGACGATAAAATTTCACTAGTGAAGGGGCCAAAGATTTGAAACGTTGCCATAAATTTTTCTAATAACCCTATAAACCCTTTGTTACATTGCAGTTTGTTAGTGAGTTTAACGAGAGCAACGAGAGTAACGAGAGCAACACTGCGGAAGAAGGCCAGGGTCGAGACAGCTCCAGTGAAACGAACACAGAGCCGGGAATTTTGAAAATCGAGGTAATCTCTAAGCTAAAAGATCAAAGATATCATCGTATCGAGTCTCTATCGTCGTAACAAGTACATTTTTCCTTCGTTTCAGACTGAACCCATAGAACCGGTAGCTCGTCCCAGAAGAATGCCATCGAAAGTTCCTCGACCAACGAGAAGGTATCGAAGCAATGGACGAGGAACCTCCGACAAAATGAAACCTGTGGTGCAACAGTGTTTCACCGAGCTAGAGAGTAAAGAATGGTAAACCAATATAAATCGGATCGAAACGAAAGTTGCGTAAACGAGAATTATTCTCGATTTTTATTTCGAACCGTTTCAGGGAGGTCGTCATAAAGGGGTTGAAGACTCTGTCTCACGTTACGAAAAACCAACCGGAGTATCTGGATATTGGTGTGGCGGCGACGGTGAATCGACTTTTAGGTCAACAGATAAAGAATCTTCGGTCTCAGGTCGCTCGTACCGCGTGCACGACCGCCTGTGACGTGTTCAGTTCGCGAATCCGTGGCATAGATCAGGTAATTCGTCATGCATGTCGCCGACTATAGCTAATCCGTTATGTTTATCGCGGAATTTTCATCGAAATCTCGTGTATTTCATGCTGAATAGGACTTCGAGCATATAGCCGGTCCGCTGCTTCACAGAACAGCCGACACGAATCGATTCCTTCGGGCGGATTGCAACGCAGCCCTGGATCGCATGATCGAGCATCTTCCCCCTCATAAAACGATCGGCGTGATTGTTCAGCGTGGTGCTGGGTACACGATTTAATCATATGATATCGTTAATTTATTTTCGTTTAACATGTTGAGCCACTGGTTTGATTACGACGACCATTCTGTTTAAGCCACGCGCGATACGGCCAACCGGGCCGGATGCGATAGTTGTTTAGAAAAGTGTTAGAAAACCTTGCAATAAGTGTTATGAAAAAAGAGCAAACAGTTTGGAAGAAACAGTGCTGTGTCAGATATTGGTGACCACCAACCTTGATTTGAATAATTAACATTAAAAGTAAAATGACTCTTCCAGTTGCCAAAGTATTTCAATTACATGGCGCTCAGTGTGTTAAGTGGAAGAAGGAATTTCTGTTTTTTGTTCATTTTTAAAGAACTTTTGCATAATAAAATCGTGAACGTCGCGTCAGGAAATCCTTGTTCTGGTGATTTTAACGATTGGAAGTGCATTATTACAGAAAATGAACATTTTTAACTAAAATCAAGAGTCTTACGCGATTATTCATTTTGCATTTTTTCTGCTAGCCATCAGAACGCTATCGTGAGGGCAGCGACCGCCAGATTATTGGCCTCCATAGTCGATCGAATAGGACCGGAGCACACGATGATATTGCCGCGAGATGTAAGGGACAAACTACTGAACACCGGCGCGAGATTATTGATAGATGGGAATTTGGACGCCAGGTAAAATACCATTGACACTTCACTGATATAAAAATGGAACGGACAGTGTACTTTCATGTATTATAATTTGTTAGAAACCACGCGAAAAGAATGTTTCGACGTCTAATGCGCTGCGAGGGGTTCCAGAAAGCTTTGACGGAAGCGGTACCGGAAACGACGTTAAGGCACATCGACAAGACCCTAAAAAACCTTTAATCACGTCGATCTTTCCGCTGAAGATGATCGTATTAATTAATGATTCTGATCGTCATTTCGCCGTCCCGGATTTCGTCGATCCAAAAAAAGACTGCTTTGTTCACGAGAAGTGATATTTAACGAAACGTTAGTTCGCGTCCGGCGGCGTTTTGTTTCCGGTGGACAATTTTGGAATTTTCGATCGGTGGGAAGTATGTAAATGGCCGATTACCATTCGTATTTCCGTGTGGTTAGACACACTTCTACGTGTTTTATATACTTCGATCGGAAATATCGTCCATTAAAATCACTTCCATTCTGTACCATCTAATTTCTGTCATAATCAATGAATCATTAGATTTAGAACCAGCTGAGGGAAAGTAACATTTTTGGCCGTGTAGTTTCCCACCCATCCGTCGCCATGATCACTGTGGTTTCTTCGAGTGGTGAATTTGATCGAACACGTTCCAATCGTGGATAAGATGGGAAGATACCGATCGTTCTTCTAGACGACTGATTTCCTTTGGTATACGTTTTGATACTCCGATGTACTTTCCGTGCATTCCCTTTTTATACCGAATACGGGAGACGCTTATTTACATAACGTGGATTTTTATGATTTTATTTTTCATAATCGACGATATTTTACCCGATGAGTTCCCCGTGAATTCGATGAGGATCATTTATTTTTTCTCTCATAATTTATTCCTTAGTCTAAGTGAAGATGCACAGATCGTGAAATTCACATTATGTAAATAATCATTGCATACGCATCGCTCTGAGAATATGTAGTATAGATAGTAAAATTAGCATGTGCAAAGACAGTTTTCTAACGATGACAGAATTACAAATTTAACATTATTATCTGCTTACTTTCGCCAATAGTCTATTTCTTTTTTTTTCAATATGAAATTCGTTGCCATCGTGACACAAGTACCTTGGTGTCTTGATCTTGAAAGATTTTATTACCTGTGATTTGTGCAGAATTGTTTTAAGAAAGTTTACATCTCAACGTGACAGTCCCTTAATGATGATTCGATTAATGATTCGGGAGAACATCCTGGTGCTCAAGATATTTATTACTTCAAGGACCATTACACTGGTCATCGTCGCAATATTAAGAAGTCTATTTATTGGAATTTGACCCTCGAGAGCTTTGAGTTTTGTCAATTTGAACGACGACGTAGTTTATACGATTTTGAAACGATTTAACGTTATTAGACAAATTTTCAAGTTTGAAGGACTTGTATAGGAACTTAACTGATATATTGCTCTGTTCTACGCAATTTTTTCCAATCGAATAGACACTCGACTTTATAATATAACTGTTAACCGAAATAAAATGTGATTAACGCAAATAACCATTGCTGAGATTTATTGAACAGGTAATTATTAGATTTTAATTTAGATGAATGAAGCGTAAGTTTTCTTCACCAACTCTTTTACAAGGGAGTTGCAGGAAGGAAATTGTGATCACGTTTTCCTGAAGAAAGGAATACATTGCTGACGGCAATGATTCCATTTCGAATAGCTTACAAGTTGTTACAATTTAATATATTAAATTATGTCACGTTTGCTTTGCGATTGTTTAAGCTTGGTATCATTGAAGATTACATTAAACTTGATCTTTCGACAAATTGGTATAGACACTGATGTAAATATATGAAATGTTTTGTACAAATAAAAGAAAAGACAAGGTAGAACTTGCTCAAAATAGATTACTTCGATCCATCACAATTATGTATCAACTGATGTGATAACAAAGCGAATCGTTTTTAACTCGATGGCCGTCCAACATATGGTGCAATACATTATGTATTTAGAATGTTTGTATTTATATACGATTACGAAATTAATTACGAATGCGTTACGAATACGTGTACACAAACATCTCGAAAAAAAGATATAATACTGTTAAGTAATAAAATTAATATTAGGAATGTAACGACTCGATATTCTTTTTTTTTAAACAACAGAAATTTTAAAACGACGTAGTAGTGTCAGAATTTACAATAATTTATTTCTCTTGTTATTATAATAAAATGGAGAACTCGTTATCGTTGAGTTATTCCCTCGAGGAGAAGGAGGAGAAGAAGATTGAACTAACTCTAAATACTATTGAGAATATTGTAAGTGTCCCAATTAATTTACCAATTATCTAAGCAATCTTTTTGTTTTGCATACATAAAAATCACAGATTATAGAGGCAGATTACATTTTGCATTATGATTAATATCATAAAAAACTGTAGATCAGAAAAGACGACATAAATGTGTCATTTATGGTGGAGCACAATGGCATCGAGTTGGGGAAAAGCTCGACAATATTAATCTAAGAGCCTCGACCCAATCGTTTCATCGCCAATATTGAGTAATAATCGTAACAGTTTATTAGCAATAAATTTGCACTGCTTATCAGTAGTGTTAAAAATTTGTTTGTCAAATCAGTAGTGTTTAAAAATGAAATAGTTTTACTATTTCATTTAGTATGTGTGTTTTGTTAGTAGTTCATTTTTACGTTTACAGTAAAAGCCTTGTATACCACAGAACACGAGGAGGAAGAACATCTGACAGTTTCAGACACTGAAATTAAGAAACGATCGATATTCACCGCCAAGTCTATTCCATCTGCTGCGCCACAATTATTGGGCGTTTGTAATGTCGACCTAATGCCTATTATACTAGGTACTCCAATCTATATTTGAAAATTTCAATCCTTTCTGTTATCAAAATATCCAATTTCTTCCAAGAGAATGATATTTCTTGGAAAAGCTGTCACTAGAAAAGTCCAGTTTTACTCGAAATTTTAATCCTTTCTGCTTACCAAAGTATTCATTTCTTCTAGAAGAAGAATATTTCTCTGAAAAGATGACACTAGAAAAATTCTAATTTTACTAAAAAAAATTCAATCCTTTTCACTTTACCAAAATATCAATTTCTTCCAGGAGAAGGATATTTCTCCGAAAAGCTGATACTAGAAACGCCCAACTTCTCTTACGATGGATCATTGGTGTCCTGGCCGAACCTTCCGCTTCTAACGGTAACGATAACCCAGGATCACGAGCCGTTGGTGTCATCGAACGAGGCGATCAATTTTCTGAATATCACTGTGGAAAGCATATACAATCTCCCGGAATCTTTCACGGAGAACTTGGAGTACAAATCTGGTACTATAACATACATCGATTCGAAGGTGGGCCCCATGTCCATGAGACAGTTTTTTTTATTAGGCGTGCAAATTAATTCTTGATACCTTTTTCTTTCACAAAATTGAACGTTCATTTACAGAAAAAATAGCTACATTTTTAATGTTCGAAATACAGTATCCATTGTTTTCGATGACTTTTAACGGGCAGCTGATGGAATAAATTTTCATGAAAAAAAAAAACAATATGGCAGTTCTGAGCGGATGAAATGAATTTAAAAAATTAGAATCTCCGCTCCGAAACCTCTGATACAATTTCTTTTTACAAGTTCCTACATAAGCGCAAAAACGGCGGGAACATGTTTGAAGTTAAAATTCAAATGTAACTGATTCGATATAATTTCACCGATTTTAATTTGCACACCTAATATTTTCCAATCGTTACTCTCGACGTACTGTTACGTTGAAGTTAATGCAAAGATAATGTTCACCAGGTTCCAGAGAATGTGGTTTTCGAGCACGGTTCCTGGACGAGGTACCGCGACGTGGAGAGAACGAAACGATGGAACACTTTGGGCAATTTGGAGAATCGCGGTAGATTATCCAAATACAAGTTGGACTGCGACTTCATGGGAATCAAAAATTTGTTTAAGAAACAAATAAACTTGACGGTATCATTGTTCATACCAGAGTTGGACAAAATGTAATCTAATTACAAAATCTAAATCGCAATTACATTGTAATTTTTATTGGAACTTTGCAATTACATTGTAATTGTGATTTCGGGTTTTGTAATTAGATTATTGGTGTATAGATTAGAGCGGTTGTTTAATGAAAAGTTATTTTATTCCAGGAGAAGATGTGCGAAAATATTCCACGGATCGAATGGAACGCTGTACACCGATGTATTCTGTGGGAAAGTGGAATAGAAGCGATGGCCGACCATATTAAAAGGTGTAGATCGTTGGATAGTTCTTGTATATTGAATAGCGATAGAACCAGTAGGGGTTCGAACCCTCTATGAGTAATTTAAGAAACAGAATAGATACTTACAAGTGTAATAGTACTTCGTGAATACACGAAATCAACGAGTTATTTTAATGAATTCTCATGGAACCCTGTGAAACATATTAAAGCAGATAGTCGATTACACCACGTGTCTTATCTGAATTTTCCCATACACTATCCATAATGATTACTTTACAGCTACAAATATTGGCCTTTTCAATTCATGCTGGTGGAGAAAACCTCTCCGGTGAAATCGAAAACGGCCCCTGCGCCGAAAGTCCAGCTGTACCAGTGCTACGTTGACCTTTCGGAACTTCTTTTCCCAGGAAGTAATTATCATAACGTTCCACGGGTATACGAATGAGAAATTGTCATCACAGGGAAACCTGTATTTTTATAGAGAGAAATTGCAGAGTCGTCGGACAGTTGTATACATACAATGCGACGGACATAACCGAAAGGACTGGTATTGAAAATAATATATTTCTTCTGGAAACGCGGGGCAAGGAAGCAAAAGATAGAGAGAAGAAACATAAAAGCTCGAAGGTAAACTAATGGACACTGATGATCAGTATAATGATTACTTGTGTTTGTTAGTGGCCATGAAGTAATCGGTAGTGGTGATTAGTAGTCCGAAAGTGATCAATGACGATGACTAGTAGACATTAAGTAATCAGTAGTGATGACTAATAGTCACAAAGTAATCAATAGCGATGACTAATAGTCACTATGTAAACAGTGGTGGTGACTGGTTATCAACGGTGTCCTTTGATCTCGAACATTTCCTCCAATAGACAGCTCCAATCCAGTAAAATCGACACGAAACATTTCTTCTTCAGCATTCACAGTCCACACATTCCGAGCCCGAGATATCATCAAATACAGCATTGACATCAGCCAAAAAGGAACCGACTATCGTCGTGATCGAAGTGGAACTCCACAAACCTTTCGTCGTCTGCAGAATCATACCAGACTTCTCGAATTTGTACTATCCTTTCAAATTTCATACATTTATTTCGAATCCAAATTTCCAATCGAATGCTTCTATCATTCAAGTTACTTTAAGGTGTAATAACTTCTTCCAGGATCGAAGACATGATTCCTAAAACGAAAAAGAAGTCACCGTATGTGTACACCGGCGACCTAGCGGAGACACACTACAAGAATTGCATCCGTAAATTGGTCGAGATTATCACAGAAAATTATCGAGTATGACCATAATCGAGCCAATCCTCGTTTTGCTTTATTATCGACGATTTATACGTGAAACGTTGTACGCATTAATGTCGCGACTAATATTTATTAACATGTACAATTTATAACGTTATCAAGCTAGGATTTTTGTGACGAAACTAAAGGGGGTTCCAAACCTTTCACGACCTCCGAACGTGACGGCGAGCAACAGGAGAGAACAAAATATTGCTACGCATCTGAAACAGTAAATACAACTAAAATTTTCTTATTTATAGCTATATCGAGCTACAACCCTATACATCATACCAGAATTCAATAGCTTTGCTAAATAAGAGTACTACTTTCAGGATGAGCTGACATGCTTCACTCAATACCTTTATAAGACCGGGGTCTACTTATCCATACGTCAGACGCTGAGATCGAAAGTCAGTATGGTACTGGATCAAAGGTTCAAAATGCCACCAAATCTGATCGACACTCATCAGACCCAGGTGCTTATATTTCCAGAAGATTTATAACTAAGACAATCGAAAGAAAAACATATTTTAAACCAAAAACAAATGATACAATATAAAAGTCCTGTAATAAAAGTGCATCATATTGACATCTATACCGTACAAGAACTCATAATATAGTGGAATCTATAAAACGGGAAATGTAATGAAATGTTAGTTATACTTCTTATAATATTGTAGAATTTCATTGTATCGGTGTTCTCGTATCTGGTGGACCAAATGAATTTCGCGATAAATACAGTTGTCGAGGGCCGATCTACAGACGATCTGACACCAACCGTGAATGAAGAAACTATGTATTTGCACGCCGAGGAAGCATACGAGCTCGACGACCTCGATAAAGCGAAGAATTATTACAAAACTGTAAGCATATTTCGTTCAACGAAATTTACTTGTAATCGTTGGAACATTATGAACAACTGAAACTTAATATTTCGATTTAATTGTCATTCAATTACAGTATTATTAACAGTATCACTATTCCAGGTAATAACTGCGTCTAAGAGCAATCCAGGACCATGGACGAGATACGCGATTTTCCTTAAAAGAATCGGCGATATTGAACGCGCGAAACATTGCTGCTTGGAAGCGATTTCGTTAGACCGGAAATACGTATTCGCGTAAGTATTTTATTCAAGTCTTTTTGAGACGTATACTAACATAAATGTTGACAATATCAGATTATTAGTATACGCGGCAATACTTTTCGAAAATGGTGACTACAAGGAAACGGAAGTCTTTTTAAGTGCCATCACCGATTTCTATCCACGATTCTTTGAAGGTTGGGCCATTTTGCATCTATTTTATATGCGAACAGATTATTATCCAGGTAAATTGTGTTATAATATTCTTTTACATTTTCCACTTATTTTTCTATGTAGAACCACGTTCCTTGCGGTTGTATTACTAGTTACAGGACGTTGTGTCCTTTACCTGGCACGTAATGTCCAACGCATTAGATTCGAAATTTAAAGAACGCATATTAGTACTCTTTAGTGGCTGGGAATCAATAATCACAAGAACATTTTTAAAATCACAATTCTTTGCAACGGTTGATACTCTATCTCGTCATGCGTGCCCCGTATAGTTCACTTTGGACAACTCTTCCAACGTTATACTGACAGCTTTTGTCTTGACCAAGCATTCAGTTTGAAGCTGAAAGAACGTAGATTAATCCCCTGTCATTGACAATAACAATAAATGCCCAGAACACTGTTAAAATCGCATTTAATCGCGGAATACCACTATTTTTTCGACCCGTGGCGCCACCCGTGGCAATTCGCTCAAACTGCTAGCCAAATCATACCGACAGGTGAGTAAAAATTCCTAATGATGGAAAAATGCGAATATCTCAGTAATTAAGCGCTCAAAATGAACGTCATTATTCTCAAACTATTTCTGAGGGATTAATGCATCGACCCAATACTGCAGAACCCCAGAATAAGTAAAATTATTTATGCCTGTATTAACGCAAACCCTTAGGAGCGGCAACCCTAATTGCAACAGATTTCGATCGCATTTACGCCGCTGAACGGACATCATTTTTCTACGTCACGCATAAGATTCGAAATTTAAAGAACGTATATTAGTACCCTTTAGTGGCTGAGAATCAGTAATCACAAGAACATTGTTAAAATCACAATTCTTTGCAACGGTTGATACTCTATCTCGTCATGCATACCCCGGTTAGTTCACTTTCGACTACTCTACCAACGTTATGCTGACAGCTCTCGTCTTGACCAAGCACTCAATTTGTAGCTGAAAGTACGTACATTAATCAGCTGTTATTGATAATAACAATAAAAGACCAGAACAATGTTAAAATCGCATTTAATCGCGGATTACCACTATTTTTTTGACTGGTGGCGCCACCCGCGGCAATTCGCTCAAACTGCTAGCCAAATAATACCGACAGGTGAGTGAAAATTCCTAGTGATGGAAAAATGCGAATATCTCAGTAATTAAGCGCTTAAAATGAACGCCGTTAGTCTCAAATTGCTCCTGACGATCCCATGTATCGAATTGACACCTCACAACTCCATAATCGGGAGAATTATTTCTGTCAACACTACAAATTTTCATATCAACACGGGTAGACATAATTTGTCTCATTATGGGGTTCTGCTGCATTCAGTCGACGCATTGAATCGTGTGGAATAATTTAAGACTAGCAACCTTAACTTTAAGAACCTAATTACTGAGATATTCGCATTTTTCCATCACTAGGAATTTTCACTCACCTGTCGGTATTATTTGGCTAGCAGTTTGAGCGAATTACCACGGGTGGCGCCACGGGTCGAAAAAATAGTGGTATTCCGCGATTAAATGCGATTTTAACAGTGTTCTGGGCATTTATTGTTATTGTCAATGACAGGGGATTAATCTACGTTCTTTCAGCTTCAAACTGAATGCTTGGTCAAGACAAAATCTGTCACTATAACGTTGGAAGAGATGTCCGAAGTGAACTAACCGGGGTACAATACACTTGTAATTACTGGTTCCCAGTCGTTCGAGTTTTCTACACTTTTATACATAAACAAGTAACTAAGCAAATTTAATTATTAATCATTTTGTATGGTACAATTTTATTCACACTATTGATTACATTGTTTTCAATAAAGAAGAATAAATGAAACTACTGTTTAATCATAACTGCATTATAAGAAATTGTCGAATAACTTTGCGTGTTCAATATCTTTGAAAATCACCGAAGCAACAATGATCGCAAATTCTTCTGATCGTTCGCTGAAAAATAAACGTATTAGAAACAGGTGTTGTGTTCAAATTCATTGCGCGTTCGTATTTATAGGCTCGCGGCGACCGCGAACTTGCGCGCACTGGTGCGCGAACATTGAGTGCACTGGAAACTCGAATGTGCCAAAAATTATTCCTCGATTAATTTTTTATTTCTAATAAGGTAATTGTTATAACAATTACCTCTCTGAGGAATATTGTTAAACATTCTGTCAGCTGTCTTATAATGCAAATTGTTATTGTTTATAACAAATATAAATCGAAATATACAGAAACTTTCAAGATATGAACCGTGTAATGAACTTTTACATGTAATAAATTTTACTTTATTGCAAACTATTAAACAATGACTATGGCTTAATGTTTGTGACGATTGTTAACTAAATATTATTTAATGAAAATATGCCTTGATAGCGTTTTAAACAAGGAATTCATAAAAATTTGTAGAACAGTAGGAATTCTTTGATCGACGTTTGATTGATATTGTCCTTGACAATAACTGTTATAATTTTGAGCATAGAATATTTGGCTTACTCTAAATTATTTCACAATAAATTAAATATTTTTGACAATGTAATGTTTATAACAATCACATCTTCGGTGACACATTCTATCAGTCATTTTACAATACAAATTGTTAATAATTATAACAAATAGAGATTGAGATATATCGAAGTGTGAAAAGACCATTTACTATCTATTTTGTAAACAAGAAATTTTTGCTTTTTCATTTGCGAATATCTCATTAAATATAAACGGTACGATGGGAGCAATTTTAGATTCCGAGGAAGCAAATTGGGAGCAATTTTTTAAGACATAAATTAGTAAGAAACACTAATATTCGGCGCTAACTATTTTTCGGTCTAAATGATTTTTATACAGTAAGGAAAAGAATTTCTGATCTGTCTGTTGAATTTAGGAATAGATCTGACACTTCGTGTAGCAGAGAAATGTATAAAAGACAAGACACAACCGATAAAGTTTCCCCATGAATCGTTTGAATGGTACACAGCTCACTGCCCTGATGATAACTTGTACATCAAGACTGCAATATTTTTATTGAAATTACATCTCTGTGAGGTAGGATACACTAATAAGTAATCGGTTGAAGAACATAAAATCTCTGCCATGCAAGATTGTATATAAAAGAAGAATATTATGACTTAAGTTGAATTCTCGACTGACCTTGTGTATCTTTAGTTTGCAGGAATTGCTTTGGCAGCAGAATTGTCTGAATCCAATAGATCAACACCTTTTCTATATTACATGGCAGTGGACCATTATTTGTCTGGTAGATACGAGGATGCACTGTCTCATTTGGACGAAGCGAAATACAATTATGGAATGGTTTTGTAACATTAATATTTCCTTTCTCCAATTGGAGTAACTGTAGGTTCCAACAAATTTATTCGACATGATACTTATGTCTGTAGGATTATTCGATCGGCAGTCTAATGGGTCATTGCTATTTCAAAATGGGTGATATTGAGAAGGCTATAGAATGTTACGAATTTACACGGATGCTCTTCGATCGACCAATTGACTTACATTTAGTGGAAATTAGGTAGCAATAGTAATTGAATTCAATTTATACCTTCTTTTTAATTAAACTTCATAAAAGCTTTTATTGGCGTTAAGGACAACGTAACTATATTAATTGAATCTCTGTAAATAATTTGAAAATATTAACGGTTTTTAGATTAGGATACCATTATTACAACACTGGAAACTACAAACGAGCAAAAAAAGTTTTTTTAAGTACGTGTAAGACATCACCAACTTCGCAGACTTGGCTCGGAGCTGGCATAAGTTGCTACGAAGTTAGATAAAAGCTTAAATATGTTGAAAACGTCAATTAATTAAATAACGTCTAGTTGGAGATATAATTTATTTTAGCTTAACGAATATACAGAAGCAGAAACAACCTTGTCTGAAGCAAATAGAATTGATAATCATAATGCAGATGCGTGGGGGTATTTGTGTCTATTGAATATGGCACTCAGAAGATACGATGAATTTTGTCAATGTTACAGGGAAATGGTGAAAGTAAGTCGCATTTTTCCAAACAAATTTTAATTCGCTTGATATTTATAAATGGTAAAGGAATAGACAACATGTGTTTGTTAACAATTTTTATTTTTTTTTTTTTTTTTTCATATATCAGAATAATCTGAAAAATAGAAAACTGTGGCTGAGAATAACGAATGCGATGGAGGCTCTGGATTACGCACCACCAATTTTGGAAACGGAAAGTGATTCTCTTATGGAGGATTACAGCGAAGAGGCGTCTGAGGAACAATTTTAACCGCGGTAATGGCACCTAGATACAAACAAAAAAAAAAGGAAAACTGCAAGTCAGCAAAAACACAGATTTGAATGGCACTTAATGAATAATTGAGACTTATACTATCGAAAGAATATTTCAAAATGTTTGTGACACAATTTGTTTAACAATCTAACTTCGAAAGAATTCGCCAACCCTGATAATAATTACACATATACATTCATGTTCCATTTTCCCTGTTTGATCATATGGAAAGCCTTAAACAGATCTATAAATTGGTTATATTGTTTTATGTCGGTGCAGTTTTCGTGCATCAGCCAAATGTAACCTCCTGTTGCGCATAAAAAATAAAACATAAACCAAGAAATTAACAAAAATATTAAATAATTTTTTAAAAAAAGGAATAAGCAATAAATAATCTTTTAGTAGAAAGATGTAAATAAATATTTATGTATAAACTATAAAGTAACGTAACATTGCTCCTCAACTAAGGGTAAATAAATATAGTGTGCTACTTCGAATATTATAACATTTAGAATGTTATACCGTTGTTTCTGGATCAACGGTCCCCTAGATATTATTGTATCAATTTTTCACTTCTTCGAGTGTTTTAAAAGATACACACATATATAAATCTTTAATACGGTGCTAATAGCTACAGCCAATTATAAAAATATCATTTGAGTGCGCCTTGAACGGATGTCAGTACTCTTGTCTCGTCGAATTTGATATAAAATATCATAAATACGAGTCGTGGCCATGCCGTACTCTACTTGTATGCAAAAGCACTATAATAATTTACTTTTTAGTGGGCTAATCCTTTGCAGTCTTTCATACCCTTACGAACAAAAGAAAAAATTGGTAAATCTTTCATAACAGTATTGTTTCTTAATAGAATGTTACATAAGTCATATGTATTTGAACAAAAGAATCTCACTGAGAATAACATTAATGATGAAAATAACAAATAAACACCGCAAAGGATTAATCAAACAATATCGGTATGACTGTGCGCCATTAGTGTAGTTTGGTTAATAATGATTTCGACAGCATCGCTTTAACAGATTGTTACTAACAGACTTCAGATTCAAGCTGATATAGGGTAAGTCACGAAAATCAAACTATCTGAATATCACTAATGGATATGTAAATGTAACGAAACACATATAATAATAAATTATTTTCAAATGATAACAACTCAATAACATACTGCAGTTTCTAGTAATTAGAAATGAATTTAACAATGCTTATCCGTTGTTGTGAAATCTGTTTCCGATGCTAGTCTGAGAGAAACGGAAACGAGCACTGGGATTGTGTCTAATATCAAAACTCGATGTAGTATCTGTGCGATTGCGTTATGGCTAATTGATACAGTTCTCAGCGTAATATATTACACTTCTCCCGTAGTACCCTCTGTGTCTTCAGTTTTCTCTTTTTTCATATCCGTTGAATTATTAAGCGTATTTTCAGTATTCGTTTCATTACAGTTTGCATGATTTTCTGTATTCATCTCATTGCGATTTGCAGTATCCTCTAACTTTGAATTACTAAGAGTACTTTCTGTATTCATTTCATTACAATTTGCATGATTCTCTGTATTCATCTCACTGCAATTTGCAGTATCCTCTAACTTTGAATTACTAAGAGTACTTTCTGTATTCGTTTGATTACAGTTTGCATGATTTTCGGTATTTATCTCATTGCAATGTACAGTATTCTCTAACTTCTTATCTGAGCATTCGATGCTTTCATCTGCAACTAACGTTTCTTTTTCAACTGACTCATTGCTGCAGATTAATTGATCCTTAATGTTTATCACAGAATTTATTTCATTCTCCAACGTAGACCGCCTTCGTTGTACAGCAGTTTCATCTTTGATATTATCACAGTCGTTGTTTACAATCTGTTCATTAACTTGTTTCAATGATTCTTGATCATTTTTGATCAACACTTCTTCCACCGCGATGATATTGTTAGATACGTTATTGCTTTCATCTGGTACTGATTCCACTTTAGACTCGGTATTGTTAGGAACCAGTGCCTCGGAAGACACATCGTTAGTTTCTAGCAAATTTTCTGCTACACTATTCGCAAACTCTTGTGAACACTTGTTTTTGTTTTCAGAACTAATCGTATTCTTGTCATCTTCGTTAATTTGTTCAGAATTCTTTACCTCTAGCAAAGAAGTCGAAATACCTTCAACCATTTCTATTTTAGAAATATCATTTTTACCCTCATCTTTAACTTTTTCCTCCTCACTGTTTGTATCAAACGATTTAATTTGGTTAGATAAATCAGATTTGGATGCTTCTGATGACTTCTTATTCTCAGTTACAACGTTATTTTCAAGTTTCACTGAAACAACATTTGAGCATTCTTCGGTTCCATTTTTTCCAGGCGAATCCGCGTCTAAATCCTGCTTCACTGGTTCCGTATTATCTGTTATAGGATTTGATGAGTCGGTAGGAGACATCTCTAAATCTTTCTGTGCAAGAGATTTCAATTGGTTTACATGTGTTTGAGAATTTACATCGTTATCATCTTCGCTCCTGTTCTCTTTCCTTTGATTATATGGATATTTTGTTTCACCATCTTTTTTCTTCTGCGAGTGCGACCTCTTTACATTAGGAGATTTCTGATTATTGAAGTATGTTGCTTTCGATTTGTCCTCGAATGATTTTTGACGATGGAAGAGTTCACTTTCGGACACAGGTGCTTCTGCATCTGAATGACTGTATGTAACTCGACTTCTTTGCCGTGGACCGACTCTTCCTGTTCCAGCTATGCTTGGTGAGTTCACTGAAGTGTATTAATCGTATCTTTTATCATAATGTTACGACACTAAACGAAATTTAAAATATCACAAAATACCTTTCACGCTCATCACGGGTCCCTTAGTTGTGCTGCCCTGATTCACTGTAACCTTGATACTTTTTTCAGTAGCAATTACAGTTCTTTCTTCAGAAGTTGGAGACAGAGGAGCTTTTGTTGGCATAGTTGAATTGTTTCTATGTTGATCGTATGTATTGTGAGACCGGCTGTCGTAACTGCCATAAAAATTCTTCGAAGAACCACGATGAGGACGGTTTCCACCTCTATTGTAAGCGGTGTGCTCGTTATCTAGGAAAGAAATTTTATTACTACAGTTTCCAAAATGCACGAAACTGTCAGCGGTAAGTTAACATACTATTAGAATGGTATCTCCGATCAGATTCTTTATGATCTTTCTTTATAGAGTCGCCTAATGTAGACCTCGTTGCTTTCTTCGTTACATCATCTACAATATGTATCTGTAATTTATAGTTTCCGTTACCTAACGTGCGTTGTTAGAATTCATTTTGTATCAACATTTTTTCATAGCACTGTTCTATATCTTGTCAGTAGTGTTAATAATAATTTCCATTAATCAAACACTTGAAACGAAATAAGCAATGTAAATGTTAACAATCATACTTTATCATTGTCCCATTCTCTACGCCAATTTCCTTCAGCAGTTCTCTGCCTACTGATGCGATCTTCATCGATACGATTCCTTTCTGCCCTCCAAGCATCATATCCTGGTTGCGATTCGTCTCTATAGTTTCCTTTATGCACTTTATTATCCTGTGTAAAATTGACACTTACTTATGCTTCGTAAGAATAACAAATCTCAAAATATCATACTATAATGTACCTTTTGTAAATGATTTTCCCTTCCCCCTGTCTTCTTCCTGAAGCTGCCCCTTGTTACTTTATTGTGAGACCTATTACCAGAAGACTCTTTTGTGTATTCTGTACCATGTTCCTCTCGTTCAGAATCTGCTAGGAAGTTATACTTAGGATCTGGTGGTGGACCTTCTCCCTATAAATTATTTTATTCTTAAATGCAAAATAATATATAACATTCTTATGCAGAAATAAAGAGTTTTACAGGGCCCAGAATCAAAGAATAATTCATTTTCCTCTCTTGAAAGATATATTAGATTAAAAATAATAAAACGAATCTCTTAATCTTTGTTACAGTTTCCATTTCGGCACATATTGAATCTTATTTAAGTATATAATAAATGTATAAATTGCACAGTCTGCTCATTACATACTTGGGCAAATGAATGTGTTTTCTTTCCTTCTACGGAATGGGCTTGTGATTGGTATTCATATTTTTCTTTGGCTGATTTTTGTTTAACTTTAGGTGGAGTTGAAAATTCTGGTGGTTCTTTTCTCTCTGGCCAATCGGATGATGGTACCATTTGCACCAAAGCATTTAGCTTTGCTGCATTCTTTTTATCTTCTTCCACTTCCTGTTTGAGAAAACAATTTAAAGCAATTTGTGCAACTTATATAAACAACTACTTAATAGTGCTGTAATATATACCTCGTATCTTCTTCTAATTTCTTCATTTTGTTGCCTGATTTTATTAATTTTTTCTTCAAGCGCACTGGATGCCATCTGAAAAATGTAAATCAAATGATCAAAACTTAGATTGACAACATTTAAAATTGCATCCTGAGGTCATGATATAAGAGAAGAAAAATTGTTGAAATGCACAAAAAAAATTTATTTACATTTATTTAATAAGTATAAAAGTTCAAATGCATTGCACAACTACTTGGAAAGTAAGTAGACATTGATCGAAATAGGGTCATTATAAATTTAATAAATCAATCACGATAAGCGGAACGTTTTAAACATTAAAATAGCTAGGATAGGCCGTCGGTATTCATGTCACGTTTCGACGTTCTATCTCATAAAAGTTTCACATCCGAATTCCATAGCTCCTAAACGAATAACTCAATTTATTTTATACGATTTATTTAAACAATTATAATGAAAAATACACAGTGAAATACCTATAAAAATACAAATAGTGAAACAAAATTAATCAACGGTACCATCTACCGCATTGGTCAAGTATCTGGATCGAGTTTGATGCGATCGTGTTATATAGTATACAATTAATTAAAACTCCTTACAACTTCAGATTCCCATTATTCAATGAAGAATGTATAAACAAAAGTTAATTACAGCACTAATTTATAATATTGATTACCTATACTATATATACAAAAAGAATACGAATACGTTTATCCCTTACTCCAAATATATGTATAGCGGAACGTCGAAATGTACATTGTTGCCCGCTATATGTTATCAGTTCATGGAAATCAAAAAGTTCAACATGATGGAATGTAGGTTTCAAAACTAGATCAATCCAAGATGAGATCAATGTGTATAATAAGAATATAGGTTACATGCACATATAATTTTGGTCTTTTTCAAGGGGAACAAAATCGTACTGACGAGTGTAATCATATCCACATATAATAAACATTTTAACAAATGGACAGGAACGTACGATTGCAAGTAGAAAGCGGACGCCGTCAGGAGGAGAATATTAAAACATCACGGACGATGATGTTATGTTGTTTTCAGTGAATAATCAGCCGAATCAGCCACATATGTCACTATTGAGCACTAGTCTTATTTTGTCGAGGAGAGAAACATTGGCACGACAATGCACTGGTAACGGATGTTCTCGGTGCGGATAAGAAAAATTACTGTGGTTCAGTGGTTTTCATTTCAATTAATATCTTTTCATGCAAAGAGTTCGTTCAGGAACGTATCGTTCTGACAAGTTTAAGTCTCCAGAGGATTAATATTATGCAAAATGTTCCAGAGTTTTAAATAACATATATGATTTCATCCTGTTTGAAGAAATACTTAAGGAAGTTCATCATCAATTTAGAATTTAAAGATATATCTCTTTGTAGATATAGTCGTAAATCACCAACTGAAGTGGGTGTTCTCTTTTATACCGTAATATGCAAGAGTATACATATAATATAATCAGAGGTATAATGTATTGTAATTGTTAGTGCATCTGACGATAAATATGTATCTTGCATAAATATTCACAGCCTAGATACAGTCCTGGTCATCTTCTATTATTAGCTCAGGTAGAATGTTAAATGAGTATCACTGGCGTAGATCCGTCATGCGCAGAATACAGGAAATCCCATCCACAATGATTAAAGATTCGATGTTGTATGAATACCGATGCGTGATCTTGAATCGGTCGCGAATTATGATAGAATTATTAGAAACCGAGATTCCGAATTGTCTTCCCGTTGAAATGTAACTGCTTGTACGGAGTGTCACACGCTTCGCGGAATGTAGCCTATAAAGTAGAGGGAATTGGTAAACACCGAAATCGCGCAGACAGCAGGTGGCTTCAATAAATGATCGAATGTTTACTAAAAAGCTGTATGTCACCCCGATAGCGTTAGGAAAATCGCTGTGTGAAGCGTTCACGAAGCCCCTTTGGAAATGAAAATAACGAAATCCACTATTGTCCTCTTGGTCTTTGTATTAATGCTATCGATACTTGTAGCGAATGTTGCCGATTTGATCAATGTCGACACACACGTTTTAGACGACACTCTGTCCAACAAGTACACCAGAGAAGAATGGTCACGTCCAAGGTATTACGATATTGGAACAACGTTCGACCACCTGATTTGGTTTTTACAGGTGCGTGCCTATTAAGCGGATCATATGCGTCTAATACAGTAATGTCTCGATGTGTGCGACGTACTCGGGTCCACTTTGGAGCATTCATGGCAAGATGGAAAGATTTGCAGCTTCTCATAAATTTATTTTTTGCCCAAAGCTGAGCCTCTGCTCAGCATCTGTTTCCTATGTTTTGATTGATTCCACAAGGGGGGACTCCTCCAGTGGTGGAAATAACAACGCTGCTCTTGTCGCATTCATCAAGGGATCACTAGTATTAATTGTATACAGCTAACAAGGAGTAGTTTGGTTTGTTTTTTTCTTATCCTTGAGCATCAATATCAATGGCTAGTAGAGATACTGACAGTAATTATTAGATTGCATATTGTTCGAAGAATTCATTTCTATTGTCAGTGGTTCTACCGGATTAAAAGCATACTAATGATTTTATTAAACATTCTTAACATCTCTGTTCTGTTGTGCTCAGAATGTGAATTACAAGTTTTTAATATTAATAATACAGTTATAGATTTTGATTATTTTTAGATATCTGATATACACATCAGTATATTTCGAGACCCATTTAGGATAACAGAACTGAAGGAATTCTGTAATGTTACTGTGGATATCATTAAACCTTCTGTTGTACTTGCCTCGGGTAAGTTTCATTGAAGCAAAAGAGATTAAAACCATATACTTTTGTAATTCTCTGTTAAAGATTTTATTGCAATAGGTACTAGATCAGCTAGCTAGTCTGTGTATTAGTGCTTTGTTGAGCGTCTTATACATTGCAATAATAATAGCTAAACTTTCAGTAGCCAATCGATTATTGACTTCGATCTGTAGTTTTTTGTATTTTGCATATTTATTTGTGATATGAATGTATAAATTTAACTTATTCATAATATCATAATTTAATAGGTGATTTAACAGATGCAAAAGCTAAAGATAAAATGGGATCAAAACAAATATTAGAAGAATGGAAATATTATAAGCAAGTTTTAGATGAGACAGAAGTTGCCAAGAAAACACTGTGGCTAGACGTGAGAGGCAATCATGGTATGAACTGTATATAACAAGACACATCCTCTTGTATCCATGAATATAGAGATATTAATGCATTTTTAACGTATACTTCATATTTTCTTAGATAATTTCAACGTAGTAAGTCTGGAGGCAAAGAACAATTATTATTCCAACTATTCCATTCAAGGAAAGAAGCATCCAAGATCTTACATGTATACAATAAATATTGGTTCTGAATTATATACTTTTATTGCGGTAGATGCTTGTCTAAAACCTGGTCCAAGAAGACCTTTTAATTTTGTTGGAGTGTTAGACGAGCAAGAAATTAAAAGTATACACAGTCTAGTGAATAAATCTCAGGAAAGTAATGCAGATTTTGTAATATGGTTTGGTCACTATCCCACATCTTGTATACTTTCACAGACCAATACCGGTGTTAGAAATATCATAGGTAACAAGTTACAGAATACAGATTACTTTTAAATTATTCTATTATATAAAATATACATCCATTATATAAAACATTTTGCAGGCAGATATAAAGAAAGTATGGTGTATCTTTGTGGACATTATCATACACTTGGTGGAACAGTACCAAATATGTATACACTACAACAAGCAGGATTCCTTGAATTAGAGTTAGCAGATTGGAAAGATAATCGAATGTAAATTATCTGTATTTTATATTTATTAAAACTCTCAGAAATTGTTTGGTAATACAGTTTTGTCTATTGCATTTCTACTTATTATTAGGTATCGTTTGGCAGCAATAGATCATGGTCAGTTCTCATTTATTGATGTGAAACACGAAGAGTGGCCAGTGGTATTGATTACCAATCCCAAACATGCTTTATATACAATGCCCCGGAAGGAAAATGTATTGTCTGTTGTTAAATCTACACACATCAGGTATAATTCTTCAGATTTAAATATCCATTTCTATTAGAACTAATAGATTTCCATCAATTAGATACTACTGTTAATTTTTATCATTATATGCAATACAATTTCTTATAGAGTACTAGCATTCTCAATAGCACCAATAAAGAGTGTTGAAGTTCAACTAGATGATGCTACTTGGTTCAAGTGTGAACATGTGAAAGGACCGCTTTATACTTTCAAATGGAATACAGCCGAGTATATGAATGGGATACACACTATTCGAGTTTAGTAAAATGTGTTCATATCTTATTCTTTATATTTTTCTTAAATGTCGTGTTTGCCTCATATTTAATTTCTTATAAAAGCATTTCAGTGAATTCGTTCAGATTACCCGATATTACTTTTTGTTTATATCATTAAAAATTTTGATGCATGAATTTAATTTACTACATATTATTATTAATATGTAACATAAATTGTAGGTAAGAGTTGTAGATACAGACGGCAGAGAGACGATAGTATTCCAGCCGTTTGCTCTCGATGGATCTCGTTTATCATTTCGTATTCTACCTAGACTAATACTTATGTCTAATGTCAGCAATATTGTAGGTGGTATAATATATAACTATCGTTTGTATATAAATTTTGATAATAACACGATGTTTCTGTTACTCAGTTTCAATTCCTGTTTGGGACAGTGTTGATCTTGTTAGTAGTCCCGTTATGTTTACTACGTTTTCTTCACATACTGTGTGAAAGTAAGTAATATAAAAAAAAAATATTATAAAATAAGAAATATGAAGTTTTAAATACATAAAAAAATGTATCTTTGAGTAGAAAAGCAAATGCACCGACCGAGACTCCGAATAAAATTTTTTCACTTGTGGCTCAGAAAATTGTGGATATTATCAACTGTTGACCGTCTGTGTTTTCCATTAGTTCTATACGCATTGTATTTAACAATCGGTAAGTAATTCGAGATTGTTATAAACAATACCATAAGGTCTCAAATACACCGTGATTTATTAAAATTTTTCTTAATATCAATAATAATGTTTTTCCAGGTCCATGGGCTATCGGTGAAGTAATAGATAATCATACTGGTGTAATTTTTGCTTGGGGAACATTTGTTGGGAATTCTTATCTTCCTGGTGCCTTTACTTATGCTTATGGATTTTTTCAATTATTTTCGTTTCATCTACCACTTATGCTGATCTTAGCTCATAGGGTAGATAAACGGTAAGATATTGAAGCATTCTGCTGTACTTATTCTAAGACAAGTAATGTACATAATAATTAAAATAATGAATTACTTTATATGTAGGTTACAGAGTTTTAATAAACCTGGTCATAAATCAGTGTCTAAGGTTTGTATCCTGTGGCAACATTTGCCAATAACATTATTGGTTATAATGCAAGTGAGTATGGCTTACTTCTTTTGGTTGGCATACGGGACGTTAGCTACTGTGTTATGTCCTTTACGCACTTGGAGCATTTTGTTGGCAATAATGTTATGGCATCAAGTGAATACAATGCCGCAGTCATGTTTAAGGTATATATTAATAAATAGCAATTCTAATGTCTTATATAATATGGAATATTTTATAAAGAAGCTAAAAATTTTTATATTTTGGGTATAACGTACAAAGACTTTATAACAAGCAGTTTACTTAACAACTTCAATATTGTTTCTTTTTTGTTATTTTTAAGGTCTGCAACAGCAATATGGTCCCCCCATGGTTAATTTATGTATCATATAACAATTCTATACCAAAATGTAGTAAGTTACAAAGATTTATTTTACACAGTTACACAATTTCACGCTTTTGCGTAAACACCAGGAGTTTGAGAAGAAGTAACTATATGTTAAGAGGGTTGATAGACGAATTTTCGTAGTCTATAACAACTAAGTATACAGCATTTAATTTATTACGTGTCAAAAATTTACTATGATAATAAACTGTATGAACGATTCTTTATGTTGTCTAAGGAAAAATGTAAATCCAAATACAATATAATTGGTACTTATTTGATCAGTTCCTTTGAAGAGTGCCACAGACTTTGCTAATTTATCAAATTACTCTAAAGACTATTTACATTCGATTTATAATAATCTGTATTTATTAGTTAATTCTTATAGTTTAGTACATAATTAAATGCGGTATTATATTATTTACAAATTAAAAATATAAAAGTCTGTATTCGTATTTATTTATTTATTATACGTATTAAATGTTTTTTGGTATTTCTAAATTTATTGGTTCAAGTGATAATGAAAATGCTTCCGCGTTATATTTCGAGTTTGCATAAACATTGTAATATATACTGTAGAAGAGAATTATTGTCAGGCATAAGGGAAGGAAAAGAAGAGTGGTGTTGCCACGTATTATTGTGTTCTACAAAGTTAATACACTTTGGTTGAAAATTAAGTTAAAAATCAATTTGTATGAAATAAGTGGATAAAATGTGCAACACGTTAATATTCAAATATGTAAAATATAAATTACTACTTTCTATGAAATATGAGAAAAAGAAGTGTTTTCTTTCATCTTTTAAATATGTTAATCAGAAACGGCACAGACAAAAATGATAAAAATATTCCTTTATAAATGTTTTATTAAAATGTATGTTCTATTTAATTCAATTGAGTATACACCAGTATATGCATACCTACTTCAACTCTATTTAATCAAGTACTAACTCTGTGATAGTGAGTGTAAATACACATGAAAGTGGCATACTAGTATGAAGAAATATAACACTGCTTTTGGAAATGTAAGCTTAGGTTTTAATTAGATGAATTTAATGGCTGAAATTGGTATTACTAAAGAAAGTGTCAAATTATAAATTCAAGTCGTCAACTTTTCTAAGATGCAAGTCAGGATTTCCTCAGAAAATAGGTTTCATTGCTACTATATATTTTTATACAGACAATCTAATTGTCGTTATTCTCGAAAACGATCTCAAAACTTCAAAATGTGATCTCAGTAAATCGATGATTTCTAATCAGTAGCTTCGAGTTTTTTTTTACAGATATGCCAAATGTAATGATTCAATTTAGTCGCGGCTGCAACTGTTTAGTTCCTTCCTTTAATAGGAAAAAATATTCTTCATTGCTGAATCTTCTTTGTGTCATTTTCACAGTAATTTTTCAAGCCTCAATATACTGTTTCACGATTACTAGGAATCATTGTGATAAATTTCCTTGTGTCACCAAGAGTATATGTTTAATGTATTTTATAAAGCACTAGAAGACAGATGCAAGATAATATTATTTTCCGACTTTTAATATATAGCATAAATTACATATTAAATTAATTGCTTAAGTGATAACAACGTTATTTTGTACATGTGTAATATATTCGTAGAAAGCAGAAGAATATCATGTGGGTGTTAATAAATGTTATATGCGACTTAAGTAATTGTGAAATTCATCTATTCATTAATGGCTTAAAAGAGTTCCTTTCAATTTAAGTTTTTATCTAGTTAACTACTATTAAATAGATCTTATAAAATAAACTACGAAATTGGGACTTGTGATTATGAGGAAGAAATACTGTGTATTTCTGAAAAACAACTTGTAATATTTAATAGACAACATCCTATCTAATATCCACATATTATTATGTATTCTATCTTCAGTTACAAAGCAAATTACTTATACTATCTATCAATGATAGCTTTTATAAAATACTATAGAGGTTGTAAAGGACATTTAAAAATTCAAAATTCACGCGCATGCGCAGCTGGTACTCTGTTTACACATGTAGGATGCAGTAGGATGTACATCCGATGTATAGGGTTTTCGGGCTGCTGGCGCTGGCTTTGCGGGTCACGCCGTCACGCCAGCTTCTTCAGTCTTGTCAAGTCTTGTTCAGCACCGCTGATCGTTCTACGAGTTAATTGTTGGACGGTGTTCTTTGAACTCAACGTATTGTTTTTACGAATTATAAAATGTCAACAGTAAATGATATGGAGGAATCAGGAGACACCTGTCCAGCTCAATGGGCGATCGATCTTCTGAGGCGCGACAGTCATTACAAACGGGAATTTTATAATTTGTATCTTGGTCATATGGTATTGGGATATGTTGGCTTTTTTACCCCGATAATGAGGAATATGTATCTGAGTCGACCGTGGTACAGCTGTAAGTACTGAAGAATAATTAACTCAAACTCTAACCTTATAATGATTCCGATTATATAACTTGACTGTTTGAGAAAACGAATTAGTGATAGTGCCGTAGCGTCTTATAATAAATATTTAATCGTTATTTAAACGTAGATTAAGGTACTACTATCCTCTACAGGTGTTATGGATTTTGTAGTCTTTATACAGACATAGATAACATAAATTGAACCAATTTGACACTAAGTCTCATTTGTAGTCAACCATATTAGGATTGATTATAACTGCCCAAGTTTTATTCCATGTTTTTGTTTCATTTCATGCTCGCCGTACAAGTGCATACAATTAAGGATTAAATGTAATTAAAATCATTTATTTTTTTTTCAGCTTTCCAGAACCATATTATGTTTACTATAGGGGGTGTATTGTTTGGAAAATTTCTAATGAAAAAAACGGATCACATGTATAATAGACGTGATGCAATAATGGTGGATTATATTAAAAGACACCCAGATAGATTTCCTGAACCAGGTAAGTTATTTTATGCTGAAATTTTACAATTCATCATTTACTTTTTATATAATATGTTTCTGATTGCTATTTTAGAAAATAAACTGTACAGAGACATATTTCGGCCATGGATACCAGTGCGTTAGGTAATTATAATAAGATTGTATACTATTTCCATGTATTAAAATATCAAAAGGAAAAATATAGATGATTATTATACCTTGTGAAAGCACATTATATTCGTATATCATATATTCCTGTAATGAGAATCCATCATATTATTCTCATTGACATGTGAAATATAAAATGTGAGAAACTAATATTTCTGTCAATGAGATTCCACATTTCTCCTACATTTCTTTTTTTCAATCCTTATTAGTACTTAAATTCTTTATACTTAAAGAAAGGATAATGTAACAATACTTTCCATAATTGGGAGTCAAATAATATGTATTAAGTTTATCATTTTATATTATAAACGGTTGTAAATGACAATTATTTTACTAAAACGGTTTGTGTCATTGTAGAAAGTACAACAAAATCACTGTACAAAAAAAAAGAATAAAAAATTATATGTAGTGAGCTAGCATTACATAAAGTTTCAATAAAGTAATGGTAATAAGACGTATTTGTATTATTGGTATAAATACATTTTTGATTATTTTAATCAATGCCAGCTTCTGTTTGGAAGTGTGATTAAATTGAAGATTTTAAATTTATTATATGTATCGCTTGTTTAGACGACAACAAATGAAAATTAGTTAAAACTCTTTCTAACAATCATTCTATTACACTTATAAAAGTTTCTATTTCTTTTCAGGATTATAATTATCATTGTACAGTCCAGTTCCTTTAGAATCTCCCAGCCAGGGATATTTGTTGGGGCATTCCCTACATGTTTCTAGATACCTGTGAACATATTGATTATTATCATCATTTTGAACCACTAAACTTTTTCATATATATATGCAGCCACTGACCTGGTTGTAGTAAAATTAGATTCTGTAGGCTTGAAATCTAAAGCACACTTGTTTGCATTATTGCACGGTGGTCCAGGAAAATTTTCTTTCTTTTTACATGACCATCCTTCGAAGTTATTAAGAGATTTAATTGGTTTTGGATCAGTCATCCATGTTAGTGCTTGTGTAGCTGTTACAAAGTACACATCAGGCCTGCAAAGGTATCACACATATTAATATTTATATTCTTGAATTTTCAAAGCAAAAACTGTAAAATTCTCAAAATCACTACTCTCTTGACTATCTCTGTTTACAGTACAAAATTTAAATTATTTTTCACTTACAATGTCACTGCCCAGTCCAGGAACTTCGATAAACCTCGTTCCAATTCCTTTATTTGGAACCAATTTGTGTGGAAAGGCATCATGTATGGTGCTCTGTTTTGCTCGTAGTATCGATTGAAATCTTCTTGTAGCCACTCAAAGACTTCTTCTGGATCATGATTGTGAAGCACGCACTGATCCAAGTAAGGACAGTGTCCTCCTTCGTAGCTTTCAACATAATGAGCATTCAATGGGAGTTCCCATACACCTGGAAACAAGGGGATTAGCATGAGTATAAGTATGTTGATTTGAATTATATGTAATAATAAAAGAAAAGAAAAGATCGAATACCTGGGAATGATTTAGTGGGACATGTACCCGCTTTACATTCATGCGGGATCTTGTAATCAAGGGTATATGGCCAAATTGGTACTTTTAACGGAGAAATCCCGATACTGCTGTCATATATGTACCCGAAATCTTCCAACACTTTATACTGAGTGTTTCTCCCTGGTTTTAAGTATGGAGCTCTCATACCTACAATTTCACTTCTTGAGATGTTGCTAAAGTGTTTCAGTATCTCTCGCATTCCTACCATTTCTCCAACCCATTCTTCGTATCCTTTATCTTCCAGTCCTTTTTGCAATCTAAACAAAAACATTGATTTTTATATGGTATAGTTTCTTTATCTCGAAGTACGTACTTGATTACCGTTATAACTTACGATATAGTTTCAGTAGCAATTTCGTGTCCATCGTGCGCTAAACTTTGCACCATATTATAATTGCAATATTCATGTGAGATGAAGAACGTTCCTTTCAATGGACAATTATTTGGATTCAATCGGTCGGTCGCAAATATTTTTTGATAATGATCAAAATTGTTATGATTTATTGCTCCATCGAATGTCATCATTATCATTTGAGGGGTCTGGAATTGATTGATTTCACATGAATAGTATATTGGAAATGATTTATAAATGAAAAGAACAAAGTTTATATACATCATCTGGTTGCAGGCCACCAGGGATTATTGTACCATCTCTTGAGCAAAAACAATATGGTAATTGACAGTTGCCAGTATCGCATCTTTCTGCTAAATCAGTTGGTGGTTCGGTCACTGGGGCTGGGGCTGAAATTCGAATAATCTATATTAATTCAAAAACAAAAGGGGAACCGTATGATTGATGTTAATTATTCAAGAATATAATTACTTGTAGGGATAGGTCCACAACGAGCTTCATTCTTGAAAGTGCAAAATTTACTAATATCATCAAAGTGCAATCCTGATGGACATCTATTTAGGTAAGGGTATCCATCAACACACTATAGAGTTATGTGAAAAAATGTTTAATCAACAATAATTTCTTCGATATTTGTTATAAAAATCAAATTACAGAAATGTTGCGATTAATTACCTGGTAGAATCTTCTACATGTTGCTGGATCAGCAAAGTTACCATTACCTTGACCTTCAGGGCATATAAACTCTTCGTCCTTCTTCTCGTCGTCTTTCTTAGCATTTTTTTGCCCATAAACTACAAAATATGTTGCGTTAAATCAATCGTAAATTTTAAAAACTAGACTAAGAACTTTTGTATTAAAATATTTTTATCTGTTATCCCATTTAGTTTCTCAAAAAAAAGTATCACATTACAGTTATCCGGTTTCATTTTGAAAAGGAGATTCATTTAACGAATTTACAAATTTTCGTGAATCTTTAATAATAATGAGAAGTGATATGTTCGATGCATTAAAGATTCGTGATTATAATCCTGAAGGATTGGGAGATTCGAAACTCGTCGAAAGGTCAAGGTTGAGCAGACTAATGGCAGTAAACTAACATGTTCGTATATTTACACTTCTACCCACTGAATGCTCAATTATTCACGTTCTACTTTTGTTGCATTCTTTCTCTCGACTACTATCATATCTCGAACTTCTATAGTATAGAGGAATGGATTTTCGGATGTAACGAGAGAGATTAACAACAGAATTTGTTAATAAGATTAAGTTTTATTTCACTAACACGTTAATATATTTAAATTATTTTCTTGTTATTGAAACAATAATACTCTGTGAATAAATTAACGTTTATTCGATCGTTGATCTAAAAAATAATTGATTGGCGATGCTGCAGCTGTTTAAAAGTTTTTTCGTTACATTGTACACGGAAGGCAGTAAATGGTTATAGAAAATACCTAAGAGAAATTCCAAGGGTATCACAGAAAAGACGGTCGAGAAAGCGAGGGACGTGGTAGTAAGAATTCCAACGTCCGGAGACGTATTATTGAGATAGCTATAAAGGTATTCAGATTCAAACGTTTATGTTCACTTCTTCGATAGAATTAACAATTCCATAAAAAAAGAAAAAGTCTGAATACTTCCGAAATTATTTGTAAAATCACTTTGAAGAAATAAAACGTGTACTTTATAGATTTTCCATTACATAAGCATTTAATTTTTTGTTACACAAATAAAGTGCAACGGTAATATTATACATTTGAACGTGTTAGCTAACACTAGTGTACAATAATGTTGCGAAATTCGTTTTTTTCTTTCAAATATATAGATCAAATACATAGATTATTATTACATCAACATTGTGAATCTTTAGGACTACAATCTACTCAAAGAAGATCCTACAAGAAACTGGTCATTATTAAAAAATACAAGGATGGAAACGTCAGCCATATGTTGAATATACCTGTTTCTTGAGCCAATGGCAAGATCAAGGATCAGCGTTGACTCGCCACGGATTACTAACACCGAAAGATGGAGACGATTATTTCGTAGATTCCATTTTAATGCTCAACGCTATGATGATCTAACACGTATGGAAAGTATTTTCTTGTATGCGTTTAACGAGCGAACATCGTCTCGTCAATAATAACAGTAGAGGTGAAGTTCTTTTTAGTCGAAGAAGATATGCTCTCGCGTTACCAAAATGCTAGATACAAGGGTCATTATACATCGTCATTACGGCGACGCAACGTTCTGGAGACGATCGTGTTCAGTATCATGAGAGGAATCCGTAATTGCAAGGGAAACTTTTTATTCCAGGCGTATAGTAAAAAGGGCGTAACCCGATGTAATCATCTCCCCTACCGTTCGAAGGTGTGGCTTCTTTCAGAAAAGCATCTTACATTCCATTATTATTCAAAAGAATTGCCTCCAGCCTTATTCTATTAAATTGTTTTACATTGAATTTTTACGCATTATTTTACTGGAATCAAAACGAACGGATCATTTGCATCTCATTTGTTAGGTAATCGATCATAGTAAAATAAACATTTTTTTCGTTTTCTGTTAAGATTTATAGTTCGTTTTGTGTTTTGTTAATAGGAGTGAATATCAAATATACGATTCTAATTATATCGGTCTTGCCGTTCGATGGAACGAGACAGGTAAGACGCCAGGAAATTACAGATAACCAAGTAATTTTAATTTGTGGTCGGATGATCAGATGCAAATGTGTTGAAAACTTGTGCAGATGGGCTACCAGGAGAGAAAGTAGTATCTCGGGAGGGCACTTCCCCGTGGTCTTATAGCAGTCAAACACGAAACAGACATTTTACGTGGATTCCACAGCCTTCGATATAAATATATAATCACTTCGAAATTGAAAATACTTTTTCGTGTAATTCATTGACGCATTTGAAACAGCATCAATATTGTATATCGAATTTATCATTTTTTTAGCAGGATGTACCGACACGAAAGTGTCCAGAATGTTTGTGTGCAATTATAGTTCGATGACAAGGAATCGATGTGAATCGTCAGCGTTTAACGTAGAAATGAATGAATGTGAGAAAATTATATGTGTCGGAAGATTCCATAATTATAGGACATAACAATACCGAGGGCCAGAGAAATACTGTTTTGTTGTCACGGGCACCGACGAGGTATAAGAATTGTAGACCTTTCATCTTACGAGAGTTGGTGGCTAAATTGTAATAATGACACTTTAAAAAGCTTGTGATTTTAGTAACCTCTACGTTACGAGAACGGTAAATCAACAGTGCATAGTGACACTAAAATGTAACTCCAGAAAAGTGAGCTGCAAGAATACACTGGATGAAATGTCTACTCGTATATCTCGTCTGTGGTTTAACGTTGAAATTAATGAACGTGAGACAATTATACGTGTCGAAAGATTCCATAATTATAGGATATAACGATACCAAGGGCCAGAGGAATTCTGTTTTGTTGTCACGGGGAACAAAGCTCGCGCGCGTGTGTATGTATAGATGCCAAAAAGATCGGTTTAGCGGCAAAATGGAAAGTGAAGGTACCACTCTGGCAATGACGTTGCGGTAAATCGTTCAGGTGCAACCACCAACACACATTTCCATTGGCCGTGTACACTATACACGCATGTATCCACGAGGAATTCAGATTTCCTCCATGAGCAGCGTGGTTCACGGTGTACGTACGTACGCCATATACGTAAAACCGACGAGGACTTATGTAAACACCAGTGAAACCGCCGTGTCGAACCTAATTTACCAACGGTTCAGTGTCGGGGCGGGTTCGTTGCTTCCTCGAAACTTCTTCGTTTTATCTGTGTCAACGTTATTTACGACGCGTGTCTCGGCATCGACGGAACTTTCGACGTCTCGAGGACAAATCTTACTCTCGTTTTGTTACGCGTCGATCGTAGTTTCAAACAAGAAAAACGATTTTAACATTACACAAACCCGAGATTCAGTTGCGAAAAGTCAAATTATAATTTTATATTTATATTATCGATATGTAGCCGATGGATTCTCAAGGATGATCCTATCAGATTCTTTTTTTCAATATTGTATTTAGCTTTTAAGTTTACAATCGATTCGCGGTTTAAAACATTGTACGGTTCAGTTTCTCGGGAGATTATTGTATATCATAACGAGGTAAACTAGCAATTTACTCGAGGACTTGCTAGTTAGGATATACAGGAGAATGTCTGCAGAAGGTCATTCCTTCGTTACTCCCACGTTCCCAGCTATTCTATTTTGTGACACTGGATCAGATCGATAACTTCTTTACCAGGGTGTTTAACAAAGACATCGATGGTCGGATTAAAAGTACAGTAGAAAACTATTGGGAAATACGTGAAACGATATTTGGGAATATACATTTCCCACTAGAACATTTATCAATCAATCTTTCGTATAATTATTCTAAAATCCACGTGTAATATTGTAAATCGACAAGATATGTATAATGTCTACTTGCAGATCCAATTCTCCGAACACTACCATCGAATTTACATCATGCAATCCGAGAAAATGAATTGGTCCACTTGAACGCTATCATTCCCAAGGATTCCAAGATAAACTCAAAGATTTACATTTCCAAGGATGACAAATTTCAGTATCTACGTCTCTTCCGCGACCGTTGAGCACGCGCAACGATCAATTTCTCCGTGGCGATCGATCAGGGGCCCCCAACGACGTTAAGATCCGGGCAACAGGAGCAAATCGATCGTCATTTCGAGCAACAAGTTGTTCTCGTTCTTCACTTTTGACATCTCTCAGATACAGAAACGAAACATGCATACCCAAAGGTGTGTGTCTTCCTACCTGATACTATCAAGACAGCGTAAAGAAGCAATCCTCTTCTCCGTCTGATCATCGTTCGACAGTCGACGAGAGAAACGTGTGAAAGTCTTTCCCCTTTTTTTTCTCTTTACTCTCCTCTTTTTATTGTTCTGTTTATTTTTAATGTTTAACCAACCGATTCCTCTCGAACCTCTCACAGGGCACTCGGAAAACACGGAGGGAAACAATTATAAGGCTCGAGCCACGAAACGGAGATCGTCATCGGTTGGTGTGGGCACTTGGTAAACCTGGTCTCGCAGCACTGGCGACGGGGGTTCGCCAGCAATCCCGTCTGCCATGGCTATGGGACTCGGAAACCGGACGGTAGGAACCGTTCCTTAGCTCACATTGGCTGACCACTTTCTACCCGCGCCGTGTCCCCGGCCGCCGAGAAATCTCTGGCTTTTATTTGCGTTAGAGAGCACACGCACGGTTCCGTGTAAAGTCCGCTGAAAGTCGAGATTTTTTTCTATTTGTTTTTTGTTTTTTATTTTTTTTTTATTTCCTACTGACTCCGGCTCCGTGGATACGTGTTTGGGTTTTTGTTTTCCAGTCAGTCGATGGATAATCGATGGAACGAGCAGGCCCACGCTCGAACTACGAGGTGTATCTGCTTTGTTATTGCGTTATCCGTTTTATGGATATCAGATTTATGTAGGGACCACCGCAGTCGCTGAGTTCAAGTACGTGTATAGCTGTGAAAAGGAAGAGTAAGGCTTATTCCACTTGTAGCTATCGCTTCTTTGACATACCTGCTTCAAATATATTGTTCTTTGTGTTATATGTTACAGATAATTCGTACGTTATATATTTACATATGTAAATCCATAGGAAAAAATAATCCTCCTCGGTGTTACATAGTACATTATACTGAATTAATGATAATTGACGATCTATTTCAGGAAGTGTACAGAAAGCGTCTAGAATTCAGTTATCGTTATTCGCGGTCCCCTCTTCCGTTTCTCCTTTTTCGACGATCCTTTTGTCTTCATTGCCTCTTTGTTAGGTTCTTGAAACCGAGCGGAACGTTGATAAGGATTAGAATATCCTGGCTTGCGTTCCGTTATATTAAGTTCTTGGGCCACCAAACCGATTAAAGCGATTGTTTTCTCGTCCAAGAAATGCCCGCTACGACTTGTAAAATTTACGGACCAACTGATCGCCGAGCTCCATTTCGGTTGCATTTTCAGCACACGATGACTTACTTCCGGAAAATGGAGGACAATATCCCCGAACAACGCTGTGTTTTCTAATACAGTGGATAACGCTACGGAAAACAAAACATACATATTTATATGCTTTTTTCATAGAGAATTTAATCTAATTTTAAGTTACCGCTTTGCACGGTGACATTCCGTGGCAATAATCGATCGTCCGGATTGAAATTTGCATCTTCGATCAGTGATTTACTTGATTCGATCACGTCGATCATTTTCTCCCCAAGAACCATTATCATTTTGTACAGCCGCTCATAGTTATCTATTCTTTCGAGACGTTTCACGGCGTCGGCGTGCTCCCTACGTTGGTGAACGAAGGATTTTTTGACTAAAAGAATCTTGGTTAAGGGACATTATCTCATTTAAAAGATGATTTGCGTTTATTTGAAAAGAAAAATATATTACACGTGTGTGCAGAGAGTAAAGAAAATTAGACAAATCAGACGCCATTATTTGCCATACAATTATGTCTGATTAAATTGAATTTAATAGATCGATGTTAATTATAATTAGACTGCGGATTTTATGCATTTATAGACTTCAGAGCTCTGTGAAATACGATAACAAAACTTTCATCGAATGCAACGACTTTTCTATGTTATTCTTAACTCAATAACATACTTACGAGAAGATAGAAATTCCTATTTTTGTTCTTGTATTCAAGAATTACTTTATAAAATTTTATTTTGCATAAAAATCGAATTCTAATGTATCTTGAACTGAAATAAACGATTTAAATTGCATTCTCAAGGGATACACAATTCTTCGTAAACTTTGTTCTCAGACGAACCACCGTTTCGTGACTCTTCATCAATTGGTCGATTCTCCGCTATTATGTCCACTTGCTGCGTGTGCGCAGTGAATGTCAACACGGACACGACTGCAATCATGTAAACGAATGCGCGTGGCATCTCTGATTGAAAAAAAAAACACTTAGAATAAAATTTAAATAGAGCCCTGTACACCGATAGAAACGAATTGTATATCCAGGTAAGAAACGTTTCTTGAAGTTCAACAATCTATGTGTCCCTCGAGGACAAATGCCCTAATTTCGACCGGCATTTGAGCCGCAAGTTTCCGATTCTATAGTCGCAACACTACAGCCACCTATCAACTTGTCTCTAACGTAGAATGTGTCAACTTCAGCCACGATTTGCTTGAAAATAATTAGAAGACTCGTAAAGTTACTTTATGTTATGTGGCGGTTACGAACGTTCGAAGTGTGATGCGTGTGTGTGCTTTTAGATCATTTACTGACATTATTCGCAAATTAAATAAATGATAACAGTTCTACAGACGCAGTAATAGGACTCGGCTTAAGATATGGCATGACAGTGTTAATTAGAAAAGGATTAATTCGCGCTGGTTACATATGGCAGTGGTCTAGGTTCATGTGACGATAATATATAATCGCATCGCGTCTAAGACAGTTAATTAACTTGGTAATTCGAGTCTGATATCGGTGACAAAACATGGCAGCGACGGGTGATACAAATCTTGATGTAAGTACATTGTTGTTATACGTTTTGGAGTGTATTTTGCTTTCCACTTTTTTCACTGTTTAATACGAAATTGCATTCGATATACCTTGTTGTTCTAATGTTTAGAGTATCAGTTGATCTTCGAAAAATGTTTGTTCTAAATAATATTACAATCTTTGTCCTGTGTCACAACAATGAGATTAATTTTTGTGCTTTTCGGAAACCAAACCGATCGACTTTATTTTGTATGCATATTCTAGATTCTAGTACTGTTAGTAAACATTTGGTTTTTAGTTTAAAGTTACAATGGAATATGCTGACCCTCAGAATGTGGAGGGTGAGATGACAGTTGGAACTAAAAAGAGTACGAACCTTGGAGAACCTGAATTTAATACATTAGATGAACCGATTAAAGATACAATTGTAAGTTTATATTTCAAAGTTGTTAAAAAATCAGTTGAATGAATCGCATTGTTAATGTATTTCACAGCTCAGAGATGTTCGAGCAGTAGGGAAAAAGTTTTTTCATGTTATGTATCCCAGGGAGAAAAAAAGCTTACTGAAAGAATGTAAGTATACATAGGATATTCTGTGTGTGTGCTGCTATAAAATTGTGAGAGCTTTCTTTAACTTGCTTTAAACAAAAAAAAATTAATTTTCCTTTTAATAAATGTTATTAGCATGGTGGAAAACAAATATGAAGGCTATGATAACTAAGAAAAAATGCCTACAGTAGGTTTAAAAAAGTAGAAAACTTTAAGTAAGTAAGGTTAAGGAAATGATCTAAAATTTTGTAGCAATATGTACCGAGCATATTCTATATAAAACATTGGATTATAAAAAATATTTAATATTTTAGGGGATCTTTGGGGACCATTAGTATTATGCACATTTATGGCAATGTGAGTGTAATGTTCTTCAGAATCTTTTAATTATAATGTATTTCATTGTTTAGTAACAATTTTCTTGTCATTGGGTCAGGATATTACAAGGTTCTTCAGATACAGCAGATAATTCAAATGATGGGGGACCAGAATTTGCAGAGGTTTTTGTAATTGTATGGATTGGGTCTATGGTTGTTACGTTGAACTCCAAGTTACTGGGTGGCAATATGTAAGTAGTTGTAATTATTATAGATTAATGATACTATTAAAGGGTATATGCATAGTAAACATGATAAACTAGAACTACTTTTATGAGATGAAAGAATATCCAGAAGTGTATCCAAATATATAGCTAAAGTTCTTCTAAATATTAATGTCCAAACCATTTCAAGGTCACTTATATTCCTGTAAATGTCATACAGTATAGGATCTCTCTGATACAACCTTTTTATGCAAAATATATTTCTAGAAAATTTGTGTACTCTATACATGAAATTATAGATTATTAAAAGTAATATATTCTAATGTATTGCAGATCTTTCTTCCAAAGTATCTGTGTCTTAGGATACTGTCTGTTGCCAACTGCTATAGCTCTAATTGTATGTAGAGTTATATTAATAGCAGAGCAGACAACTTTCCTATTTAGTTTAAGGTTTATTATTTCCAAGATTGGATTTGCGTGGGCAACGTATGGTTAGTATTGGATTATTTATATTTTTTAAATCCTTGTTCAGTGAATCCTTTATTCTATATTTTTAAATACAATTATATATAAATATATTTTAGCATCGATGGCATTTCTTGGTGACAGTCAACCGGTAGGAAGGAAAGCTTTAGCTGTATACCCAATATTTTTATTCTATTTTGTAATTTCATGGTTGGTTATATCACACACTACATAAAATAAAGTATAAATCGTTTACGATAATACGACTGTACATTGTTCCATATCTGTGCACAAACTAACGAAAAAGATCTTAAACTTAACAAACTACAGAACTGCATTATGCTTTGTCATTTTTAACACTAAATTCTTTGTAGATAAAACATTAGATGCATACATTATTTATTACTATGCATTTTAGAGAATCACCAGTTTGTATGTCAATTACAATTACCTATATAGAGAATTCATCAATATAATCTATGAAATAGTGAATGATAGTTAAGTAAACTAGTAAATTGTTATATATTTATATATAAGTTGTATAAGAAGAACTGAAGTCTGTGTGATACAGAAGATTTTATTGATTTGGCATTATAATTATTCTATTTGTACAATCTTCCATAGTATTTCTTTATAATCTAAAAAACCTTGATTGATTTTAACCAACTGTCTTTTCGACGAGCCGACATTCCTATTAAATTCTTCAGTTTATAATGTAATCATGTGAAGTTTGTGACTCATAACAGAATCGTATAATTGAATCGTGTGATTCGTACTTTTTACACATTCGTATTGTGTACATAATATCTGTAAAATTGAAATCAAATATTAAATAAAATACATCATTTTCTATAACGTGGAAACATTTCTCTCTATTTACCATACAGTTCACATGTGTGAAAAGTATCTCTCCAACTTTTTCAGAAGAGTTCTGCTATCACAATGCCCTGGATATGCTTTTAAAGACTTTTGTACCGCAGTATAACTTGTCTGTAGATCTCCAACCTATGAAATTTGGTAATGTACACAGAGTGTCCTTCCTAACTTTATTACCTAAAATATTTTCTTTTATCTTCAATATTATATTATTATGCAAGAAAACCAAATCTATAAAACTATAAATTAATACGAGAATATCTATTGAGATGAAGAAAATGTTTTAGCTGGTAAAGTTATTTGTGGTACTCTGTATAAGGATGGAATGAGTCATAGTACATGATACATTACTTCGTAAGCTAAATAAGCACTATTAAAATGGGGTTCATAAATAAAAATTGCAATATTAGCAGCAGCATGGAAATACGTTCGAGCTGCTGTTAGGTTCCCATTTCGTACTTGTATAACTCCAAGATTGTTATATGCTAAAGCATGTCTATTGTCGCTGACAATAGCAAGTTTTAGACATTCTTCTGCCATTGTTGTATCACCTACAGTCTGAAATTATTTTTCAATAAAAATATTACAAAGAAAGATCGAATTCACTGTTCTCAAGATTAGGTGCTCAAAACAGTTTGTACACCTACAAGAGCAATGTGAGAAATATTGTACCATACATCCGCTACGTTTTCATCTGTAGAAAGATTAAGCGCTCTTTCAAAGCACGATATAACATGATCATATTGCTGAGAATAAAAACAGCATAATCCAAGATTATTGAATAATTCAACATTATATACACCCATTTGCAGCAATCGTCTGTGTAGATAATAAGACAAAATTGCACTTTGAACCGTTCTTATCTATTACATTTCTATTCACTTTTACCTGTAGAAACGCAAGGCTAATTCGGGCTGATCGTTATAGAAATGATGCATCCCAATACTAGCTATTGCTTCCGTATGCGAAGCATCTTCTTGGGCAATGATCTTATAATATTTTAACGACATGCTTGCGTTATTCAAACCGTCAAATATACGTCCCATTTCAGTGAGAATGTTTACATCGTTAGGAAAATACTCGAGACCTTTTTTACATGTCTCCAAAGCAGTCAGTGGTTGGTCCAGTCTAATGTAAACTCTAACCAGCCTTAAGACAGATTCAATAGTTTTACAATCTTTCAATGCTGATTTAAATTGTTGCTCTGCATCTCTTACTAATCCTAAACTGTAATAGCATTTTCCAAGTTGTAGTTTCCACCACCAATCTTTGTACTGACAGACTTGGGTCGCTTGGACTGCTAAATCTAGTGCCTGTGCATAAAATATTCCATTATTAATGCGGTATTTTGAATAAATGCACATATACTTACGTATCTCACGTCATGCTCGTGATAATATATGTATTCGAACAGTGGTTTCGCAATACTCTGTTGACTGGCATACTTAGAAATATTTAAACGAGATAGTTGTATGAATGGTCCTCCAGGTTCTGTTAACATGGATGCTGTACCTAATCTGTGTACCCATAAATTCATTAATATATTTCTTTCTGCTATATAAGTTCTGGAAGTAATATATAATACTTAGTATACCTGACACTGCGGCTAGAACTTGCTGTAATTGGTCTAGCAGTCATAGCAGTTCTTGGTGTCCTTAAAGCTTGCTCAAACGATTGAGATATAGCTGACTGGGTGGCTGGTCTTACAACTCCTGTAAGTGGCCTCCCTATAAAGTATATTTGTTGGTATTAAAGCAAGAGTGGTACCTTCTTTATTATTTAGAGATACATTAAAATTTCGAAAACAGACCTGACTGTGTTTTGGGTCGTAAGTACTGTCCTACGTGAGCCGTACCAGGGTTTTTTAAGGATGTTCCTGGTCTAGGCATAGAAGATATAGTATAATTGTCCAGCAAACTATCAGCAATTCCTTCTTCTTCTCCTTCTATATCGTCAATGTATACTTGTAATGTTAAGGCACGCATTTTTAGCACCCATACAGCCTGTGACAAAGTATATTGTGTGATACTACCCATCATATATGAAATAATTTCGAACTCTTATTTGTACCTGATCTAATGGATTTCTTCTTAACAAATCTGTACATATTGATGTACATTCTTCATATTTCCCTCTGCTGAATAAACTTAGAGCCTTGAACAACTCCATAATTTCATTAAGAGTGCTTGACATAAAATAATCATGAGAGTTGACTGAATTGTTAGAAAGAAATGTACTGTTTCAGAACACCATACTATTACACCTGTCTACACCTAAGTATTGTAGATAATCGAATTTTCTATGCCTGAAGATATTGATTATTTTGCTTATAACCCTGTCTCTATGAAGCATGGGTAAAGCAGTACATATTTGTTTTGTATTTTGCATTAGAAATACATACAAAAATACCATTTATAATATTTGGTAACTTTATCATTGGGCATAAATAAATTAATAAGTAAATTAATAAATGTACAAATTCTTTGAAAGTAATTTATGATGATAATAAAACTTTTTAAAGGATAACAAATGACCATCATATAATTTCAATCAATCTTTTTATTTATGCCAGAAATTGAGGAAAATCACATCATACTACTACATAGTATATTTTTACAATATATTTATTTTCTATACTTTTCATATATTCTTATGTACATTGTATAGAATTCGTAATTAATATTGGAAGTAATGGAAGGTCTTGATAAAAATGACAATAGGTTTGTATATTGTTATATAACATGAATAAATTATTCTGAGACATTTATATTTTTTGTTTAGCATTACACAAGTTTTTAGCGACTTCTTCAAGAGGAAAAGTATAGAAGAACAATGCACAGAAGAATCTTTAATGCGTTTACATGAAGCTTTTTTGGTATATTGATAAATATTCAGTTAAAATAATAGCTAATGCATGTATTTTACTTTAGAAGATATTTATTGCATAGGCATCAGAAAATGAAGAAATGAACATTTTTCAATTACACAATGCTTTTGAATATATACTACACATTACAATACCCGATAAAGAATTTGAAGTACTATTTAAGAAGGTAAGAGTAAAAGAAAAGTATTTACTTATACATTCTATGTAATTAATGTATTATTGTGTACTAATTACAGATGAATAGAAAAAGAGATGGAAACATCACATGGAACGAATTTATTTCATATTTGTTAGTAGAATTTCAAAAGAAAGATACTGCTTTACAATGGCAAATATTGAAGCTTCCAATAACAGGCGCTCCTGAACTTATAAAATCACATCATCGTACACCTATACATAAAATTGTATTCTGTCCTGAAGTTTCCCCTGTACGAACACAAATGCATTAGTAAACTTGCAATAATAGATTCAATGGTATATTATTTATTTATATTTGTAATATCTTCTCTTTATTTCTTCAGGATAGAACTACAAGTTTTCAGAAAGGATGTTACTTAACAATCACCAAAGAAGGAATTATAAATTATTGGTCATTGGATTTAGAATATGAACGTAGTGTACAATCCACAAGTTGTTAGTATTTTCAGGTTTGAATTTTTAATTTATTAATATTCCTTTGATAAACGTTTAACTTGTGTACTTTTTTACAGCCTGTTTGAAAGTACAACAAACTTTGATAACTGACATGATAGTAATGCCTGATGTGCAGATAGTATGCACAAGTTCCACTGAATGTGATTTAAGATTTTACGACACTGTGGCTAAAAAATTTGATTTACGAGTGGTGGTTTGTTAAGACTTTCCGTAGTTAATCACATTCTCTCTTTTCCATGAATGATACTTTTTTCATAAATAACAATGTGTAGATATCGAGCTTAGAAAAAGCAGTTACTTGCATGAGTTATAGCTTCAGTAAAAGTATCAAGGATGACTCGCACATCGTACTTGGTGATATGAGTGGATCTATTAAACTTATTTCTTTTAGCCCTGTGGATAGAGGACCATTTAAACAAGAACCCCAACGAGATACATTGTTCGTTCGTTACGAATCTGTTCTAAAAGCAAGTAATTCGGTCTCAACGCATTCATTATTAATATATCTTCAGTAATATGATTATAAATGTTTTATTATAGGGTGAAATAAAAGGACTAAAAGTCACAGATTTTAAAACTGAGCATACAGATTGGGTAAAGCAAGTAGCTTACTATGGAAGTGTTAAAGCTTTCATGTCTTGCAGTAGATGTTCCATTTGTTCTCTGCTATTTAGCGATTTCACTGGGGCAAGAGTACAGTACAAATTCAAAGTTAGCATGGGAATTACTTGTTTTACTTTTTGTGAAGGTATTTCAATTACATACAATATTATCCTTGATCTGATACGCATGTACCAAATTTTCTAAAATATCAATTTTTAGAAAGTCAAACATTAGTAACCGGTGGACCCGATTGCATAGTTAGGGTTTGGAACCCCTTTGTGACGAAACGTCCGAATTGTACTTTTCAAGGACATCATGCAACTATCTGTGGTTTAGTGATTCAAAACAATGGTAAACGTGTGTATTCTCTCTCGAATAGCAAATGCATCAAAGTTTGGGACGTATTATCTCAGTCTTGCATTCAGGTAGCAACAATAATTTTGAATAAAACATATGCACGATTAGCAATTTTCATACATTAAAACATAGTGAAAATTCTGCATTAACTTATACAGACATACAATGGTCTTACAAACGAATTAGGTGAACATACATTGATGACCATAGTCTATAATTCACTGAATCATAAGATGATCATTGCTAGCGCAATGATCGCAGTGGTTGTTTGTGATCCTGTTATCAATGAGGAATTATCCGATGGTTACACTCATACAAAACCAGTTAGCTGTGTCCTATATAATCATCTTTACAAAGTGGTACAATATTCTCTTTCTTGTATACTTCATAAGATACAATATTAGGTGTCATAAATTATGTTATCCGATTACTTATAAATCCAGGTTGTTTCCACCGGATTAGATTCCTGTATAATTGTTTGGGACCCATGGCTTGGAAACCGTTTGTACTTAGTTACACACGCACACAGTCAATTTTTGTATGGTCAGCACAATGATGTTGAGATCACAGCTGCTTGTTTCGATGAGTCTGAACAATTACTAGTAACTGGTGCTAGTGATGGAACACTGAAAATATGGAATTTCAACACGGGCACTTGTCTGAGAAACATGGCAGTTGAGAAAAACTGGTGATCATCCAATCTACAACCATATGGAATTACATATCATAAGTTACTGTCTTTTTCACATTCTTAATTTAGCGAAATAACAAGCCTAGCTTGGGTGGAAAATCGAGTTTTATCTAGTGGTTGGAATCGTCAAGTTATCGAATTTGCAATTTCTGATACGAATATATATAAAAAAAGTTGGGGGGTAAGTCACACTGATGACATTCTTTGCTCAACTGTATGGTATCCTCAAGTCCTCGCAACAGCAACTTACAATGGAGAAATAATACTCTGGAGGCTGGAAACAGGCCAACCATACCGAAAGTATAAAGTACAGGACCCAATGTCGAGGTGGGAAAACTGTTAATCAGTTTTTTTCTTCCATAACATTGTGCTATGAATTATTTTAACGTGCGTAATATGAAATAGGTTCAATGTAAAGCACGAGAAACATGAAAGCAACGTTAAATCGTATACTTATAACGAAGTTACAAGAGGACAAAATGTTAGGAACATGTAACAATATTATTTTTATAATGTACATATGTATTAAAACTATAAATACATATGCGTATACTCTTTCACAAACAGAAAGCAACAGATAGCTTGTAAACACCAGGAATCAGTGTTAAATATTATGCGAACCGTTGCCGTTCGAGCCATGATATTTTTAAGCGCACGACCAACTAAGCCCAATGTTGGGACATTATTAGTGTCTCTTGATTCTGGTTTGATACAAGTCTGGAGTCACCACCCAGGTGGTGGATTTCTAGAAGCTTTTTCAGTTATTCATAGTGTGGGTGACTGTGCACTATCATTAGCAACTGATCCTAAGAATCATTTCCTTGTAACAGGTAAAGGAAAAAACATGTATGTGTATATAATGTATATTTCTTTTCACAACAAAATTTATTAATGGTGAACTTATAACAATTTTCGTAATCTATGAATATTTTAATGTACAATCATATTTGCTTCAGAATATATATACCAAACCATTTATTATAAATACTATAATTTGTATGAAAATACAATGAACTCTGAACGCATATTGTTCGACAGTAATAACTGGAAAATCATCTTATTTCGAATGGTTTAGGGCATAACAAAGGATACATCAAGGTTTGGCATATCGTCAACTACTTGATACCAAATTCTCATAAGGTGTGCATGCCTCTCCTACGATTAGAGTTTCCATTCCTATGGAAAGACAGAATCGATGGCAGAGCAAAAAGAGCAGTCAGGGATCAGCCTCAACCACTTTTGCTCACCTCTGTACATGGCCACTTAAAACCTGTTAAATCTGTGCAAATAATTCCTAATGCACGTATTATTGTTAGGTAATAAACACGTTCGTACTATTAATTTTAATTTCGTTTATATTCATAAATACTGTTGTACGAATACAATTACTCCTTTGTAGTTTATACTTGTAGACTGGTTTATTTTCCACAAAATCGTTTATTCGTCAATTTTACTCGGTGAATTTAAAATACAATAAAAGTTATTTAGTTTTTGTGGAAACCTTTTTCGTAAACTATATATTTTAGATCTTTATTGCTTTAAGTGGCAGCACAGATTGCACGGTACGCATATGGACACTGGGGGGACGTTACATATCAACCTTGGGAACCTTCAAACCATGGTCAGCAATTTTACCCACGATTCCGGCATACCAGTATTTCAGTGACTACAGATTTCCACCGGATATTACAAGATTTGCAAGTTTTACTACCTTGAAAGTAATTACATATCTTAAAACTCTGCGTCGTAAAACATTGTGTGGCCATACTGAACAAGTGGATTACATACCAACCGAAAACTTTAATGTGAATCTTAAATATTACCTTGTACTAATAAGCAAACACGAATAGCTTCTAGAAGGAGGTGTAAAAGAATCAATGACCGAATCTACGGACGATACTTCTGATTTTGTACAAGCCATGATCGCCGATCGTAAAGATATCATGATAGATGGGAGGAGGCTTACAATTTCAGCAATGGACAAGTCAATCAGGATGCTTTTCTTGGATTACCCAATTCTGGATACTTCTTTGTCATATGTACGTATTAGATACGAAACCATTTGGCTTTACGACATAAACAGTCCTGATTCTGAGTACAGGAGAAGAAAAAAAAACGCAACGTTCTTGTCAGTTCTATATAACAGTTGCTTCTGTTACGAACCTCTCAATTTATTACAGTGAAAAAACTTCTTATGAAAACAATACTTTTTAGATACCTATATACACACACTTAGAATTAAAACCTTTGAAGACTATTCAAACGCCAATATTACCGCCACTTTTGCAGAAGCAAAAAGAATTGACGTAAGTCGTTTTAAATTCATACACTGTCCAAATTATTATCATTAATAATTTGTATATAATATCTGTACGTAACTAGTATGTTTATACATGCATTAAAGTTATAACCATTTTTCGTAGAAAACGCAGTCGCAATACAAAAGAAATACATTGAAATATTCGTCAACATAAAAGAACATACAACCGATTTTTGTAGAATATTAAATATTTTACAAAAAACAATGACGAGCGTCAAATAATTAAGACAGATCGAATTGAATAAAATATATTTCTTGGTAAAAACTGTCGCATTTGTATAATTACTTATTAATTATTCTATGCTTTTGCAATAAAGAATAAGTAAAACGGTTAAATCCGGTCTGATTGGTGAAAATACATTTATGACATTTTCAAAAGGAAGATAGAAAACGGCAGTCTTACAATTGTCGATGTCATATCACATCATTCCTATATCACATACGTTACAATATACGGTGTTACGAAGCATATTCGTTTGAAGGCACAACATGACAATTAACAACATTGCATTCAATTAAACTATACCTGGTTTTATTCGGTTTCCATCATGGAATAACGCGGCGGTGTATTCCAGATTGCGCTGGATGTACGCAACAATCTACTTCTGTCTATACCTTGGAACAATTGCGTCAAGTCTGGTGTACACTTTTTACTATCAAAGAACTTCAAAATTGCTCTCTCTGGAATGTATCGTTGCATCGCAAGTTGGGCTTTCCGTACGTGAGCTGAAATTAATGTATTTTTTTAAATTTCTATACTTTTAATCTACGTATTCATTCGATATTTAATTTATTTACACAGTTTCATTAAACACATGACGGAATTCAATATATGCTAAACCATCAAGACATTGAACATTTTGTTGAGCAATAAACATGTATATAAGTATCATTTGCGATTACTTCAAATAGTTTTTGGGTTAAAGCGAACTTACGTTGTGCCCAATGTGGAATCGCATGCTTTGGTCTGTTTTCATCGTCCGATTCATCTTCATCGGGTTCACTATCCAAAATGTAATTCGTTGGACCGTGATTTTTGTTTCCGTGTTTTGCCTACGGATTTATTAATATTTATATATCGCTAATCAATAGAAATTATTTTCTAATGGTGCACAAGTACTTACTTGCGCCTGAAGCATTTGATTTTTCATCTTCATAGCTTCGATGGTAGCATGTTGCTGAGCCCTCGCTTCCATTTCTTTTCGTTTGTCGGCCTCTTGTTCCCGACGTCTTTGTTCAGCCAACAATCGTTCTGCCTCTTCTTGTTCTTGCAAACGTTGCAAACGGAATTGCTCTTCTTGTCTTCTTTTCTCGTCCTTTTCCTGCAATTTATCGTGTATATAATAATAGTTCATAAGTAAATTATACAATTTCAAACATTAGTAACAGAAAAATTCTCTAAATCCTTGTTAGACCGAGTTAGAGCGCAAGCGACTGTTAAAAAAATCGAAGGTTCAACTTCGTTGTCGCTGCGCTTTTAATAAGTTCCCGGATCTAACGTTTTCCCGGACTCAGGTAGATTTAGGATAGGTACGAGGTAGTGACTCGTGATTATGTCGCTCAGTGAGAATTTAACCCTTTACACTCGGAATTTCTAATTTCCCATACATTTTGTCCCTTCAGAGGGGACAGTCGAGTGCAAAGGATTACTAGTTGAAAAGAACTACAAAGCTCGTTCGGTTGTTAACCGGCGAAGTTACTTCGTATGTTTATAAACGAAAAATTACAATATAGGAACGATCTCTCTTAACGAACTGTTCTACTAGAGCGAAGAAGAACAACAGTTTTATTATGTTTTCTCCTCGTCGCTCTTGTACGAAGAATCATAATAGACTGACGACTTTGAATGGTAAATACCAGGTGTACTTCCGAAACCGGTAATAATTTGTACCCCGACTTTTTTAACAATCCTATAGTTAACAGTAGAGAAATAGTGACCAACATCGAACAAGATCTCCTTTTCTCAATTCTTTTCTACGATTCTGAACACTTTTAAACACACTATGTATTGTCTTAGATATACTATACTACGTACCTGAGCTCGTTGCAATTGAGCCAGACGTTTCTTCTCTAATTCTTCGCGTTGCTTCTCCTGCACCTGTTGCGCCAAGCGCGCTCTCTCCTCCCTTTCCTTCTCGGCCTTCTGACGTTTCTCCAATTCTAATTTTTCTTTCGCCTCTCTCGCCAGTTTATTTTTCAACTCTTTCTCTTGCCTTTTCCTTTTCATGAAGAGTATATATATATTTTTTTTTTGTAAAATTTATTTAAAAAATAGCATTTTACTATTGATAATTGCTTTACCTTCTTTTTTCTTCTGTTACAATTCTCAATGCCTCATCCCGTTTCTTCCGTGCGTCCTCGTCATTCAATTTCCTTTTTCTATCCTCTGTTTTGTCCGGCGAGTTGCGTTTACTGACTGACTTTGTCGGCTGAATGAAAGATTCCATCGATGTGATAATATTTGCACGAGTTGCACTCGTAGCCTTGTTCTGCTGACAATGAATCCGTAATTAAGACAGAGTTATAAAAATTTAATAAGTTCGACTTACGAGAAATGCTAAATTCTTACATTAGGGATAATATTGTTCAATGGTGTTTGTGGAATACGACTAACAGACATCGGCAATTGAATCTTTGGCTTCGTTAATGGAGTCGTTTTCTGTTGTTGGTTTCCTTTATCCGGAAGAAGCACTCTCGGTATTCTTTGAACGGATTGCGCCTTATTCTAAACAAATAAAAAATTACAATCATTTATGTTCATTCGGAAACATTGAATAACGTACAATGAAATTTCAACTACCTCTTTATGCTCATCTGTCATCTTAGTATGCTTTGCTAACGAAATCTTTTTAGCCTTCGCAACCGATTTCCGTGCTAGTTTGTGAGCAATCGTTTTCTCTGTAGTATTTACCGTCTCCGCGACTTCGGCTTTTGCAGCAGCGATGGCGCGTGTTTTTGTTCTGGTCAGTCTAGCCGGTGCGTCGATATCGACAACAGTCTTTGGACTTTGCATACCTGCCTGTTCGAAAGCTTCAACCCTCTTCTTAACAGATTCTTTAGCGTAAGGACTGAACAATGCGTTTGACTTGTACGTGTTCTTTATTTCCTGACGAGTCACGCCCGATTTCATCTCCTTCAAAGCTGGTTTTGCAGGCGTACTAAGAATCTCATCTTCACTCGATGACGAAGACTCAACAATTCGTCTAAATCGTTTTTTACTCTCTTGCTTCTTAATGTTTGGTCTGTGCTTTTTCACGTCTGGCGATGATTCATCTTCTGTTATTAATTCATCGAATTCCTTGTTCGCCATGACTTCTTTTAGTTGTTGCATCCTGTCCTGCAGGGCCATTGAAGAAGGCGACTGAATGTTCGACGATTTCGGCGACTTTAATTCAGGCTTCGATTGACTTTTCTTCTTTTGATCGTCTTTTTCTGTGCTGTTCCTCGTGTTCTTAGTAATTGTTCGAGTTTCATTCATTTTAACCACAGACAAAGGTTCCAAGACTACGGTTACATTCATCATCTTGTTCACAACATGAGTAGAATTCAAATTCATGGTAGAATTCATTATAGGTGTAGATTTTTCAATCGCATCCTCGTACATTGAAGCTTCTTCCATGCCATCTGCTTTAGGCGCAATAACTGTATCATTGACAATATTAGATTTTTTATTATCCGATGAAAACGATCTTTTCCTACTAGCATCCCATGTCAATGAGGAGCTTCTCAGTGTTTCGCTCTTTTTCTCTTGTATCACTTCATCTTTTATAGTTTCATCGTTATCCATATTTATGTCTACCGAATCTTTTACAATATTTTCTTTTAAGATACTTGCTTCGGTTTTAGTATGCTTTCTGGGACCCTGTGTGGGCTCGTCATCCGAGCTACTTCTTGCAGATTTCTTCCTTTTAGCTCGACTCTCACGTTTCTTCTGAAAATTTAGTTACTGTTTTAAATCGACATAAATATAATAAAAACAGAAAATTTATTTAGTATTTAACACATGATTTATTTCTTTCAAATATGTAAGGTCCAATACAAACCTTTGTAGTATTATTTTCATCATAGCTTGCAGGTCTTCTTTGTTTTGTTAAGATTGAAATTGATTGCTGTATTCTGATATTATCAGCTGCTCTCTTAGATGCTTCTCTTCTTGAACGTCCACTTGTTGTTTCTGATGTATTTTGTGCAGTACTATCCATATTTTCTACTTTATCATTGAATGTGACAGTTTCTGACATAGAGGTATCGATAATAATAACATCATCTTCTGGAATAGTTTCTATACGTTGCATTCCCTTTTTTCTTACTACTTTTGGTGTCTTCGTAATTAATGGACCTGATGCTGATTGTGGTATTTGAGCAAGTAAAGCATGGAAATAATCGATAGTTTCATCTAGATTTTCATCAATAGATTTCTTTACTTCCGTGAAACGATTATAGATATCTAACATATCTTTGACAATCATTGCTTTGATTCTGTCCTTGGACCTAGTACCCATGTTTAAAAACTGAAAAATATTCGCAGTTTCAATGAAGAAATATAAGAACCCATAAGGTAAAATTACAACATTATATTCATAATGATAAACACAAAATATCCAGGCATATGGAATTATTTAATCAGCAAGAATTCAACTTGAAATTTTTTATGAAACAGCTAAGAATGGATGTTCGTGTTTTTCTGTATTTCAAAGTAAAACATGTAATTAAGAAAAAATAATAATTAATTAAAGAATGTAAATAGAATGCCATATTATCTACTACACTATTACAATAATCCATAATTAATGAATATTATAAGTGACTCTAACATTTTCAGTTGCAGTTTTAAATATTCACAACCTTTTTCGCGTAAGCAAAAGAATATTCCAGGGAACAGCAAATGGGAAAAAAAATTGTATGTATTTGTTAACTGTAACTGGTATGACAATAATAGATCTGGTTCGACTCAATCGGCATTTTAAAAGAGCGTTTGGTACCGTATTATTACACTCCTATTCGTGTAAATTAATAGTCAAAAATGTACATCTCTGAAAATTCATACTGGATAATCACCATCGATAATAAGAAAAAGTGCGCAATGAAGGATATAATAAATTAAAGTCGTCAGGATATTCCCTTACCTTTACAAATTAGATAATAAGTAATAAATTATTACAACAAAGATTCACGAGAAAGATACATAAAATACAAAATTAGTATGCTTCACAAACAAAATGTACGAAAGCAAAGACATTAACGACAAACTCCATTTCACTCCATTTCGTGGCCACTGGCGGGACGGTCAGAGATGGTGTAGGCCTGTTCAAGCAGATAACGACTTTTCAGTTTAATTTAAATCGACGACTCAAGCGACATCTAGTCGCCCGGGCGCGCTATTTCCACTAGAGACTTTTTAAACGTTCTTCCGTTGCTTTCTAGTTGATCGAACGCACAGTTTCATCTATTTAGAAGCATGTGACAATTTCAGAAAGAATTGCTATTTCTTAAAGGATTGCATACAAATAATCAAATTACAAAACGGTTTCAGTTAGAGATGGCGTGCAAAATCACTAACGGTGATTTATCACAGTGATCGCCGAATCACGATCACAGTCGTGATTTAACTTCATTCACGACCGTGATTGCTCTAACCTAAACTTGATGAGACAGCAACGGTCTTTTTATTTTCCTTAGGAGGTATACTAGAAGATGACGAGTCCTGAATTGATATTATGATATTGATATAATTCATATTTAATTTTATAAAATATATGATCAATGCGATGGGAGAGAGCCGTGGCGTTACCTACAGCAAACCGCTCAAACTATTGTCCACTTAGTACCACGTTCTTGTCACTAAATGGCGCCATATTATCATTTAGACATCCGTCGGAACTCCATATTAACAGAGAGGAAATTTCGATATTAATTTGAAAAATGCAACAAAATAAATTATTATCGAATGATAACGAAGCAGACGCTTCAGTTAACACTTTCACTTGAACACGTACAGTATACTTTTATAGTGTTATTTATCGTGTAAGAATATTTTGTTTGGTAACACTGGCGTCAAAAAATGTTCAGATGATTTTCCTACGGTTAACCACTGAACAAGTTGCATCAGTTGCATATCTGTGGTGCGTATGCGTAATCGTGTGGTGAGTTTCGCAGTCGTGGGAGGTTTCTGGAGCCAGGTGAGGGCGAATGTCGAATTTTCTTACCTTGGGACGGAGGTGCGCGTGTCAGGAGACCGCGCGAAAATGAATAATGACGAAGCGGCCAGGAAGTGAAAAATGATCGAAACAAAATGAGGAGAACGTACAACACTGCAGTAGATGTCCGAACGACGGATTGTCTCGAACAGACGAGACGTTTGCACAAGTAATATTAAAATACACATCAGAACTGTAACTCTTCTCGCTCACGTTGCACACCATATATCATACATATATACATATATGTATATATACATATCATATACATATACATATACAATACATATATACATGGAAATCTTTTTCTTTTGAATTAGTGGATTATATTCAGTTATCACCTTGTGTTAACATAACCTGTATTGTTCGTGTACCCATGTTCTTTTATTGGCGCGCTTTTGTACGCAATCTTTCGCTCGTCATTTCCAGGAAATTTTCGTGATAAATAATTAAGTTATCAGTCTATGATTTATTAATGTTATACACCTTTTTCCTAAATATCCAAGAAGAATTAATTCTGTGTGTGTGACAAATTTTTGTTCCTGATGAATAAGATTTTATGTTATGAAAAAAGTGTAATAGTTTATTGGTACACCTTTCGCCGTCTTTTTTTTTGTTTTAATCACCGTCTATTTTTACCTTTCATTTACAATAAACCTTGACGTGTATGTATTTTTTTTTCAATTTAATCAATAAACGATTACAAATGTGTGTATAGTAATGTCCCGTTAAACGATGGGCTAAGTTGGTGCTTTAAAAGTTTTCTGCTTCCTCCCCATTGTTGGGGGTCAACCCTTGCAATCAGTCGAATAAATAATATAACACGCCGTGGCTTCTCTCCCGCGAGCCAACAGCTGAAAGTTTGGGAGTCGAAGAAAGATTAAAAGCCTGCGTATTGGTGAGACAATGCAACGATACAACTTACTTATTTTTTGTTACTTTGTCGCGAAGACTTTATCAGCATACTGCTGATATTTTTCTGATTAAAACAATACCAAACACGATATAATTTGGATCATTTCTAATTTGTCGGACATGATAACGAAAGAATATAAGTTATCGCTTCTGATATATTAAAAATGATCCGAATCATATCGTGTATAGTCTCATTTTAATCAGACGAAGCTCACCAATATATTAATAAAATTTCCATTAATAAAGAATCAACAATAAAAAAGGTTTCATCGTTGCATTAGAGTTCTCTCGCCAATACGCGGGAATTTAAATCTTTGTCGGCTGCTTCGTAGCTCAATCCCTTTTTCTTATTCACTCGCTATCTTTTCCTGCGACCGTCGATGTTGATAAAACATACAGGCGTTCATAATAAAACTAGTATAGTTTAAAAATTTCCATGTACATGGTTTAATCTAATAACATCTGTTATTGTTAACAGGGGTATAACAGATGTTGCCAAAAGATTAGATGAACAAAAGAGTCGTGCGTTAACAATAACAGATTTATTTACCCCATCAGGGGAAGCTTTGAGAGTGAAGCTTAAAGATTATTGCATAAGATTAATAACTAAAGATCCTGTTGAGTATGCACGCAAAACGGAGGAGTTATTATGGAGAAAAGCATTCTATGACATTGTATATGCTGCTAAAAAATTACGGAAGGTAATAATTTTAAAATACTTTATGGAAATTACAATAAATTGTTTTATGTTATAGTATATTATTCTTTAATTATAGAGCACTGCATGGAATGAAACAGAAAAAGCAGTGTTATCTGTTCACTTGGCAGTAGGAGTTGGGTTTTACCATCACTTGATACTGAAATTACAATTAGAATATGGTTTAGATTTAGTTGGTGCTATTGATTTTGCATTTACAGAAACTGAAACTGAAACATCAAATGTAAGTTCTCTTGAATATTATTATACGAAGCAATTTATGCCTACAAGCTTATTCAATTCTTCTAATTTTTGTGTTAAGGCCAAAAATAAGGCAAGTCAGTCCAAAGTTTACAGCGAAGAGGTGAAGCAGTGTGTTGCTCGCTTGATTCATAGAAGTCTGGTATGCCTTGGGGACTTAGCTAGATACAAATTAGAATTAGACCCACACTGGGATCCAATGATAGCAAAGAGGTATTACAAAATGGCTATAGCATTCGATCCAAATATTGGGATGCCACATAATCAATTGGGCACTGTAGCTGGCAATAGAAATTATGGCCTTGATGCAGTGTACCACTATATCAGATGGTTAGAATACTTTCTTATTTCACATTACTTGTACGAATTCAGAACAAAACGTTTCCTGCTAATTTCAGAATTAGTATTAAATGGAAGTTTATTATATTTCTTTAGTTTACGTTAATTAAACAAGTTTTTTGTAATAAGGCTGACTGTAATTACTTTGTAGCGTTTTATGTACTGAACCGTTTGAAGGAGCAGAGGGAAATTTAAAAAGAGCTATTGTTACACACTCGATTTACACGGATGAAAAGTATCCCACGCATATATGTATATCGAGATTGTTTTCTTTGCTACAATCATGGGATTATGATGTTCCGAATTCAGACAGAATAAACCAAGAATGTCAGGTGTGTGCAATTATGCATATAGATATTTTTAATTCTCGAGAGCCTTTACGCTGGGAAATAATCTTTGTAGAATATGAAATATTTATTATTGTTAATCTTTGTCGTAGGATCTTCTGAATAGTATCGAAGCTTGTTTAAGCACGGAACAACATGAACAAACCGATACAAATCACAATAATAGTGAGACTAGTATCGAAGCATACCTTCAAAATTGCAAAAAAGAACAAACGAGTTATTTAACAGATGACATGATATTGAAAATCGTGGCCATATGTCTGATGTCCATATCAAGATTAAGAAGCAAAGAGTCAAGCGAGGTTCAAGGTGTCGTAGCTGTAACTTTGGCGATATTGTCGCAGTTGATACAGTTTACAATAACACGATTGCAAGAGTGTTTTATAGATGTACCGTTATCCAATGTAGGAGAAGTTTTACAATCAAATGAGCAATTAATCCAAAAAGAATGTAACCACAAATCCGTTGAAGGAGAGAATAACATTACAAAACAACGTAAATCAAAGTTAACAGAAAGTGGCAAATCTGTCACTGAAAATGACAATAAAACGATTTCTGAAAAGAGAAATGCGGAGAACAATGGAGATCTTCAGAACGGACCTCGGAAAACTCGTGAGAAAACTAAAAGTTTACTGACCAAGCTCCGACGACGGAAACGAAGAACTAGTAGCGATTCAGATGCGAGCGACATTGATCAGACAACTATGGGGTCTTCCAGTGATGACATCAACTCGGACGTTTCTGAGACAGAGGATGTCCTGAGCGAAGGAAATGCTTTATCGGATGAGGCACTCTCAGAAGACGTTTCTGACGACGAAAGTTCCGGTTTACGAATGAAACAAGAAACAAAAAATAATCCTAAACCAAAAAATATGAACGGACACATGGAACCTGAAGCAAAATCTGCTGCAACTGAAGTAGTTAATGATCATGTGCAAAATGGTGGAAAAGCATCCGATGATCAAACAGACAAAAAACTGGACAGCAAAAATTGTGTAGTTATCTCTGGTAATGGGGAAACAACTAATTCCGAAAATACTTTCGAAGAAGGTAACGCGTCGTCAGATAGAGTAATTTATATTGCACAGTTGAAGAAACAGAAGTTAAAAGCGAACGAAGTGCTGAACATCCTGATTGGAAAAGATATACTAGCGTCTATTAAGATATGTTGCGATTGGTTAAGAAGTAATCCGGATATTATAAAGATATGTGGAAAAAGTTCTCGGACGTTATTGAAACGCGTTACGATTTTGCTGAATTTAATCAGCATCGATACAAACGTGTTATTGAAAGATTGCAAAGATGATAGCATGATATTTTCAAGTGTCGATAAATTAAAAGAATGTGTAAAAACAATTCCGTTACCGGAAGATATTGACTTGAGAGGATTGAATTTGTTGGAGGATGCCCAGAAGACACTCAATTGGAAGATACTTTACAAACATAAAATGAACAAACGGGAGGAATCTCTGTTGAGGGCTTTGAAATTAGTCGAATTTGGATACTTTCTTCATTCCGTGGAAGATGCCGGTGTCAAGTATGATAATACGAAGCAATTGTTTGTTACAATCGACTTGAACCCAGTCAACGCAGCGAAAGGTGTTAATAAGGACTTGGAAATGGATCATTCTCGAGGAAAGTTGATGAGACATATGGGGAAATTATGGTTGAAAGCAGAAGTTTGTGCTTTGGAGAGTCGTTTAAGGTCCAGGTTGATGTCCCCATATTTGGTGCCTGATCATGAAGTCTTAGCTAAACATACACCTGCTCTCAAACGATTGGTATACGCTAAGAAATTCATTATTGTGATTCCTAGTGTCGGTTAGTAGCAAAGTACAAGTTAAAATTAAATTATAAAAGTGTTTTGTTTAAAAATAACATAAACATCTGTTTCATATTTAGTCGTTTCTGCGTTGGACGAAGTGAAGCGAGTTAGCAGTCGAGCAAGAGAAGCGACACGCTGGCTGGAAGGTCAATTAAAACGAGGTTCACGATTTTTACGAGCTCAAAGACAGCACGAACGTTTGCCACTACCATATATAAAAGGTCCAAGACCGAAAGACAAAGAGGCGTGGTTGTTTTTCCAAATTATCGAATGTTGTCACTATCTTACGCAACAGATGAAAGTTGGTATGACCAATGATGCAGAAACACCAGTTGTAACGTTACTCACTGGTTGCAGTCCAGATGATAAAAGAGTTCTTACTTTTAGTCCTGAGGGATTGGCAAAGAGTGCAGGTATATTATCTTTGTTAATAGTTCTGTTTTCATGTTTTACAATATTATGTAATATGAAACGAATTGTAGGAAAGATGATGTTTTAACAAACATTAAAATTACTAGCATAAAAACACATGGTTTCCTGTGGGATACATTCTTAAATTAAATGTGGTTAATTCTAGGTGTCAATATCGAGTACATTGAGACATTTCAAACAAAATGGAAGGCATCGAGTAAAAGTCACGGTTGAGCATATTGAACTAATTGAGATGATCATCTACTGCTTCCTCATACCGAAGTGACAGACTTGGACCCTTCTTGATAGCTGCGACTACGGTCAGCTAAGCGGGCGAGTCAGAGAGGGCTGGAAACCCAGAAAGGAAAATCGGCGGTTCTCCTTCGACAAAACCAGAATGGATCTAAAACCTTTTCCATGAAAAAATTCTAAACAATAAATTGGTTTCCTTTTAACCGCTCGCATTGCCATTTATGTATCAACAAGTACTTGTATTTTTAAATAGACATTTTTTTATGAAAAATAAATATGCCATCGTAACGTTTCCAAAGTGGAAGATGTGTGTTAGAAGAAAGAGAACGGAAACCACGATGAGTGAATTTATGTAGCGCTGAAACTTGAGTTTTAAACTGCAATTAATTTCACTGATATTAAAATAAATTGTGTTATAAAGAAAATTAATATATAAAATTTATAATTAACCGAACGTAAAATGTAACTCTAGTGAAAAAATGCTCTTTCAATGAATCACGACGTGTATGTAATATGTTTGTAATCATACGCAATGGCGTTATTTACCAAGAATCCCTAGGAAAATTTAAGATTCCATTCTAGAGTCTGAAGGCTTCAGTAAAAATGAATTTAAATATGTTTTTTGTAACGCGATCCTTTTTTTGGGGCGTTATTCATGCTTGGCGACATTTTGTCCGGAAGCTTCATAAATCTTGCAACAACGGAATACATCATTCTTTAATGAATGCCATATATCTAGGCACATTTTATGCATAACACGTTATGTTACAAGTGTGATATGTGCTATGCTTAGTGTTTTAAGGTTTCGGTATTGGCAATAGGACATAACCTATTATAAAGCGATTCGTGGTTTTTCATAAATAAGACCTAGTATTTTCCGCCTGCGATTGTTGTGTCATAATTTTGCATTTAGCTAAATATCATTTAGTGTGACGTAAGAATCGTTTTTAGGAGGAAAGTAGTTACACGTGAATTCTAGAAAAAAAAACTATACACGGCCGCGTTGACATATCGTGCAGTTTCTTCGTCTCGTGCGTTATGGTTAGCGTTGAATAGCTGCTCAAGTTGACCCCTCTATGTGAACTTTATGATTCTTTGGAATAACTTGTTAACAAAATTTAGCGTAGTTTCATTAAGAACAGGCTCGTGAACGAAATTTCCGTGGTGCGAGAAGAGTTCTAGTATTCGTGGAAAAGCGGTACGCAATTGGCCCTCGACGAGGGAGAATCGAAAGCGTCGAAAGTAACGAGTCATCTACCGATTCAAGATGGCAGAAGGCCAGGATACTCGAAAGAAAATCACGGTTAATGTCAAAACGCCAAAAGAAAAACAGACCATCGAGATCGAGGAAGATGCTAGTGTTAAAGACGTAAGTTTCCCAATAATGCGTCTACCGATTTCTTAAATGTCGTGATTTACCGTGAATCATCACTTTCGTCATTATTGGGTTAACTTTTATTAAACGTTTTCTTCAATATTTATAGTTTAAAGAGGCGGTGTCGAAGAAGTTCAACGCCCAGACGGAACAGTTGTGCTTGATCTTTGCTGGAAAGATCATGAAAGATCACGAAAGTTTAACTACACATAATGTTAAGGATGGCTTGACGGTGCACCTGGTTATCAAAGCACCACGTACTCCATCTAATCAGAATCTAGAATCAACACCATCCCAAAGACCACAAGGTAGTTTAAGTTCGATTTTATCTTTTATACATAAACAGTTGTTATTGTTAATATTTACATATTTTTGTTTGTATATATTGTATTCAGCTGAGATAAATGCCAGCCCTTTCGGATTAGGGAGTTTAGGAGGACTTGTAGGACTGGAATCACTTGGTTTGGGATCTGCTAATTTTATAGATTTGCAACAACGTATGCAACGCGAATTACTGTCAAACCCAGAAACTATGCGTCAAGTGCTCGATAATCCATTGGTGCAAAGTTTAATGAATGATCCAGAAAATATGCGTGTCTTGGTCACAGCTAATCCTCAAATGCAAGAGCTGATGCAACGCAATCCAGAAATTAGTCATATGTTGAACAATGCAGAACTGTTAAGGTAAATATAACAATAGATACATAACAGTACTTAGAATAAAGTTAACGAAGGTGTACTGCAACCAGTTGTAAAAACGTAGCTTTACTTAACAGTGTTATAAAACGTGATCAAGGCTATGAATTAATATTAAAACCTTTTTAGGCAAACAATGGAGCTGGCACGCAATCCTTCAATGCTACAAGAATTAATGCGTTCTCACGACAGAGCCCTATCTAATCTAGAAAGCATTCCTGGTGGCTACAGTGCACTTCGTCGCATGTATCGCGATATTCAGGAACCTATGCTTGCAGCAGCAGCCAGTGAACGCAATCCTTTTGCATCATTAGTGGAAAATAACGGTGGCCCAGATGGTCAGGCTAATCCACAGCAAGGTCAAGAAAACAGGGATCCTTTGCCAAATCCTTGGAATCAGAATCAAAGTAACACTTCCAACCCCCAACCACAAGGAAGGGGTCTGTTGGATTCGCCAGGAATGCAAAGCCTTGCCGCTCAAATGATGGAAAATCCGCAGCTAATGAGAAACATGTTGAACGCACCTTACACAAGGTCTATGCTAGAAGCCATGGCTGCAGATCCTGCTATAGCTAATAGGGTGATTGCCGCCAATCCTTTCCTTAGAGGAAATCCACAAATGCAAGAGCAAATGAGAGCTATGATGCCTGCATTCATCCAACAAATGCAAAATCCACAGATTCAGAATGTTGTTACAAATCCTGACGCGTTAGCTGCTATTATGCAAATTCAACAGGGTATGGAACAGTTACGCACTGTTGCTCCAGAACTTGTTGAAAAGTAAGTTGTTGCAAATATCCTTACAATAACTTGTTTATTTCTGATATGATTACTATTATTATTCCATATTAGTTTGATCTTTATGTTGTAGCGTTGCAATACTTTTATGGCATTGTCGTTTCATGTAGATAACATTTATGTTTGAAAGTTTATTTATACAAAATATTTTTTAGCATGGGCCTGACTGTGCCAACTGCGGCAACACCACCAAACACGGGCACAACAAACCCACCAACATCGACTACACAATCATCGGACACAAACCAACAAGATGCATTCTCTCAGTTTATGGCGCGCATGGTAAACACTTTATTTAAATTTCTCAATAAGATATAGACGGGATTGGTTGTTGACATTATTTTACTTCAGGTATCGGCGATGGCATTAAACCAAGGCGTAGAAGTGGATGGCCAACCTGTGCCTCCACCAGAGGAGCGTTATAGAGCACAGTTGGAACAACTTACGGCTATGGGATTTGTTAATAGAGATGCCAATTTACAAGGTATCGATATATATATATAATTTTTAAAAGTGTTTGTTTTGTCATCAAACATTAGCATGCTAATAGTTGTTTTTAGCGAATCTATGTTACACTGAATTTTTATAGTGGTACACTGTATAGTGCAATATTTACAGAAAATTTTGGTGTTTTCAGCATTGATTGCCACATTTGGAGATATAAACGCTGCTGTTGAACGGCTATTGTCTAATGGACAAGTGTCCATGAGCTAACTACCAATATGTAATACTGTTATTCCATTACTATTTTTAATTTCTCCCTTATTTACCTCTTGCAACCGGCGTGGTGAGAGATATTTGAGGTAACTGGCTGTCAGAAAAATTATAAACTTCTACCCCAACTCTTGACAGAATACACGCTACTGACTCGTTCAATATGCATTTTTATTTTGGATTTGGTACTTTATCGTACACGATACAAATAACTACCGGTATCTAAATGTTAAACTTGTTCGCACGTCTCACATTCGAAATTTCCTAGTTTAATTCTGTATTCTGTATGTTTTTCTCGATGTGCTCCAAGTACTAGATAGACTCTGGTAATGTATTTCGTCGGTGTAAATTTGTTTATCACGCATTCAAGAGAATTATATTATTAGATCGTAATACGTGGGACTGTCTTGTTCCTTCTTCTTTGTTATTGTACATTTATGGCGTTTCTTAGAAACAATGGAACCTGCTTTGAAAATAGATTGCCGTTAAATAAATATGATGCTTCTGGCTTGATCAGTCGAATTACGAATTTTCATGGAGTATAATTTCTTTGCTTAAATGTACGTAATCATACTAGTAAATGTATTGCATGAAGCGTTAATATGTTTGCGGACAGAAATGGGGGTAAGGGGAATTATTATCGATTGCTACGCAACATTTGGTGTATAGACATGAATTATTTGTCGAGACTAAAAACTAAAGACTTTCAAACTAACGAAGATCCATAGTTTATTCCATCTGCTTGAAAAGAAAAATGTTCGATGTTACGTTAGTGTTTTCCACGTATGTTTTGTATGTATGGCAGGTGAGAAGGGAGGTTTCTTTTCGTTTCCATCTTGATGCCGACACACATTCGTTTTGAGTTTCTGTTTCTCTTGTTTTTATTGTATGCGTAACTACAAGAACGGTAACTATGCACTACATGTCTTGAGATACAAATTTAGAGATTTGTAGCGTGATGATCGAGAATTCTATGGTGTAGGTTGTTTATATAGAGAAACGCGCGAAAAGATCGATATAATGAGATATGTCACATGTAAATGTGTTTAAATTGGAAAATGTAATCGTCGATTAGTTCTTAAATATATTGAAAGGATAAAGAAAACGATAAATGTTGTAAATTATCTTTATTGAGGATGAAAGGACAAAAAAAAAGAATAGTTATAATTTTACTATTTTTGATTGATGTACGATTACATTAATATCCATGCGCATTATGATAAACTTTTATGTGTATTCAGTATACTTCACTAAACAACAAGGTATTCTGTACAAGCGATTATATTACAAAATAAAATTATGGTTGATTCATATTAATGAATTTTAACTACCGAGCATGTCTGAGGTATTAATTTAAGTTACCTTAGCAGTACACGTTGTGAGTGAATGATATGCAAATATAAAACATATGTTTAGAAATAACATAGACTGGAACCTATGTAAAAAAATATACATTTCGAATTGAGTCGATGTTTTTAGTAACCCTTGATCAAATTAACTTAATTATTTACAAGACTGCAATCTAAAACGAACCATGGTATTATAGTAGTTCCTTATAACATTAACTCATTAGGCAAAAACTGTTCAAAAGCTAACAACGCATTGAACTTTTTATTGACACCAAGCCCAAGGACAGCTCTATAGTCATTCGAAAAATATACGATACTTTACGATTCTCAGTTTCTCATAAAAGCTACCAAAACGGGGAAACCATTGCCAATCGATTCTCCACAATTCAATCGAAAAAATACATTCGCATTTTATCAAACATCCCGCACAGAATCAATCACGACATTTGAATTCAAATTTTTACGGGTAGTCAAACCGAAAGCAGGATCTGCGCATCCCCGCCACGCATCGTCAACGCCTCCCCTCCGCCCTTCCGTGCCTACGATCATTCGGTTGGCGCGGCAGAGGTTCAGTCTGTGTCGAACGGTCGCACGGTTTGGTGTTGGTGTGTGCGCGTGGTCGCCCGTGGAACGTGTAACGCGGGCTTTCCAAGCGTAATATCGTTTTATCGCGGAAGCGCACCGGTGTTCAACTGACGTTTCTAGGTGCGTGGTGTCGGGTTACGGGAAACTTCGTTCGAGGAGTTTGCGCGGACGAATCCGCCGCGTCGCGGGCATGCGAGCCCGCTGAGAGGAGCTCTCTCTCACGTGTGCCGCGGAGCTCGAAAATTTTCGAAAACGGGGCGAGTGCGCCGCGGCCCGGTGCAGGTGTGTGTGGTTCGGTGCAAAAGGTGGTGCTCCTTGCGAGCAGCCTGCACGCGGTGCATTCTCGTCGTCGAAAACGTTGGCAGAGCCAGCGGAATGTGGCACGAGGTGAGTTAGCAGCCCGCCCGGTTTCGCTTACCGAGGCCAGGGACGGATCTTCGCGGGCCCTTTTCCTTTCCATCGCGTTTTGCGGCTTCTCGCAGCCCTTTTCCGCGCAGAGGTTTCCTCTCGCAACTTTCAACCCGCCCCTCCCCACTGGACGTACGAAATTCCGTGTTATTACATCGTAAGGAGAACTTCAAGCGTATGTATTTTTATTTTTATCAATACCGATCGATGATTTCGACGTACATTGACGTTGGGAAAGTTGTACGTGCATCTGATTAGGATAGATTGTACACAGAGTTTTCAGTCGTTTGTACGAATTTGAAACGCCGATTCGCGGCATTCGTGCATTGTCAGGACATTGGATTTGATGAGAAAGTCGAATATGTATTGTGGATACGATCTTTTGTAGTCTGTACATGTAATTTAACTAATATGATGACTTTAGAAGCGGAGACGAAACTTTGCTGATTAAGTGTGTAACTTGAGAATAACTTGAACCATTTAGTGGCCATTTTTGAGATTCCGTTTATTACGTTTAATATCAAGAGAAAGTGTTTATACGCATTACCGTAGAAAATACTAAATTTTCTTTCATTTACCAATGGGACACTGGATTTCTATTTAAACAACCGCATTTGTGTCACTTGTTAGTATAACAATTACGTGTTGGGAAATAATACGAAAATAGTATTGGATATTTTTTTCATTCCATAGAAGCCCCAGCACTGACTTTTTCAAAGGTGATCGTTAGACCGGTCACGTGATCAAACTGTCGATATTTAACCGTTTTTATTCGTTTCTTCGATTGTGCGTATTCTACGAGTTTTTGCACTTTGTTTAATGTATTATTAAGAAATACTTATGTAGGTCAATTGTTTGGTAATCTAGAATTACAAACAAATTCTACTGCGTGTCATCTGCGTAACGGAAAGAAAGGCAACAGTCTTCTTATTCGTGGCGATACGATCGATAAATACGTTGGGCGCCAACCGTTTTTGAAACACCTTTCGAAAGCTAACGTGTCTTGAAGACGTTTCGGTCTTATTAGAGAGTAACGATACAGTTATCAAGCGTTAATAGGTTGATCGGATATTAATGGCTCGTATCTTTAGTGTTCTAAGTAGACTGTGAATACTTATGCAGATTTCCATTTTCATAAATCATTTTTCGAAAGCTGTGATTAATGAAAAATTTACTTCGCCAATTATGAGGTTTATTCGGTTAACAGTAACGTGAAAGTTTCATTGTTTTTACAGATTTAAATATCTAATTCAACTAAAATTCTATCTAGTTTCCAAACGGCTATAATATATTTTCTGTTGATCTAATATTTTTAATAATAACAATCAGACTTGTTTTAAGTTTTATACAATCCTTGATATCTATATACCGGTTGATTTAAAAACAAAAGTATAACATTGTTTAGAATGTAGAAAACGGTTGACCGTGAGTAGACCTCAAGCTATTAACGATTATATTCCATTTACATTGGACGCCAAGAATACTATTATCTGTTTAGTTCGTCTGTAAACAATGATCCATTTGTTCGCACGTACCGTTGCCATATGGCGGGGTTTGGACGATTACTTTTAGTATTTTTAGTACCATACCATTACTGACGTCTTCGAAATAGATAATGATAATAACAATAGAAATCAGAATAATACTAACGATTCTCTTAGACACAAACATCATTTGTCTATGACAATTAACCAGTTTGTAAAATAATAAATTACAGTTCTTGATTTTCTGTTGTATACATAGATCCCTCTATAACGCTTCACAATCTTGTTAATGAAGTGAGAGTACAATTTAAATGCCAATTAAATTGCCCACCTCTCGCTCAGCGAAAATGGCATTGTACGTTTGAAGAACAATGGCAGATATCATTACCATAAATATTGATCTCAGTAAAATAAGTATCATTGATCCTCTTAATTAAGGATTCGAAGATGTTCACAATACGACTGCATCTATTTTAAAAATCTATGGGCAAGCTTTATCCCATTTGTGAATAAAATTTTCCAATAACGGGGGAGGCGGGGGGGGGGCAAATTTTCGGACGAAAGTGACCTGTACATGTAGATCGTGGTTAACATTATCGATCGTTTCCAATAAATTCTAGGATCGCGTGAAACAGACCATCGATCGCGATAACGAGTCGACGCGACGTTGAAAAGGGCGAAAGAATCCCAGCTATTCGTTAAGCCAGATGCTGTTCCAGGCAAATAGTGTTCACAGTTGGCATAAATAATGGGGTCACGAAACGAGATTAGCCTGTTCCTTGCGTCACTACCATAACTTCACTCTGTTTGTCGTGTTCGGGTATCTGTGCCCGCCGGCTTCTTTCTTCTTTCCCGATACACAGTGCCATTCGATGATCCGTGGTTATGATAATCCTTTTGATAACGGTGCTTCGTTTAATTTCAGTTTTGTTTACTTATACAAGGCGTGTCAGGATACGCACAAACGATGCAATTGTCACGTGTCCTATTTAACCTTGTTCCTCTGTTTCAAACGTTTATGATGGGGAGGGGTGGGGATTGCATCGAGGGCAAGGATTGTAATTTTCAGTGGATAAACACTGAACTAATTCAGGTCGTTTGAAAGTCATTCAAATATAAGATTCCATTATGACTCTAAAATAAGACACAGCTGAAGTTACGACCATGTATTTTAATGCACTCTGTATGTCGGACTAAGAGCGATATCGCTACTTGTAAATTAGTTCGCGTTTCTCCAGATGATGCCACTATTCTCGCACGATCACCTGCTGCGTGATAAGTGAGAGGCATTGTACACGAAGGTGCTCGGACCTCGATTTTTCGCGTCGATCACCCAGTTTCCATCGACGGCGATCTCGAAGTAGTTAATTGTAAAAAATCGTTTCTCTGGGGCCGTAGTAATCTCGTAATGTACAGGTAGCATGCAGAAGTTATAGGGCCATTACATTTATTGTACCGGCGTTATCAAAAATTCATTAGTCTCATAAAGTAATGCATTAATTCCTGGCATTCCCTCTGTGTAAACAAGTTTTTTAAACAATTTTGTATTCTGTCAGTTACAGTGGCTACTATACAATAATATTGT